TAAAAAAGACAACTGGAGAGACGATGACATTTGTCTATTATTAGATATATGGCAAGAAAAAGTATTTATTTCTAACCAAAACTTTCATTTTGTTTGTTGGTGTTCATGACTTACCGTGTAGTTACATCCGTTTTATCATTGTGTGTAATAGCTGGGTTCTTCTCAGGCAGACTGCTTGTGCGAACAGCACAACGTTCGACTGGCGACAGTCACAATTGAGATTGTAGGTAAATCAAGATCGAAGTGAGTCATGGATTGTGTGCGAACAGGGTATAAGGTGTATTTAATGTGATTAATACAACAACAAAACAAACTTACTAATGCACCTTAAGGTGTATTAGTAAGTTCGTATTTGTTGTTATTAATAGTACTAGCAGGTAGGCCTGGCATTACTCCGGCAAAAGTAACGATAACTAAGATAAAGATTATTATGTTACAGTCAACCTTACCCATTTTCACAGAATGCAAGAATTGGGTCCCCTTGTTTCCAGACTAATTAGCGAATTTTTAGATGATTCTAAAAATATGTTCGATTTCCCGCAAAAACGAAAAAANCATATAAAATATAATTTTGCTTTACTTTCGTTTGAAAAAGTAAACATACAGAGTTGTTCTGACGTCATCGCAATTTCTGCTTTTAAGGACAATACCGTATTGTATTTTAAGTCGGATGATACAGATTAAACCAAATAAATGTTATCGAAATAATAAATAATATTACTATGAATATATTATATATATATATTACATCTAGGGCTATTGTACTGTATAATGTAAAAAATAACTATCTATTGAAACGAAATATTGGCTTTTTTCTTAAATTAATTCTTTCCGCCCTGCGTGCACTGTTTCGCAAACATTTGTGTTTATGCGTTCTTCGTAACGCACTTAAAATCCCCGCGAGACCAGAAAACAGACACACTTACTTTGAATACTTTATTCTGGGTCCTTCCGGATCGAGTGATCTCTACTCTTATACCTTGTACATGAGTCGGGGCCATCTGTCTTGCACGTCCCTCTTTCACTCTGGTGTCGCCAGATCCCCCGTAACAGGCACCAAGAGGGTCTCTTTTAGCAAGCCCGTTATGGGTTCGGCCAGACCCTCAATGGGGCGGCCGAGTGGTGAGAGACGGTGTCCGACATATCCGGACGGACCAGCCGTCCGGATTCGATCCCGGGTCCTAGCAGACGGTAGGCTGCCACCGTGACCGCTCGGCCATCCGACCAACATGAAATATTGGCTGTCTTTATAGTAGTGGGCGTAAGTATCTTGCTGTCATCAGAAAGATCTGATTCTCATTGAAATAGATACCGCCTTTCTTCGTTAGTCATTTAAATTCACAACACTAAAAAATACCGTACTTTTAGATGTTTGTGTCGACATAATTCAGTAAATTGATTTTGCAATTAACCTTTTTAACCTCAATGTTTCTTTCCCAGATTGTTCTCAAGAGGCCAATAGCATCCCTTGTTCCTTTTCCGAATCCAAATTGTTCTTCACGTAGAAATGTTTCGGCGTTGTTGTAGAGTCTTCTGTTAATGATTTTAAGAAGGATTTTTGAGGCATGTGAAATTAAACTAATTGTTCTAAAATCACTACACTTTTTAGCTTTTGCTTTCTTTGGTATAGGTATCAAAATACTTTGAGCAAAGTCTTCAGGTCATTCTCCTGTTTTATATATGAGATTGCGTAAGTCTGTTATTTTCTCGATTCCTTCCTTGCCTAACCCTTTTAGAAATTCAGCTGGTATTCCATCTACTCCTTCTGACTTTTTGTTTTTCAATTCTTTAATTGCCAATCCAACTTCATCTTTCACGATAATAGGTCCTCTTTCATCATTAGCTATTTGAGAAGATTTTTCCAATTTTAACTCTTTAGGTTTGGTGTTCTCTCCATAGAGATCTCCAATATATTCTTTCCAATAGCCCATTATATCAGCTGGGGTTAAAAGTGTTTTTCCATCTTTGTCTTCAATACTCAGAATTTGGTGGGTGCGATCATTTGTTAATTCTTTGACTTTTTTGTATGATAGATCATATCTGCCTTTTTTGTTCAGTTCTTCGATTTCCTCACATTTCTTACTTAACCAAGCTTCTCTAGCTTTTCCAGTTTCACCTCTCAATTCATTATTTAGCTTCTTGTACGTCATTCTCCTTTTTTCATTATTTATATTTTTCCAATTTCTTCTTTCATCCATTTTCTCAGTCATTTCTTGAGTAATCCAAGGTTTTTTAAAATTCTAATACCATTTACATATCCAAGAAATTTTTAGCCGATTCCTTTATTGTATCTTTAATTCTTTTCCAATTTTCATTTGGGTCAAACTCACAGTCAAAGTCATATGGAAGTTCTTTTAATTTATATTCCAGGTTTTCTTTAAAATTTAATACAGTACAGTGGTACCTCAGGATACGAAATTAATCCGTTTCGAAACTGAGATCGTATCATGAAAATGTCGTAAGGTAAATCATTTTTCCCCATAGGATTACATGTAAAACCAAATAATTCGTTCCAAGACGAAAAACACACTCAAATTAAAGCTAAGTAGTACATTTAAAAAGATAACTATAGTAAAGAAAACACTGAAAAATACGTTTTGTAGTTGTAAATGTATAAATAACCATAATAAAATAATAATTGATTAAAAAAAATGTAGTTTTATTTGCACTTTACCTTTGAGGATAGACGAAGGTGGAGGTGTAAACTGGTGGCGGAGGAGTGGGAAAAGGGAAATGATACTAAAACTTAACTTACATAACATAATGTAACAATAACTTAAAAAAGATTAAAAAATTAGTGTTGTTTTATATATTTTTTTAAAAATTTTTATTCACTGCTTTTTGCTTTCTTTCCTTCATTTCCACCAGCACTTTCACGAGATAGAAGTCGCTTGGTAAAATACGTATCTATGCAAAGAGGTTTGGCTTTGCCTACTTTTTAAAATGTTTCTAAAATGACTTAGGCAAATGTCATTACTCCGAGCAGCAATACGGCCAGTGTGAACCTTTTCGGGATGTTTCTTTTCAATAAAATCAGTCACTTTCTGATAATACCTCGAGATTTCCTTTATCGAGCGAGATGCTTCCACGACGAAGCAAACGTGCGGACTGAGACCGAAGTGAATAAAAAATGGCGCTGCGAACTAATGTAACGTCGTATGGTGAGTTTTTGTTCGTATCGTGGAGCAAAAATATGTTCGAATTTCATGTCGTATCCTGAAAATTTCATATACCGGGGCGTTCGTATCCTGAGGTACCACTGTATTTCCATTTAGTTTTACCAAATTCCATCTTTTTATTCTTTTGGCTCTCAAAACTTTTTTCAATTTCATCACAATATCTGTAGTTAATAAGTTGTGATCAGAATCTGCATCTGCTCCTGGATATGTCTGAATTTTCTTGACCGCATTCCTAAAACGACTTTGAATTAGAATATAATCTATTTGATACTTTCCAATGTCTCCGGGCATTTTCCAAGTGTATAGTCGACGTTTGGATTGTTTGAACCATGTGTTTCCAACTATTAATTGATGCTTGGTAGCAAATTCAACTAGTCGTTCGCCTCTTTCATTCCTATTTCCTAGCCCAAACTTGTCCACAATTTTTCCTTCTCCTCCTTCTCCCACAGATGCATTCCAGTCTCCCATAACAATTAGGCATTTCTTAGTTTTATCATTTTCTATTATATCTTCAATTTGGTCATAAATTTCTTTTACTTCTTCATCGTCATAGTCTCCAGTAGGCATGTATACTTGAAATATCATCATATCCATGAGATCGCTTTTTATTTTAATCATTAAAATTCTGTCACCTCTGTATTCAATTCTTTCAACTGAGTATTTTACCTTCTCATCTAAAATAAATGCTACACCATTCTTTCCTTTAGTTCCACAAGAATAAATAACCCTGAATTCATCGCTAAAAAAATCACCGCTGTCCTCCCATCTAACTTCACTAAGCCCAAGAATATCCAAATTCTGCCTCTTCATTTCTATATTGACATTTTCCAACTTACCTGGTCGAAGCATGGTTCTTACATTCCATGTTCCTATTCGAATTCTTCCTATGGAAGTCTTCCAATGGGGGTTTCGCGTGGTGACGACCTGGGAAGCCCCATAACTTCCCCTGCCGGGCATGACACCTTTCTTTTGGAGATGAGTCCCACATTTGCCAGGACGATAAATAGGTTTTCTGCTTTCCATTAACAAGAGAGGTATAGCTGAGGTGGTTTCCCGTTGCCTTCCTCACGGTTTCTGATCAGAGTTTTCCTTCTCCTAGGTAGGTTGCCTACCAAGACTTAAAGAGTCCTGCCTACCCCGGCAATAGGCATATGGCGGCCTAAATCGCCTTGACACAGCACGTAATTTAAGGATGTTATGATTTCAGTAATGACTTTTTTACAAAAAAGAGAAATCTCTACGAATAAATTTTCCTTCCAATAAACATGTAACGAATTACGCAGGGAGTTCTCTAAATCATATTTAGGGAAACATTTCGTTTTTGAATTATCATTATTTATTTTTTCTAAATGAAAAACATACAACAAATGAATGACTTTAATTCAACATTTTTCATAGTTATTACTTTAAAATTTTTTATTTAGAATTTTACTTATACCGTGATCTGTTACAAATACAGTACCAGAGTCCATAGATTACTTATAGACTCTGACAATACTGTACTAACATAATTTTCAAATTATAAAAATAAATTTAACTAAAACACAATTTTAAAAATTATTGATTTTCTTTAACAATTATTAACTTAAAAATTTTAAATAAAATAATTTTATAAAGCTTAAAATAAATATTTTGAAAAAATATATAATCTACTGAAAAATCAGTAGCAATAATGTCAAACAATTACAAATATTATTATTTACTCTTAAGTAACATAATTATTTTATGATTTGTAAATAGAGGAAGTTAAAACACAATTACTTTTGCTAAAATCAAAATAAAATTTTACAGATTTAGGGAAATTTCTGGAATGTCTACCGACAAAACTGACAGCTGTATGAAACTGGACAAGTACACGTGACTGCTGGAAGATGGAATGCAAGTTGCCGGGATTGTTGACATTTTTACTCGTTGTTCGGGAATGTTTTTGTAGTAGCGATTTATATACCGATAACTCCATTAAGTATGACGAAGAAGGATTTAGAAAGAATATAGGAAATTCTGTACATTTTGTTAAATTTTACGCCCCTTGGTGAGTAGAAAAAAGTTGCTGCATGGCACTGAATGGTACAGAGATTGCTTGGAAATTATCTGATTTATGTGTATTCTGCTTAACTTGGAACTTGTAGCCAAACATCAAATAACTTTTCTCTTGTTTTGAGTTGTAATCACTTATTACAAGATTGTTTCCTCATTTGTTAGGATATAACCTCTTATATTTCATTAATTACATGGATTCAAAGAGTCTGCTCATCTGCTGATATTAATACTAATATAATACATGATTTTACATCCAACTCCACGCATTATACGTCTTAATAGCAACTTGTTTAATTATGGTAGCTTAAAAGGTTCTCAAAATTATAACAAAATTATATATTTACACACAAATATACTGTTTTTATTGAAATTATCATCAATAGAATGTCAATTTAATATGTGAACAAGTAGGAACTTTTCTATTAAGCATCTTATCTTGGTTTTGTTAGCAAGTTTCTAGTAGTGTTTTGGGTAATCTTATATAGGATGATTGAAAATAATGTATATATGCTTTAAAAATTTATATTCCATGAACAACATACACAATTTTAAAGTATCTTTATGACATTTTAAAGTGAAGAAATAGTAATTTTTTTTTTTGCAAGAAGTAAATTTGATCTTTTTGTATGGAACAACTGGATCTTACTGATACAATAGTACATACATACATACATACATACATCTCAAGCTTTTCACTTTCTTTGACTTGTGGGTGGGCACTAACAGACTTTTTCTCAGGTTCACAATGGAGTGGCTGGGAGTGATGAAGGACAGGGTCGAGAGGTGATGTTACACTGAATATCAGAAACATACTTGATATACATTACTAGTGTTTCTTCAATAGTAGCCCATGTTAGCTGTACATTATTGTATAATAGTGGAGAATTGTAATATGTATTAATAGATAAGTAGGAAAGTTGCTTATTAGTATGGGATTATGTCAACAATGAATATCCTGATCACTTCGATAGGTTGCTTTTGAATTTTCTCCAAGATCTTTTATACGTTTGGATTTTGTGTGGGATATTTCAAAAACCATGCATACAGTCACAAATTAGAAATATTGGAGCAAATCTAGATAACAATACAACAGAAAACAAACAGAAGTTTGCTTCCCTTTTGCCTTTCTCTGTAGATCAGTTGGTGAGATGTGTATTCATGTTCATGGTGGACATTTTGAACATTTTTGTTGTTGTAAAAGTTTGTTTCTCTTAGTGTAAACTCTTTTAATATATTTTTTTTAATCGTATTTTAATATCATTCATAAAATTAAATTTTTGAAGACAAAGTCTGTCCAAAAAAGAAACCACCATTTATTTATCTTGTGTTCCAGACTTCACTTTCTTGGAGACTGACCTTTCTTTTTAGGCTACTGGTCGCCAGAAATTAAAAAAGTCCTTTTAAAAACATAAAAAATATATCCAATTAAAATTACAAGAATTTCTAAAAATGGAACTGGTGACATACGGACTTTGTCTTCAGAAACTTAATTTGCCGTTTGGATGAAAATTTACATATTTATTTATGGCAAACAAAGTACTGGTGGTTAGAGCATATTGTCAGTAATAGCATAACTGTTTTTATTTTTAACTGTATCCTGGCACCATGATGGGTGCCATGGGTCTAGAAATCCACTGTAATTTTCTAATATTTTATACAATATGTATATATTTAAATTAAATTATATACAAGAGCAGTTTTTTCAAGCTCTGATGGTCCATAAAACAAAGACAAGAATAAATGACAAAATGAATTTATTACCAAAAGTTAAGTACAAACATGGTTACTTTTTGACATAATCACCGTGAAGATTGAGGCATTTGTCGTATCTGTGGACGAGCTTTTCCATCCCCTTGTCATAGAATGTTTCCGCCAATGACTTGAGATGGGCCCTAACGTTTTGAAGATTGTCATTAGTCTCAAATCTTGCTGCTAGCCACATTTTCAGTTCAGGAAAGAGGTGGAAGTCTTCACACACTAAAAAGTTCCAAGCTGGGTGGAAATCTTCACCGCCTTTAAATATCCAGAGTATAACCCCGATTTAGTGCCGAGCAACTTCCATTTAAAATTATTGTAATTATGTTATTTATTATCTGAGAACATTGTAACTTATATTAAAACATTGGAAAATTGTCCAAGTTTTGCATTTGTTCATTACAATTTCTCAATGTGTGCACCTCCTGCCACAATGCACAGCCAACTGACACTCAAATTCTTATGTTTGCTATAACATCTGTTGTCACTCTTTCACAGCACCCACAATTTTACTCCTGCAATTTCACAGCTGTTATTCTGTAGCTTCTTCAGATTATTCATACTGCACAGTGATGAGTAATTGTAACATTGAAAACTGCAGATCACAAAATGCCTTCTTGTGTTGCCATTTTTGTTTACAGTCTTTCCTTCAGGTAGTAGACAATGAGATATTTAAATGCAGATGGGACACGAAACTCTGAGAGTTAAGAGTTAGTCTATCGATTGATGTATGTCACCTATTTTTTTTGGTAATAATTAACATAATTACATTAATTTAAACGGTAGAATTTATTTTGGAAGATCCTATAAATAACTTTACAAGAAATACATTTCAAAGATTGATAAGAAAGATTTCTGATCTTGAAACTTAAAATACACTTTGTATTAATATGAAAGATGTTAATTTTCTATGAAAAAATTGAATATTAATTATGTGTATATTTTGAACATTATCATTTATGAAAGCAGCTGAATATCATCAATGGTTTGCCTCTTGACAGGTGTGGCCATTGTAAGCGACTTGCACCAATTTGGGATGAATTGGCAGAGAAATACAACAGACCCGGAGAAGAGAAGCTTGTTATTGCTAAAGTGAGTTCTTGTGTGTATTATTTATTAAATTATAGTTTTATCAAAAGCTGCATTGATTTTCATTTTTATCAAGATATCATGATGTGAGCGAGACAATTTTATATCAAATATAGAATAAACAATAACTTTCAATCTGTTAGAATGTTATTAAGCTATCAGAGATCCAAACAGACAAGTAGATGAAATAATCCTTTATGATGTCAGACTGGATTTTCTGCTAATTATGAAAGATGCTGTTTCAGATGGCAGCATATATGTTACATTGATAAATATGAAATTAGGAGTTCTGTGAGAAGAAAATACCTAGACTCTAACATGTCTTGATATTCTTCTTTACTTCTCTATTACATATTTTCTTCTTGCTCAGGAGCAAAAAAAGCACTTGCAGGTTATTTCACAAATCTTTGTTGGGAAGTGTCTGTTGCCTGTTACCTAACTGGGACACTGAAGCATTTAAAAAGAGTATGTCTTCATCTTTAATGTGCTTCATAGGTTATAAGAGGTTAATTAGGTTATATAAGAGTGTTAACACTCTTATATAACCTAAATAACCTCTTATAAGAGTTAATGCTCATTTAATCTACATTTGCCACACACACTAGCCTAAACTCAACCTTTCTACTGTGCACCACAATAGTCTGTATCACAAATGTATGGATGTACCCTAACATAAGAATTGAAATAAATTTTATTCTATAGATCTTGATCAAAGGATTAGAACTTACTTTTATGTATTTATATATAAAATATAATGTAAATTCTTAATCTGTTTCAGGTTGATTGCACAATGGAAACTGCTCTCTGTTCAGAACAAGGAGTCACTGGTTATCCCACGTAAGATTTATATGCATTTATCAACATTAAATCTATTGTATTTTTACTAGCTCAATATAAATATTTTCTCTGTTCCAGACTAAAATTTTTCAAGAAAGGTACAATCGAAGGACATAAGTACAGAGGTCCACGAGATATTGCTTCTCTAGAAGCTTTTATCGCTAACAGTCTGGGAAAAGAAAACGTTGAGTATTTTAATTAAATTTAAGTCTTGAAATGTTTGAATTATGTAACCAAATTGTAAAGAAAAAGTTTGGTTTATAGAATGTTGACAAATTTTGCAGATAAGTTTCAGGACGATTGTTTCTTGTTGCACAAAATTGGATGGCTTTGGGTATAAACAATCTGTTAACTGTGGCAATGAATGCATTTCAGTATGCATCAATCTTGACCACAACCAATGCATTGGCGAATGAATGGTTTAATAAGCTTTTACTGGAATATCTTGCAATCTAACAAGATGGCAGAAACAAATAGCATTGTATCTACTTTATTACTTTATCAAAATAACTTTGAGTTAATGCAGATGAATAAAAAAATGTGTTAATAATAACAGTGGAGGCAGTCATATTGCTTCATTAGAGCTCACCATGTCTAGAATCCAAAGAGTGAGATGTGAATCATTTGCTGCACCGATGAACTTATCAATGAATATCAGAACATATTTTAGTATATTGCATCACCAATATGCTGTTTGATGCATATTGGAATATACCCAATATCAGAATTTTAAAATGCAAAAAATTAAATGATCTAAAGTGTTTCATTCATATCTGTAGAAAATTTTCTAAAGGAGAGTTGAACAATCATTTAATGAAGTGGAAAATATGATAAATCATGAATTAATTTCACAACTGTCTCATATTTTCCCACATTGATCCTATAATATACTTTTGATTGAATGCATATAAGAGTACAGTTACGAACTTTAGATGAATGCACATTAACACATTATAAAATATTTCTTAGATGTTATCTATTTGCTATCTTCATCTGGTATATAATGTAACCTTTAGGTGCTCCCATAAATAATAATCATAGAATATGATCTCCACATGCACTTCTTGAGACAATGCATTTCATTGTGTTAGTTATGAAATACAGTGTAAAGAATTGTCGTATTTGGACACTTCACTCCTTTAGATACGTTACAGGTAGAAACAGAAGTTTAACCTCTCTTAGAAAAATTAGAAATATATTTATGATTAGAAAAATTTTAGGAGGATATTTGTGTTGAAATACTGAAATAATGTAAATTTAGTAGAAGATAGAATTAAATTTCTAAAAAAGTTTCAATTGTCAGATCATTGAAAAGACTCCCGAACCTCCAAAGCCGATCAACGATGTCATTCAACTCACTGATGACACCTTTCACAAATTCATCGAGAGGGGAACTCACTTTGTCAAATTCTATGCCCCGTGGTGCGGACACTGTCAGAAACTGATTCCCATTTGGAAAGAGTTGGCAAACAGCTTAAAATTTGATGGATCTATAAAGATATCTGAGGTATTGTTTCATTGAAATTTTATTCCTAACTATAATTATGTTGTCATTATGAAGCTTGTTTTATCTCTGAGATATATAACTGTGTTTATTTATATCTGTATAAGTAATACAGGCTTATCATAACATGCTATGAAGCTTCTCAGACACTTTTAATTATGCAAAATTTTGAAAAACAGGATTTAATGGAGTCAAAAGACAAAGATTTGTTACATTTGGGTTGATATGCAACCATGTTCTGTTATAGATAGATTCTTCCTGAGAGCTTTTTCGTACACAGTCTGATATTTTGTACGATACTGATTTGATATGATTTATGATAAACATACAGCTCTTACACTTTATTTTTAACCAGTTTTAATTGGTTTCAAGGATTTTATGTTTTACTATCTTTTTAATCAAAAAACTTTTTATACATTTTAACGAAATTATATTTATTTTTACAGTTTTACATATACTAGCCTGTGGTTTTAAACAATTTAACAAAAATAATTTTATTTCTACAGTTTTACTTCTTTTACCCAAAGGTTTTAATAATTAATTATTCCAGCTGTCACTATAATACTTTTTAGGACTGAAGAGGGGCATTAAGCCCAAAATGCATATACTTTTAAATTATAAAAAATAAACCTACTTTTTCCTCAAAAAAGTAGGTTTATTTTCTATAATTTAAAAGTATATGCATTTTGGGCTTATTGCCCCTCTTCTTTGTTCTCAACAACAACTTTGTTCTTTAGAATGTTTTTATAATGATAAATAAATGACATTGTAAAACAAATTTGTTTTTAATTTATAAATTTTCTTTTATAATTATTCTTGCAAAACAAAGTATTAAAAATTCTTCAAATATGTTAAAAAAGTACTTGTATAAATTTGCAGATTGACTGTACGGCCCACCATACGGCCTGTGGTGAATTCGAAGTCAAAGCCTATCCCACATTGCTATGGATTGTTGATGGAAAAAAGGTAGGATTTTATGGTCAAAATCCCATGTTATCAAATTGAAATTTTAAATATTTACATCAGCTTTTGAAGTTTAAAAATAAATATTTTTGTCCTTTAAAAAATTTAACCAGTATTAATTAAGTATGTAATGTCTACTTTATTATTTATCCTTTCCTGCATAAACACAAATCACAATCCACAAATTCATATGATTATGGATTATGACAAATAGGTATTCTTACTATTCAAACAGGTAAAGTGAATGACCAGACGAAATTTTAATATGGCATGATTGTGATACAGTCGACCCCCCTATAACGTACGTTCCTATAACGGAAATTCCTATAACGTAGCGAAAAAATTGTAGCAACTTTCGTATAATGTACCTCCTATAACGTCGTTTCGCGACAAGATTGATAGAGTCTGGACCAATAGTGGATGAGCAGCCGAACTACTTTCCTCCGACCCTGCGCCACGCTACGGAGCGGCTAAATTGAGTTTGCTATCGTCTGTTTAGTATTATATATAAATTATATATAAATTAGGTACTGTACATATAATTATATATTAATTATATATAAATTAGGTACTGTATATATAATTATATATTAACTTAATTTATTGTAACTTNTGGTGAATTCGAAGTCAAAGCCTATCCCACATTGCTATGGATTGTTGATGGAAAAAAGGTAGGATTTTATGGTCAAAATCCCATGTTATCAAATTGAAATTTTAAATATTTACATCAGCTTTTGAAGTTTAAAAATAAATATTTTTGTCCTTTAAAAAATTTAACCAGTATTAATTAAGTATGTAATGTCTACTTTATTATTTATCCTTTCCTGCATAAACACAAATCACAATCCACAAATTCATATGATTATGGATTATGACAAATAGGTATTCTTACTATTCAAACAGGTAAAGTGAATGACCAGAGGAAATTTTAATATGGCATGATTGTGATACTATGTATGATGGTTCCAGCATTTCAGATGGAAATTCTAGATTTTTCAACCTATTTTGTTGCAATCACTGATCCCTCAGAGTGGTAGGGTGCCACCTTAGCTGCTTTGCCATCTGGCCATCAATTTCTATGATGCTACTGTATAAGCATGGACTAAAGTTCTGGCACCTCACTGAATCCACAATCAGATGAAGCTGTTCTGTAGTCAAAAGAGAAATCCTATTGCTTGTGGGGATATAAGTAATAAGATGCTCAGTGTTTAGTATTTATATAAAATAACAGTATAATAGTTTGACAGATCATTAATATTTGGCTATGACTTACTTCTTTGGGCTGACTACATGGTCTTTAGTTTGCTGCTACCTTATGATAAGAAATCTGATCCAACTCAAGAATAAGGATCAAATTCAAGTTAGTAAGTTATAAACATTTATAAATTTTAACATAAATATTAAATTTTAGCACATGTTCACAGTATATTTTAAACTAGAATTTTCCACTTTATCAGCAAGCACACTTAGAAATATTTGAAACTAAAGTATTATTTTATTAGCCATAATATATCCTTTGTTACTTTATATGTTTAGTCACTTTGACATCCTGCCGTTAACAGTTGCATCTTTCCTGTATTGAAACCATGCTTATCTCTTCCAATTTTGATGAATTCTTGTTCAGTTTTTCATTTTGTGTTCTAGAGGTGGCTTCTACTTAATCCTTCTTTTCTTCTTTACTTTAAAACAATAATGAAGGTAAGTTACAATGCTTAAATATTTTATTATTCTTTCTATAAACTTGACTTTGTTATATAAAGGTTTCTCATAAAGACATACAAAATTTCTGAGTTTGGGTAGCATTTCTTATAAGTAAAGCCTTTAAATTTGGTGTAAAATAACCATTTTATACATTCAGTTAGAGGGCTGCTTTAAAAAGTATTTACCTTGAGATTAAGACTTTGATGGCCCAAAATTGTTTAACTGAGAAAGATTTTTATTTTGGATAACTTATTTTTGCCCATCCTATATTTTATCACATTTTGAGTTTAATTTAAATGGGAGAGAGTTTATCTTCATTAATTTTTATGAAGAGAGAGCATCTGTATGCACATTATTCTGTAACTGAACAATATGTTTAGAGGCACCACATTCACAAACAGGTTTATAGGTGAGATACTCATGACCTAGATGATGATAATATATGAACAAAACTTAAATTATTCACAATTATTCAGTAAAATGCTTGCTTAAATTTCTCAGAATAGTCATGTCCCATTATCAGAAGGAATAATGGTGTGGTTACTTGATCCACTACAGATGATGTACTGAAATATGAACTTGGGTAACAAAAACTGACAGATTAAGTAATGAAAATATTCTAAATTAGGTAGAAAAATATGAAGGATCCAGAACACATGAAGATCTGAAACTTTACGTCAGCAAGATGAAAGAACAGGAATTTGGAAACAATAAAGACAGTGTAGAAGGAGCAATTCCAGAGAGTGTTTCCAGACCAGTAGGTATCTTATCAATGTGAAATTTACTATGGAATTCTGACCTCATTAAAATATTTGTTCAGAAAGATGACAACTAAAAGTGAAAAAAAATTATCCTTTAAAAAGTTCAAAGTAATTCCCTACAGAGAGAGAGAATTTAAATATATGTAAAAGAGTTATTTTCTAATATTTTAGGAAATGGCAATTATACAGCTAACAGAAAATGATTTTGAAGAGACGATAGAAACGGGAGTGACTTTCGTCAAGTTCTTTGCTCCCTGGTAAGTACTTTTTGATGTATTTTGCCATCCTTTCTAATTGGGTCGGTATTGATCGATAAAAATACTGTCTTCCTAGGTGTGGACACTGTCGCAATTTGGAGCCAACGTGGAACCATCTCGGACAGAAGTTCTCAATGAATGACAGAATCAAGATTGCTAAAGTTGACTGCACATTACATGAAAATTTATGCAGTAAACATAAGGTAAATGAAAAACAACCTTTTTTAAAAAAAGAATTTAATCCATTTTCCAATTTTTTCACCATCTTGACCATAATGATATATCAAAAAGTACATCATTATGGTCAAGATCTAAATCAATTGATTAACAGAACACTGTTTTACTTGAAAGTTTCATGTTGTTATCAGTTAACATTTTTAAGACTTGTAGATTACAAGAAATTTCTTAACATATAGAATACAAAAATATAAATAAATGTTGCTAAATTAACAGGTGCTTTCTACAAGAATTATTTTCATCTTCATCAGGTTGATAAAGATGGTTAATGTTCTTTTTTTAATATGAATATGAAATTATTCCAATGGTATTAATGCTTTGGAACGAAACCAACGATGGAATGTAACATAAAAATTTTTAAATAAAATACTCACGGTTATAATGCGCATGTGCTATAACTCATCAAAACGTGGAGCTAGATATGTTGTCTTAGGCTGTTATATAAGTTTACCCACAAAGGGGGCAAATCAAATATAGAGGCGTTGCATGGATTTAGTATGTTGGTAAGGAGAGCCTCCCAAATATACACGAAGTTTCCATTATTACAATGTCTTAGCATCACCACCTGGCCCCACAACGGGATGTGTTGATGTTGCAACACCATTCTAGCAAGCTCAGTATCACATTTGCCTGCCCTGATAGAACACTGATGTTCCAAAATACAACAAGACAACATTCTGGTTGGCGCACCAATATAGTGGGTGTGACCACCTGATGTATTTTCCAATGGGATAGAATAAACCCCAGATCTTTCCAGTGTGGAAACAGGATCTCTGTCATTGGATAGTAACCTCCTAAGATTTGACTGTGGAGAGACTGGTAGAAAGAGCACATGCCACCTAAAAGTATGGCAAATGCGGACAGTGGTATGGCCATAAAATGGTACAAAAGCATTAATACCGTTGGAATAATTTCATATTCATATTCAAAAAAGGACATTAACTATCTTTATCAATCTGACGAAGATGAAAATAATTCTTGTCGAAAGCGCTTGTTAATTTAGCGACATTTATTTGTATTTTAACGCCTGTATGTTAAGAAATTTCTCGTATTAAATGATCGGCGTGCTGTCCAATTCTGATTTATAGTTAACTTGTAGATTAAATTGTCACGATGCTGAGAATTTACAATTTTACTTTCTTGGTGATTGGTCAAATTTGATACCCCCAGTTCTTTGAAATTCTCAACATTCCAGTACTCCTAAGCCTAAAAATGTAAAAAGTGCCTTACAAAATTCTATGTCGGAATCTGTTTTGTATTATATCTTTGGACTCGATGAACCAAAAATTTGAAACTTAGTTGATTTATTTCTATATAAGAGCTACTGATAATATTAAATTTTGGTAGTTAAATGTCAAAGGTGTGGGGATATAGAGGGGTCATGTCATATCTCAAGTGGGGTCAAACTTAACAAAAGTTTTAATTACTATTACCATTTACAATTTCTTTAAAAACTTGTTCCTACCCAGTGATGGGATTCAAATAATTTAACAACTAGTTTGCTACACTAGTGACTATTTTAAGCATAAAAATAATATTAGTAAGTTTATGTGCAGGGTCTTACAGTATTTTTTTCATAACAAATTGGTACATTGGTAAACAGCAAAGTCATTGCATTTACCAGCTGTGAGTATTCAAATGAGAAATCAAGAAATGTTAAGAAATATTTTTAACCAACAATTGGTTAAAAACAATCTTAACATAATAAAAAGTGTTATAAAGATATTGCATAAAAATCTTTAAATATTCCTGATAAAAAGCAAGAATAAAAGTATGAAAATATCTTAAATTATAGTCATTTCATTGGCATCTTCTTTTGTGGCTTGCTTTGCTTTTTTCTGAGGATTGTTTGCAAACCTGGGACACTCCAGCAATAGAAATCAATGTCCTAATATTGGAAACATGTTTATTGTCCTACATTTACCAGATCAAGAAACACAGATGTTTTTGCCAGAGCTTATCATATATATCCACAAGTCAAGCAGAAAATGTCAGATGCTTGGTTGTGATAGGTGGTCGCAGGTCAATGATGAGTTCTCACTCACAGCTGCTCTATTGCATAGGCTCTTGCCTTTCACCCCAGTCTTCATTGAGCCATTAAAAAGTTGACACTCTCATTCCAAAGCATAGATTTTTGCAATAAATTGCCTGAACAACAGTACAATTTTAACAACCAGTTTGCAAAACTAAAAATGTTTTATGAATCAGTTCTTTTTAGTGCAAACTGGCCAAATTCTATTGCTATTTCTACCTTCACAAATAAGTCTTTTGCTTTTTTTTTTTTATAATAAAATCTCATAACAGATGGCCCTACATATAACTTTAACTTTGCAAATTACAAGTGCCAGGAAAGTCATGCAAGAGCCCTTGCCATGTTTTTACTTAGTTTGAAGTCCTTGACATTTAAACTAAAGATATATTTGATAATTGAGAGTAATTTTAGTGTTGTTTTTAATGTCAGCAATTTTATACAGTTGAGAATTGTAATGTTTTATCGCTTTACATTGATTCTAATATGAATGTGGGTTCATCTGTGAATTTATTAATACTTTATTTCAAAAGGATATTTTATTAGTGGTTGGGTACTATTGGTAGCGCTATCGGTACTATTGATGTTTTAAAAATATCAACGCTATCGATAGTTCAATTTTCTATACAACTTTTCACATGAAACTNTACCTTTGAATAAATGCCATCTATTCTTTCTAAATTTGACCATTAGCCACGAAGTTCTGTTATCTTTATTTTCTGATGGACATTCTACAATTAATTAATCTAATATTTGGGAGTATTTCGAAATTGATGAGAAAGGCAAACATCTTCAAACATCTACCAAGTCAGCTTCAACATTTAGATCTTGAGAATTAGAAAACTCATCATCAAAGTGGCCATTGACATGACAAGAAAAAGTAAGTCAATATTTCACCAATGATCGAGATGTTTTCCATATCAATAGCAAAATGGCAACTAATATAAATAAAAAATTGGCAATATTCATTGCATGTGATTCACAACTGTATTCTATTGTTAAAGATAAGGGATTTGTGCAATTTATACACAAATAAGAACCAAGACATAAACTACCCTCACCAAACTATAATAGCAACATATTTGTGCCCAACTTATACAGTGTAAAGAAAAATTTCAAGTTATGGTCGATATAGTGAAACATGTATCCATAACCTTCAGATATGTGGACTTCTATAAATAATCTGTCATATTTAACTGTAACGTGCCATTTTATTTCTAATGATATATTTACATTGTGTATACTTGAAATGCTGATAGCAGCTACTGCTCATACATCAGAGAATATAACAAATTTGTTGGAAGAAGTTCTTTTAAAATGGTCTCTAGAAGATAAAATCGTATGCATAACTACCGATAATGCAACCAACTTGTTAGGTGCTTGCAGCATATTAAAAATTGGGAATCTGTCTTGTTTTGCCCATTGCTTACACCTCGTTGTTTGGGATGCTCTAGTAGGAGATGAAGAACTGATAAGAATAAAGAAAAAATGTAAAGAAATTGTAATTCACTTTAAAACCTCAACCAAAGCTTCTGATAAACTCCAAGATATCCAAACCGAACAAGGAAAAACGCCTAAAAATGTAATTCAGAAAATGGTAATTTGTTGGAATAGTTATCTAAATATGATAAGAAGATTATTAGAATTAAAAGATTATATAGGACTCACTCTTATTTCATTACCAAAATCTCCTTTGCCACTGACAGCTGAAGAAATTATAGTTTTACAAGAAAGTTGTAATTGTTTGGAATCTTTTGAATGAGCAACTAACAGTGTCTCTCGTGATATGTACGTTATTATATCTTCAATTGTTTATGGACCTCACGTCAAGCTAAAGACACTAGAAGATTCTGTTACTACAGAATGTAGTAAAAAGTTATTGTAATCATTAAAAGAAGTAATCGAAAGATTAAATGGTTACAAAACACAAATTGTATGTGTCATTTCAACAATTTTTCAAAAGAACTTCAAAAGAACAAATGAACTTGCAAATGTAATAAAGTCAACTTCAATGGATGCCAAACCGTCTGGACTCAAAAATGAACAAGAAAATAAAGAAATAAGCCTAAATAATGCACCTGATGTTTTTGATTTTTTAAAAAAGAGTAGACATTCACCAAATATAAATAATTCAACAGTGGATGCAATTATTGCTTTCCAGCAGTATATCGAATGACCTATCGAGCCTCCAGATTCCAACCCGCTTCAATTTTGGGTCAACAATGGTAGATATCCTTATTTTGATAATATGAAAACATTTTATCACAAATATGGTTGTATTTGTGGTTCCTCTGTCAGCTCTGAGATGGCCTTCTCGACAGCCGGAGACATTATCTCTGAGAAGAGAAGTTAAGAAATGTAAACTAATATTTCTTTAAAAAAATCATTTTTTAATTGAAGTATAGTTTGTTTTTTCTTAAATAAATCTGATTGTTTGCTATCTGTCTTTATTTGACATCCATTTTAAATAGGTTAGTAACTGATTTCAGATCTCTGATCTGAAATCAGTTACTAACCTATTTAAAATCTCAGATCTATTTAAAATCTTCAGATCTCTGATCTGAAATCAGTTGCTAACCTATGTAAAATGTAACTAATAGTATCAATACTATTGATGTTTTGTATAAAAATATTGATAGATATCGATGGGCATTGCTATCGATAGTATACAACCACTATATTGCATGGCAATCCTTAGGGATTAGTTTCTAAAATTATAATTATTCATCTGTGATTTTTGTGAAATTGTCTAATTAAAATATTACTGAATCTAAATCCAGAACTGGACTTGAGAAATTATTCAGAACTGGAGTTTGAGGAGAATTAAGGTTTTGGGACAATGACTTAAAATAATAATCTAACATGTCAAAAATCTGCAATTTAAGGTTTAAAGTCACCAGATATCCAATAGGTTAGAGTTGCTTTTAAAAGCAAAGAAACAAGATATTTTCCAAGCCATACTTGAGGTACAAATTTAATTTTTATACATTATTCTGTATGTACTGTATATGTAATTGTTATAATCATTTTATGTTCTGATGGAAAGTATAAGTTATTATATGTAATATTTCCACAAAATAAGTTAAGCATTTTATTGATTTTGGATCAGTGTCACACTTACATTGCAGTGACATCACTGACCACATGACACACTTGACCAGAAAATTTTCCTTAAATTGCATTTTTACATATTTTGGCAAATGGAGTACAGTAGGTGATCGGTTAATGAACATTTTTATGATCGGACAAAGAACACTTCACTGAACAAACATAAAAAAAAGCAACGGAAAATAACAAATACCAATTGATTTTCCCTTGTCTTCAGGTAATAATTTGAAACCTTTCAGAGTGCAGGAGATGTCAACATCAATGCTCAACCTGAAACCGATTGGACAGTGTTCCCCGAACTTTGAAACTCTCCATTGTAATTCCAGCTTTTTGTTTACTTTTCTGACAAATAATTTTTTTATAGCCTTCGCAAGACTGTCGGTCACTCCATAACTTTTGCATCGGTTTTTATTTTCTAAAGGTGAGAGTTTAACAAATACCCGACAGGACAGTTAATGTTTTAACACCAAAATTTTGAATTACATTCGGGACTCACATTTACATAATTCTTTCATGCGCTAGTTGATTTCTGTTCTCTGAATTTTTGTGAGTGCTTTTCTGAACTTCTTATTTCAAACAGAAATTGATAATATTATGGAGCATAAAAAGAGTGGAGTGTCAAGAACTGTGCTCACCATAGAAACCAAGCAAGAGATAATAGCCAAAGTAGAGAATGGGCAGAAGATGTCTGATGTTGCTAGGCAGTATGGCTTGAATAGGTCTACAGTAGGCATAATCTTAGCTAGGAAAGATATAATCAAGAAGGCTCAAAGAGCTAAAGGAGTAACGAAAATCACATATGAGAAACAAAGATGTTCCATCCATGAAAAAATGGAGAGTGCGCTTTTAATTTGGATAAAAGAAAGAGAAATGAAAAAAGATGTACAGTAACTAGTATGACTATCATTCAAGAGAAAGCTAGAGAAATTTTTGAAGAACTGGAGAAACAAACTCCACATTTGTCACATGAGGAGATAGAATTCAAAGCTACTACTGGATGGTTTTCAAAGTTTAGAAGAACTGGCATTAAACATATGGTAATTCACAGTAAGTCTGCTAGTGCAGACAAAGAAGAAGATGAGAAGTTCTGTCTCAAATTTGAAAAATTCATTAAAAAAGAAGGATACAACAAATTTCCAATTGTGATGAAACTGGTTTAATTTGGAAATGCATGCCGAACTGTACCTACATTACAAAAATAAGAGAAAAATATTTCTGGGCATAAGCTCACGAAAGACCAATTGACGTTACTTTCGGGAGCTAATGCTAGTGATGATATGGAGCTTATCGCACTTCTTGTCTATCACTCTGAGAACCCTAGAGCATTAAAAAAAAATTCCATAATTAAAGAAAAACTGCCAATGATGTGGAGATCGAATAAAAGGGCATGGGTCACACAGGCTCTTTTCAAAGAATGGCTGTTTGAAGTTTGTATTCCAAGCATCAAGGATTACCTTCAGACCAATAAATTGCCATTAAAAGCACTGTTGCTATTGGGCAATACACCAGGACACCCAAAAGACCTTGAAGATAATTTGCTGGAAGACTTTCTCTGGCTGACAGTTTAGTTTCTACCTTCGAATACCACTTCGTTGGTTCAACCAATGGATCAAAAGGTTATTGCAGGTTTCAAGAAATTGTACATTTGAGCACTGTTTTGTTGGTGTTTTGAAACATGCCAGTTCTCCTCAATGATGACATTAATTAAAAACATTTTGGAAAGAAAAATTTGATATTCTTTGAAGCTGTATGGCTCATTCAAAAGGCATGGTCAGAAGTCACTCAATGACAGTTGAATTCTGCTTGGCAGAAGCTGTGTCCCTCCTGCATTCAGGGAAAGAGAGATGATGTCCCTGAAATTATGGATGAAATTGTGACAACTGCTAGAGATCTGGAATTGGAAGTGAATAAAGTTGACATTGAATAGCTCATAATGGAATCTGAAACTGATCTGATGACAGAACTCCAAGAACACTTAAATGAAGAACACCAAGAAACTCAGCAAGATGTGTTTTCTTCTTCTGAAGAAGAAGATGAAAAAGGATCAATGCCAACATCTGCTATTAAAGTTCTTTTGAAGAAGTGGGAGGATGTCAGAACAACAGTCTTAGAATGGCATCCAAACCAAGTTGAGGTTAATAGGCTTGGGTATCTCTACAACGACAATGCTATTAATTATTTCCGAAAAATCCCGAAGAAGAGAGAAAAGCAATCGACATTGGACAGATTCTTTAACCCCTACAAATGGAAAAAACATGACTAATAAAAATGCAAGACTGTGTATATTATATATGTATTTTTATTATTACATATAAACAAACGTAGTAAGAAAGTATATATATTTTTATTCTTTGGAGTCTCCAGAACGAATTAATCAAATTCCCATAAAAACCTATGGTAAATCAATAATCGGTTAACGAACAAAGTCTTGGAATGGATTATGTTCGTTAACCAATCACCCACTGTATTTTAAACTTACTTCCTTAAATTTAAACTTTAAAAAATGAAAGCTGCATCGTGCCACTTCTACAACAAATTTAAAAAATCTTTCCCCAGTGACCATATGTTTTATTATCCAATTGGAAGTAATGATCTAACAAGCCTGTTGTTTAGAAAGTGTTATTGTCATCTAACATACATGCAATTCCTCTTTGTTTTATAAGGATGGAATTAAGGATTTGCTATTTTGTCAAAAAAAAATTCCTAGGGGAAATGTAAGATTAAAATTCATCAGGTAAATTCTAGATCTAAAAGAATACTTCCTTTGGGGTCTCTGTTGTTCTTAAAGTCCAACTTGAGCAACATCAAGTAAGAATGGCTGCAGAAGCAGCATCACAATGGCAAGCTTGACTTGAAGCTCTTTTCAATTCTTCAATCTATACTTTCTCATAAAAAAAACATTCCATCATGCTTGACAGAAGAATTTTGTTTCTTATCTTTACTGTATAAATTAAATTATATGACCTGATCATTGACACTGCAGTGCTCTTATAAATGCCAACTTGTTTTACTTATAAGAGCATGCAAGCTTCAGAAATTTGAAAATAAGCAATTTTCACATATAAGAGCATGCTGTTTCCACAGATCTATTGTGAGATTGTGTGAAAATTCTAATATGCTTAAAACATTACATAACAATTCAAAATTGGTAGGAACTCAGAATGCATATGCAATTTTCTGTTGCGTGACAGAAAATTGCATGCAAATTCTGAGACTAAAACTAGGTCTTGTTGCATATTTAATAGGCTGCCAAATAATGGCAACAATGTGCACATATGTACTAAAAACTATGCATACTTCATTTTCATTTCCAGGCTCTCATTTAAATTGTCTCTAAACATTTTTGTAAATTGCAATTAGTTCTCACCACTTTTATGTATTTTCTACAGGTCGATGGATATCCCACTCTCCTCCTCTTCAGAAACGGCGAGAGGATGGCAGAATACAAGGGAAACAGAGAATTGCCTTCACTGCACGATTTTGTGCTGGACCATCTACCTCACGATGAACTCTAAGCATTTCATCTTCCCACATTGATGAAATTCCCTAATTATAATTGCATTATCTGAAGAAAATCTACACTTCCTAAATACTGTTTTGGTTTTAAATTTCTAAAGTTAAATTTAAAAATATTTGGTAACTGATTCCGAGATACTAAGTTTACCAACTTGTAAACTTAGTATCTTGGAATCAGGTCCAGATTTAAATTAAATATCTCATCATTTCTTATGTTTAATCTGTCAGAAAGACAGAATATTCATATTCTGCATTGTAGTTATCAAATTCAAAAATTAATTATATAATTTTGATAACTGTGAGATGTGGATTTATAAGATTGCTTTGCAAGGTAGGATGTTACCTTTATACAGTATGAATCTCTCATCTACACAACATTTAAACAATTTAGCACATGAGATAAATTTATTAGCATAAATTTTCAAAAACTGTTTGATGCTCATCCAGTTACTGCATATCGAATGCCATGTCTCGGACACTTATTGGCCAAGACATCACATTCGTACATCTCTCGAGCGTGTCTTTATATTGTTTTGTGGTGAGCAATTCTGAGTATCAAAGCAAATTTTTTTTGTTCCATGATTTTTTAAACAGCTTTCAGAATGTAGTACACATCTGCAACATTATTTTGTATTGAAATTTAAGAACAAATGCACTACCATATCAGATTTGTAGAACCATAGAATATTCCATAATGCCAGATTTCAAATGTTATAATTATATAATGTACCGAGGATAGACTTACCTAGAAATAGATGTTTGGTTAATATTTATAATGATAAAACTATCGCCCATTGACGGTCAGGAGTTTAACAAATGCATTTACCCCAATGAATGAATAATTATAAGTTTTGTCGTCACTTGTTCATACACAATGTTAATTATGGAGTTGTAAAAAAAAATGTATTTTTATAAATAAAGCTGATGACATATTGTGTATTGGGTAATAATGTTTGTTTTTATTGTCTGCATAACAATTTTAATTAGTGTAATGAATTTCCTTCAAACCTACAGTTAAAAAAACTAGTAATACTAAATGCAAAGATTAAACATTTTTGGTAAGTGAAGTTTATTTAATCTATAAAAACAAAATACAGTGACAGTCATATTGTTGCTTTCAGATTTTAGCCTTTGAGACCTGGTCAATAGTACAATTTTTTTTTCCTTGTCCTAACTTTCCTATCAGTTTTCCTTAAAGTAAACCTGACGAAAGGCACCAACAAAAAAATTTGAAAATTTCAATATTCTAAAATCTGAGCAATTTGAGACAAACATGCTTGATTGAATAAAAAAATATATTGACGACAAAGTTTACACTTAAAAATAGTGAAATTTTGTACAGAGGATTTCTAAAACTGCATTAGAGTGAAAACAGAAGTTGTGTTGTACTGTACAAGGGATACTTGTACAGTACATCACAATTCAAAGATTCTTCAACTAATTAAGCTCCCATTCTGATCTTATTTATTTTCAGTCTGGAAATTGATGAGGTTAGTTTTAATGCATCATTTTCCTTCTAAAACTTGTGGCTGGTTGTGTGAACCAGCTACAAATTTGATTGTTACAAGCAATGAAATAAAGGATGATGCCAATCACTCTTACCAACAAGTGGGACTGAGCATTTTAATCCATTTGTTCTCAATAAGTAACAATACAGTTAATTGTCAAATCTTGTGATTCATCTTCACTCATTTTACATTTTTGAAGAGGAATGTAAAGTTACCAAACATCCAAGATTGAATTTTCTTTTTGTAGGCTCCTATATTTGTAGTATGTCTATCTTAATGAATAATCATAGACAATGTCATTATATGCATTAAAAATATAATTTATTAAGAAATTTAACAGGCAAGAATGATTACAATCTTTTACCAAATGGACAGAGAGATTTGTTCAAACACTGGGAACAATTTGGTCTAACCGGAAGACAGATGGTCTGTCCAAACCCTACCAAAAGTGGATTGATCTCTCGCCAATGTTCCCTGGAAAAAACAAATTTTTAATTATCATTTCTAAAAAATAAATTACAGATCTAAAACTGAGTAAATTCTCAAAATTAGAAGACAGCTGGATGGCAGCCTACTGCTGAGGACCCAGGATAAAAAAAAACTAGTCATTTTTTGGGGATCAGTCTCTCATCGTCTGGCTGCCTTCTTGTGGGTTTGGCCAAACAATGAGTTTTCTAAAAACAAAAAAAAAAGGGTCATCATAATGTCCAAGAGTTTAAAAAATTCTTGATTAGTAACTGGATAGTATTGAGAATTATAGGAAAATATGTTTACATATGGAATAGATAAATTATTAGCTCATTTTTTAAATTTAGTATTTAAATTATGTACAGTAAAACTTTCTCAAAATCAAATGTGATGATACTAAGCAGAAAATTTAATAGAGGATTGTTTTTATTAATTCTCTTCTAGTGTTGGGAAGAAATGGCAGTGTTGTATTGTCAGGAAAAGTTTCTTAACAAAAAAATGCTGTAATTTTTGTCAGCAAGAAATTAATTGTATCCAAGTCAAAAAGTTACAGCATTAATTACAATTCAGAATTTAGCTAGACAGATTCCCAGCTTATTTTGTGTACAAAATCATTGTGTTCAAAAATTTATTTACCATTTAGACAGATTTTACTGTGCATGTTTACAATGCCTTAAAATAGTTCATAAATTAATAAACAATGTTCAAAGTATATGATTTGTTAAACAGACAGACATTTTTGTTATATAAACATCTTATATGATGTGAGGTTTGCTGATTGGGGAGAATGTGTCGCGACAATCGAGCGGTGAGCACTGTCGCATGGGAGTGGAAAAACTTATTGAGACAGGTCTTCCATCGCAAACTGTTTATTAAATATAAAAATTTCACTTACAACTACTGTTTTACTTCGGCATAAGGCCTATCCGCAGAGTGAATCAGTTTGTAAATAAAGTTCAGTCTTTTCGACGATCTTCTCTCCTTCTGGCGAAGATGATGAGGAAAACGTAGGCTGCGGGGCACACAGCACAACTTGAAGGGGTGATTCTTGTAGCAGGTTAACTTGGCGAAACTTGCCAGGATGGGATGGTGAAAACTTCTTCCAGAACGACGACCAAGTTTCCGTTGTTGAACCGCAGGAAAAATCCAGGAGCAGAGCACATCGAACTAAGAACCAAGAATGTCACATCCTTTTTTTTGTGCGGTTTTTATAAGTTTTTTCTGGGTCCCAGATCGAACATTCCGATAGGTCAATGCCAATCTACCCCTGTTCTCTAATTGGTCCCCCCTCCCCATTATGAATTGTAACGAGATCAGAGCCCAGATCGTGGGGTGAGTCAATACCGACCAACAATTTGATTCCTATCGAAGATATTAGATCTAAGCACTCAAATTCATCTATTGTTTCATTCTGAGAAATTCGTTTTTTCTCAGAAATTTCTACAGATATGTCTTTATATGGACATAAAATATTCATTTTGCATTTGATGGTTTCTTTTTACAATATGAAATAATAATTATAATTATTAAAATTTTTTTTCATACGAAATTAAAACATTTTCTGTGCATGAATTTTGACCCACTTCTGGAGCTTCACAATGAGAACAAAAATCAGATATATTGAGTTGTTCGGAAAGTAAGTTCGTTTTTTTTATCACTAGACGGATTAGTGGTATTTTTCCCACCATTTTCGTTCTAAACCGTATTATCATTATATATTTTGACAGCTAGCATTTTATGGCTTATTTGTAAAAAAATTTGTTTGATTTCGTGCAATTGTTTATTTTTTGTGTCCCATGAAATATGGAAGATCAAAAGCAGCATCTTCGGCATATTTTACTTTTTTATTACCAAAAAACAAAAATGCCATTCAAGCGAGAAAAAATCGTGTGACATGTATGGTGATGTGTTGACAGAACAACAGTGCCAAAACTGGTTTACAAAATTTCTTTCTCGCAATTTCAGTATTGAAGATGCACCATGCTATGGACTGAAGCCAATGAAAACAAATGAAAACAATTGAATTTGAATTGAAGCCAATGAAAACAAAATAAAAGTACCGATTGAAGCAAACTGTGGAATAACAACACATGAAATCACTAAGAGATTAAATTTGTCAAATTAAACTGTTTATGAGTACTTGAAACAAATTGGTTTCGTTTCAAAGCTCGATATATGAATTCCATGAGTTCTTAAAGAGAAATGCTCTATTTGGTGGGAAATTAAGAAAATTTTTTTTGGAGCTTTTACCAGACAATTTGACAATTGATTGGAAAGTGAACTGCATTCGAGTAAACAAATTGCATAATATCATCAAACAGAAAAAGCCAGCCAGAATTGATAAAAAAAAAGAACAGCTGTAGTGTTTTACCATAATAATGTCAAATTTCACACAAGTTTGGTAACTTGTCAGAAACTGTTACAACTTAGATGGGACGTGCTATCACACAAACTGTATTTGCCAGATCGAGCACACTCGGATTATTACTTGTTCCGGTCTATACAATTTTTTTAACTGTAAGACATTTACTTGAAATGACAATGTCAAAAATCACTTGGATTGGTTTTTTGTAAGCAATGATCAAAACTTTTATGAATGTGAAATCGTGCTACTACCAGAAACGATGACAACAGGTATTTGACCAAAATGGTCAACATATAATTCAATATTCTACAACACGGTTTGAAAATTGGGGATATCCCCCATACAATAAAACTTCTGTTTTGGAAATCCTCCATACAAAATTTCACAATTCTTTGTTATTTTTTTAAATTCAAGTAAGCACGCATGTGATCTCAAATTTGTCCATGAATTTTAGAATATTGAAATTTTCAATTATTTCACACTTTTGTCAGGTTTACTTTAATGAAAACTGATAGTGCAATTCTCTTCTTTGTTGTCCTAACTTTCCTATCAGCCAACTGTTGTTGCTTTCAAACATTAGCCCTTAATACTGTCACTGTGTTTTTTTTTTATAGATTAAATAAACTTTACTAAATATGAAGATTAAACATTTTTAGATAAATGCTATTAAACTTTTTTTAACCTGTAGGTAAGCAATCATTCATAAAATGAACAAAATATAGCAGTATCTTTGTATTCGGACACAAATTCTGAAAAAAAGTCACTCGGTACTTGACTGAACAAATGCAACCCACTAGAACAAATTTTCAATTAATAACATATTTTTATTTTGTCATCTATAAGAATTTTTTTTGATAAAACTAAAAATATGAAAATGTTGCCGCTACTCCTGATGAAGATTGACAAAAAATCTGAGATGACAACAATACTTTGTAAAAAGAAAAACACCCCAATTTAACTAAAATTAATATTAATATGCAATACAGTACTCTTAATTCTGATTGTTAATTAATTATTGATTGCTTTAATAAACATATTTCTTTTAATAACAAGAATTGTATACTTTTGCTAACTTCTGGAACATAATCCCATGTTTTGCATTAGTCCTTTGTTTCGTATAGCATGGATTTGCATAATATGGCAGTTTTTCGGAACCTAACTACCACATTATACGAGGGATAACTGTACTATGACAAGAATAACTTATTTGGAACAAATATGGATCAAGATGAATAAAGTCCCAGTAACTTTGTGTCAGAGAATGAATCCTTCACATGATCCTGAATACAATCCATTTGATTCAGCTGGAAAGATGCCATAGAAAGTTTTTTATAAAGTTTAGATAATGCAACTTGGTTATTTTATGCATAAGCTCTTATAATAGCATTTCCATTACCAGCAACATAAAAAAAGGCATTTTAAATTCCAAAAATACAAAGATTTGGAATGGGTGATTAACTTTTTTGAAGTAAAAAGGTAAATAGAAAAGAGTTGTAAGAAAAGCATATTTGAAAACAGAAGAAGAAAGACTGATGATGATGACACTGGAGAAGCTAAAAAATATTGACAGTAATTATAGAAGATACACTGAAGAAAGGTATGAAAATTTCTGGAGCAGAACAGTATTTTGTGAAAGAAGATAAAAGTAATTTAATGGTTAAGACAGTTTTTCCTGTATTGTTTTATATTGCATAAATGATGGTTTGAATTTATAATTTCTACCTTGTCACTTTTACATTTATACTAACAGGCTAAATGTAAAAGAGATAATGATAAACCAACTGTTGAAGATGAGATATTTGTTCTGGAAATGATAAATCAAACCTTCAGAAAGTCAAAAATTTTTCAGTTATATTCTTGTTTAGGCCTGTTTATGAATTTTTAACATTTTTACATGCAATTCAATAAAAATATGTTCTGAGATATATATTTATTGAGTGTGTTTTGTTCATCTTGACTCTCTTTCTTGATCTATTTAAAATAGGCTGTATTTATAAAGGCATTTTAATCAACCTCTGATCATGGATTTTTGCATTGTTGTACATATATTGCTGTCATTGAACCTTGCTGAAACATATTATTATTAGTTGAAAGATATACTGTAAATGATATAATCTCCATACAGATAATAGTACCTATAGTAGGATGTTTGCTTTGTATATGTGTGCATGAAACAAAGCAGTAAAGAAGCCACCTCGTCACTGTACGCTAGAAAATACATCTCCCTACATTATCTGTCTCATTATAGAAGCAACATCAGCATCCCAATAAAGCTGTAAACATCCATTAATTATTATAAAAGTACTAGAGATAACTGTAAGGGAAAAAATACTGCTTTTGCAAACTATTTCTTGAAGAAGCATCCACAAACTTGTAGCAAATGGACTATAGAACTGTTCAATACTTTATATAGTTTAGTTTTTTTCTGTTGTAATGTTGCTATATATCTAACCAAATGATAATAAGGATACCTGAAAGCTAACAAATATAAGTAACTGAAAATTTTCTGTTACAAGAATAATACATAACAACAAGAAAAACACTAGGTTTAAACTTGGATGTCCACTTAATATCAAACATTTTATAGTTTATTTGATTGATAAGGTCCAAAAATCTAGATAGATTATTAGGGCCCCTCATTGATTAAATGTAACAGTAGGCTTCTTGTAGAAATCACAAGATTGCAAGAGAATATAGCAAAATCTAGCAGTTGCATTCTAAAGCAGGGTTGTTACATCAATTCTGCACATTTCTCCAATCTATCGAGCTGATTTTTTAACTTTCCACTCACTAAATATCATCGAAATAGCCACCACTTTGCACAGTTTTCAACTAAGAGAAATTCAAGTTAGATAATAATTTCCTAAATACAAATACTACTGCATGAGATTGTTAGTATGTTGTCACTTGTGTGGATGCAGAAAAAAGCTTTCTGAGAACTCAAGTTCTGGAAGTATGGAACTTACCGATTGGAAAAATTAATTTGACAAATCAGATGATAACGTATCACATGAAAGGCCTTACCTCAACAAGGAAGATTGGAAAAGCATTCTTAGACATTATACGGGATGATGATTGATTACAACATGAAGAATATGTGAGGAGAAAGAGTAAAAAAAAATGTGTGAAACTTCCCTCTCCCAATTTTAATCTTCAAAGTGAAAATGGACATTTTATGTAATAAATTATGTAAATTGGGTTTTCAAAACAAACAGGTCACTAAATAAATATATAATTTATAAATGGGGCCTTTATAAAACAACAAAATTTTTTGATGAGAATCAATTGCAAAATGAAAAATTTATGCTTTAAAACATACATAGTGATGTGCCGGATCGTTAAAAATGTATATCCGCGGATACGGATACGGATCATTCGTGTCTAGATCCGCGGATACGGATACGGATCTCAACTTTCGTACTCAGTCGGCGCCGGTGTGTGTGACCTTGGACCGATAGTTGACGCTTTGCGTTAATAACGTGACGTGTTTTGACTTGCACTGCGCGTGTTTTTGTTTATGGTGTAAAAATGTGCTAAATTAGAATTCACCACAAAGGCAGACAGGATAAAGTAACAAAAGTTGATATAATTTTCCAATTAAGCTATTTCGCGTCTTTATACAGATTCTATTTCGGGGGATTCCAACTTCACGGTACAAACAGTAGCATGCGAAATTACAGCGATAATAATAGTTCGCTGTATCCAAAGCACGTGTACAATACAGATCCCGATCGCGACAATATAACCCGGAACCTTAAAACTAACCTTAAACACTAACTTAACACTAATAACAGAAAAAGGGATAGAATTAAGAAGACAGAAAAAATGGTAGATAAGATAGAAATAGGGATATCTGGGGTTTTGTCCCTTTTTTCGGCTTGTTTCTTTATGCGTACTGTTGGGTGGGATAACACACGTCCTTCTCCTATAACTGGCCAGTTCTCTTCTTCAATAATTAGGATTTTTCCTTCCACAGTCGTCAATACGACCTTAAAACAGGATCTTTTTTCTGAACTTATTTCTGAACTATCCGGTCATTGAAAATACGACTCCCAGTATTCTCACCTCGTCCGTACACTCTGCCGTCCGGTTTACGAATGACCTGCTACGTCACTTCTCTTTTTTCTCCGGCTCCTGTTTACACCTTTGCTCCTCAAATTTCTAGGAACTGCTCATCCCACCCAAGGGACAGGGAATAGATAAGAAAGTTCTAGAAGAAAATAGAACAATAGAACAAAGGGTAGAAAGAAGAAACGAAACTAAACTAAAATTAATATTTACAAAAATATAGCGTACCGCCACAATAGTTTAGTGCAGTGTTTCCCAACCTTTTTTGTGCTATGCCCCACCTAAGCCTTTCTAAAATTCTTATGTCTCCCTAACATATACAGCGGCTATACGGTTAACTCAAACTCTGGACAAGTACAAGTCCATTTTCGAATTGCCTTCTTTAGCAATCCAATTGCCCCCTGTGGGGCGTGGGCCCCACGTTGAGAAACACTGGTTTGTGGCTAGTGTGACACGGGATAGCGTAGATTACGTTTGTTTTTTGGAGAGTGTTGAGTTAAATTAAAATAAAAACAATGTTGACAAAAAAATTTAGTAGTGTAATATGGAAATATTTTACGATAGTAAATGACGAATGTGCTATTGCTACCTATCTTTAAAATTTCATATAAGTAATGAAATTCATTAAGATAAAAGATCCGTTAAAGATCCGCTAAAAAGTAACGGATATGGATATGGATACGGATCTTTTTTTTCCCTCGGATATCCGCGGATACGGATACGGATATGGATATCCGGCACATCACTAAACATACATTTCTTTGATGATAATCAATTTTAAATTGGAATTTTATAATTTAATAAAACATTTTTCATTACTAAATAGGATTAGTCATTTTATTTGACGGCAGATCATTTCAAACAGCCTATCAAATGAATTTATATAGCCTCAAAATCCAAGTTATAAGCATTCTAGATCTATAGTTTCTAGAAGAATTGTTTTATATTTCTGAAAATGTTAATAAATATTCAAGAAAATTAAATTGTTTTACTAAATGCAATAATTATTAACAATTTTTTTTGTAAGGATGTTATTCTTCTGGTATATTCTAAAACAGAATTTAAAGAAATTTATATCTTAATATAATAGTTACAAAAGGAATTTTTTTGACTCCACCCTATGAACACTAAGCAGGCCTTTTCTCAAGTTTATTATACATTCAGCCAGGCCCACAATAGAGCAGCTTGACTTTTCCAAGCTGCCCTATATGGGTCTGGCATAATTAAGATAGACTGCCCATGTAAAATTCTCAGGATCACTTACTTTGATCCTGGTTCCTCAGAATGACAGGCTGACATCTGTGTCTCAGCTATCTGAACAGCTCTTAAAAGGTTTTAAATATCTACTAATTATCAGGTTTAAATTTTTTTCTAAGAATTTAAATAAAAAAAAAATCTTACCTAGGTAACCAACTTTCTAGCTGAACACGAGTATCTTCAGGTGTGGAAGTCTGTTTTCCAACCCAATGCAGCCGGTTGGCAATTCTGTGAACGTGGGTGTCTACTGATATACCCACTGTTTTCTTCCAAGCAATCGACATTGCCAGATGTGCCATTTTTGGTCCAACGCCTGGAAGCAGACATAACTCTTTCAATGTGTCTGGGATGTCTCCATTATATTTTTCTGACAGTATTTTGGTTGTTTTACGGATATATTCTACTTTCCTCTAAAATTTGAATGTTAGTTTATAGAAGTATTTTTATACCTTTATAGAAAACTTTTAACTGTACCTTCCAAAATCCTACAGGATATATGAGTTCTCCCAACTTCTTATCATTTGTCTTTAAAATATTTTCTACTGTCAATCCGTGTTCTTTCAGGCGTGTCATTGCTGCATATGTAACATCATCTTTGGTTTGACTTGAAAGCATCAAGGATATTAATGTCTGATAGCGATAAACCTATAAATGAATGAAGGTAATAATTTAAGTTTATAAAGGTATTAATGCATCTTTTTGCATTAATATCTGTAGTAATTTAATTATAAACGAAAGAATTATGCAATATAACTTTGCACATAAATAATAAACTTAACAATGCAGGTACAGTAGAGCATCGATTATCCGAAACAATTCAGGATTGGGGTTGTTTGGATAACCGATTATGTACGGAAAAATATATTAACCTATCCCATGTTGAAATTCATTCAAATTCTCGTGTGTCCTTAAGTACCCTCTCATGGTTGCGCCAGTGCTGCCAGCTAAAATACGCACACCAACAAAATTAATATTGGAGTAGCCCATACTAAAATTGAAGTAGCCCGTACTACATGTTATGTTAGTATTGGAGTAGCCCATACTACATAACAATTGGAGTAGCCCATACTAAAATTTAAATTTCCACTAGTGCCACAGCACTAGTGGAAATTTAAATTTGCCAACTGGAATGCTGTCGATTAACCAATGTTTTGGTTGATCAAGGATAATCAATGCTCTACTGCAGGTGTGGCCAAACTTTTATCGCTTAGGGGCTATGTTTTTGGTAAAATATAGTCTGCGGGCAACTATGAATATGGGCAAACAATTCTAGGATTTTTATGTGTGCATGCATTAACATTCATTTGCATTGTTCATCGGAATAAATACAAACAGTATGGGTACGTTGCAAAGACAGTCTATTATTGTAAGAATAAATTATCAAATTTTAAACATTAATTTAAGTGAAAGCAAATTGTTCAACTTTAGCTTCGTGGGCTACTTTCAAAACCTTTGCAGTCGACCGGTCAACCACAGTCTACGTGTTGGCCATCCCTGCTCTACTGTATTACTATAGTTTTTACATCAATATAATAAAAATTAATCAAAAGTCCTTTTAAACTTTAAATTTAAATAAACATTTTTGTATTTCATTACATTAAAACAATATATAAAATTAGTTACATGAAAAATGTAAAAATAATAATGATTATACCAAAAAATTACAAATGGAGTTAATTAGTTTGGCCTTGAACAGCTCATTTACTTAAAAATCAATATCATGTAGTGAATATCCATAATATTTAATAGTAACCAGTAGTTCTTTAAGCAAGGTGTGACAAATAAGTTCCAAGAATTCTTTTTTAACAAATATGAAGTGTTGGCAGGTATATGTTGCACTGCACCCTAGAAATTAGCTAAACATTAGGGTGTTTGTGTACTAAATATCATCTTGGTGGCTCACAAGTAGCAGAGAAGCATGAAGATGGGAGATCATCTGTGGTGCTGGTGTTGCATTTCAAAATGTCAGACTTACAGGAGCAACTTCAAATTTCAAATTTTGTGTAAAATTAGAAAAAAAATGGCCTCAGAAATCCACAAACTGCTAAGAAGCCACAAAATGACAGTAAAAAGCATGGTTTATTCAACATAATGCACCATGTCAAGAGGCAGTCTGTGAACCAGTATTTGGTCAAAATTGCATTGGTTGAACACCCTCTCCATTTGTCAGATTTAGATTCTTCCAACTTTTTCCTTTTCCAAAAACTGAAAATTCTATTGAAATAAGAAACTTTCAAAGATATGGATACCATACGTGAAGACGTAATAAGTACTCTGAAGGCCATTGCAAAATCCAAGTTCCAGAACTATTCCAGCTGCTCTAGAAATCCTGGAAAGTGTACAATAAAGGGTAAACATGCCAAAATCAAGACACTGAAAATTCCCACAAATAAAAAAATGAACAGGAGATACAAAATTAATCTTATTTATTTTAAAATAGCACATTACTTTTGTAATTACAACACCTTAAGCAACACCATAACCTGCTGAATGGACTTTACAAAATTACTAGTCAAGCTTATGCACAAGGCTGTTAGTTACTTTATTTGATGCCCAAATCCATTTGCATTAAAAACTTTCTTCATTTTGAACAATTTTACTTGTTTTCTTTTCAAAATTCTTTTAACAACCAACCAATACTGTTCGATTGGCCAGAGTACTGGTGTGTTTGCTGGTAAATTCTCTTAGAATACAATACTATTATCCTGATACCATTTTTTAACATCATTATAATACTATAGTGACAAGGTTGAAGTCTGACAAGAGCAGTGGCTTATCAGTATGTAGCTTCAAGAAAGGCAAAAGTTTTAAAGACATTGTTTTAAAAGATTGTCTGAAAAAATGTCTTCAATGTTAGATGGCTTGCCATATCATAAAGTAATTAGGAAACCTAGCCATATTTATTACCTTATTTATTTATTACCTTACAGTTTTTTATTATATTTATTACCTTACAGTGCTCCATAGCATTTTCACAATTAGAAGAGGTGTAAAAATCTGAACAGCAAGACTTTCTAAAGTTGGCAAAACAATATCTTTCATCATCCATCACAATACACTGGTACTTGGACAACAAACTGTCACTATCTGGATTTCACTACTAAATTTTGTTTTGCATCCAGATCTGGAACAATCTGGGCTTTGTAACTCTTCAGTCTAGCTCATAATTTCACTTTTTGAACATTGAGATATTTTCAATTTCAATAAGGTTTTGATTTTCTTTGAACAATTATCAAACCTTTTGCTATTTGTCAGAATTAAATTCCCTATTTATCACCACTACTGTACTTTTCCTTAATAGCGAGAAATTCTCTGAAGTTTTTCAAGGCTTTTGCAACTGTATATTTTGAAAGTTTTACACTCTGTGCAAGATTTTTACACAAAGACATGGATCTTTCACTATACACGTGCAAAATCAGTTTGCAACATTCCAATTCTGATGCCAATGTTTGGACAGTTAGTGAATTAAATGCTATTGTAATTTTTTATTTCATACATATACCAAGTACCTTTTGCTAAAAAACCATTAGCTCTAATTGTTGAATTTAAATCTGTATAAATTGATCATGGTGTCCCAATTTTGGCATGTTCACCCTTTATCTCAAGGAGACTACTTTAATGGTGATCCATTCTAAGTAGCAATAAGTGCTTTCATTTATTTAATAAAAAATCATTCTTGGAACTTTTGATCACACCTCATATAAATTTACAGATAGCAGACAACATATAAAATATAAAATCTAAATCCATCATTGCGTGGACATTATGTATTTCATTATACTGATAATTAATATCAGTTTCATTATAATGATTGGTTTAATACCTCTATTGAATAGTTGCTTGTTAAATTGTTATGAAAGCATTTCAGACTAGAGAATTTACGTTACAACAAATCTTCCGTACAATAGAAGGTAATCTACAAAATATTTTTCAAAAAACTAAAAGCATCACATACACAATCTGGAGCATCTTCATCTCCACATCTTTCAGCACCCATGCTATCAACTGGTGCATTGCGATTCTTTCTCATCTCTTGTATATTCTTTAGAACATCTTTCCAAGAAGGTGGTTCCCATCTTTCAATCTTATTGTCTTGTTTGTCGCAAGTAATGCTAATGTGCTTTCTTTTTTTTGCTTTACTTTTCCGACTATTCTTCTCTAAAGTCAAATTTTTACTAACTGATTCAAAATTCTTTTCATCATTTGATTCTGTTGATTTTTTATTTGATCTTGTTAACATTCTCAATAAACTTGGCAATTTTAAATTACAAACAACTTTAAACATATGAAATCGAACATAGAACTAAAGATTCTACAATTTTGGCATGTTTTTAAAGTATACTTTTACCCAATTTAAACCAAAACTGTATAATTAACGACAGTAATTCATAGAAGAATGTGTATTTAAACTAACTGAACAATTCAACCGCAATTTAAACTTAAATTTAATGCATATTGATTCAAACGGTTATAAAAACCCGCCAACCATTACCACGTGTATTACTACAGCGCCACCTAAAATAATATGAATTTTGAAGTGTAGGAGGCAGTGACGTAATTATAAAACAGAAATGCTTTCTGTTACTAATTAATTTTTTAATTAATATTATTATTAAATGTATAAATAAAATTTTATTAGTTTTATTAAAATTATATTAAAATTCAATAAAGTTTTAATTTTAATTTTTCGATTCAATATATTATGGACAAAGTGTGGCCGCTCCGAGTAATTGCGTTCGAACTTTATAATTTAATTCTAATTTTATATATAAGAAATCATAATAAATGCGTAATTAATTACTTCATAATTTACAAGTATTTATAAAAATAATTGTTTAGTATTTGGGTAGAAGCGATAATATTTCGGAAAACACAGTCGGACCCGCAATAACAACCACCTTTAAACGGCGGCCATTTTTTCTGGAACGGTTTTTTTTAAATGCTTTCGAAATAACTTCTAACTACCGCCACCTCCGAACAACGGCCATTTTTTAATGTTTTCTTCAGTGACCGTTTAACAGAGGTTTATCTATATTTTAATAAATTTATTAATTTTTCTATAAGAATTTTAATTAGGAATAATAAAATTAAAATACACGAATCTACATTTATGTATTTATAAAAGCAAAGATAGAAAATTTGATAATCATTCGGGTGGCGATGCCGCATTCGGTCATGCTTCTATTACAAGGCGCTGAATCATAACATTTGCTTCCTATGAGATGCGGTTTCTATTTATTATTAGATAAAATTGGAAAGAAGAAATTAAAAACATACAAACTGAAAATTATGCTCAAATAATTTTGTTAATATTGTAAGTTTATTGGTGTTTGAAATTTGGAGTTGACCCAGGAGCGCGCAACGTATTGCTTCATAAACTCGATTTTAGGACTCGTAGATTAAGTTTTAACCTAATCCACGAGCGAGAGGACCGAGTTTCTGAATCTAAACATATAAAACACATTATTTCAACTTCTAAAGAAAGCCTAAATTGTTTGAAACTCGGTCACATTTCGTGCCCGGGTTTATAGTTAGACAGACACGAAGATATTTTTAGATTGCACAATGCAAATACAACTATTTTTGTGTTTGGAATCATAATAAACCCATTGTGCTTTGCGTAACAGTCCTATAATCCTACACTCATTAATCTTGTTTCTTTGGCCCGTCGGGTAGACAAAGCGAATTTCTTTCATCTGTGTGGTTTCGGATACAAAACGGTTCTCGTGGCAATAGTCCAATTTAGTTCTTCTATAGTATTCTTTTACAAATATCAATTATATAAATATCGTGAAAATTAATTATATTTTTTCATAAATTATAATTAACACAGCTTATACTTAAGCGTCCAAATTAATTAAATGTTTATTTCGAGTAAAAAAAATGAGGGCACAAGAATTCAAAACGGCGAAGAAGAAGCGCTTGAACTTTGATCCGGGAGCGGCTACTCTGCCGGTTTTCTTAACAATCTTTTCTATCTCACCTTGAATGCGGCTCAATTTTCTTGGAAATTAAGGGCATTCCGTATGCGGCTCCATTTCTATAAAATTTATTGTAAAAGTCGAACTAGTTTCATAAAAAAATTTACGAATTTCAAAATATATATATGAGAATAAGTAATAATTTCATCAAATAATTACTAATTAAATTAAAATTTTAATTAAAAGTGTTTAAAGTATTTTAAAAAGAAAATTTTTGGGAACACAATATTAAAATTTTAATATTTTTAGATTTTAGACAAGTTTCGAAAGTTGTTTTTAAAATTTAGGGGGCGTTTGCACATCCTGTCTATGCAAACATGACCCTAACCAGTTTAAGTTTATGTAATATTTAATTTATATATTTTTCCCCTAAAAGGTTCTTATTAATATTCAGTTTTGCACCAAAAACAAAAATAAATTTATAAGACTTTTTTTGTTTTCACCACTAGAAAAAATAAAATAATAATAAAAAATGTTAGGAAATCCAATTATTTTTAAAATGGCGAATTCTATTCGCGTCATCTAACTTGAAGAGAAATTTTTACTTTTTCAAACACTTTTAAACGACTTTTAAAATTAATTGGCGTGTTTAATTTAAGCATTTGAAATTCACGTTTTATTTTTTACTTAATTAATATTCGGCTCAACAATCACTCGAAGCGGGTCACGTCTCGCGTTTTTCAAACCCGAAATTTTGCTTCTCAATGAAGATATTTCTAAACATATTTTCATTCATAAAGTGTGTATCGTGTGCCCCACTTATCTATATTAAAAAGTTTGCAAATTCATCCTCTTTTATTGTTTCATTGTAAATGTTTTTACAGTAGTTGGAAAATTTGCAAATTTCAGCATAATAGCTACAGAAAAGTTTACCGAAAAATGTTCAGCTTAATTACTCCAACATTTTTAAAAGTCTATCCACCCTGTGGGCGCTAAGAAGGTCTCTTTTTTAGCATTCTCCTGGACCCATAATAGACGGCCGAATGGTTAGGGACGGGCCCGGTATTACGAATGGGTCAACCCCGAAAAATTCCTGGGCTTTTCGATTTATTCGGATACGATTTTGAGTTCCCCGGGGCGAAACGGCAGACCTTAATCGATCGGCATTTGGTCCGAAAAAGTGACTACGAAAAGTGCTTCCTGTAAGTGTCCCGTATTCTTTAAACTCCACTTGCCTTTCTCTATGCTTTTCCTCTTTGTATTATATTATTGTCTTATTATCTACGAATCCCTCTTGTTTTCCTCTTACTCGTCTATTAATCTCGTGTATTCTTTAGCCTCCTCTTGTATTCCTACGAGTCTTGTTGATTTCTTAATCTTATCTTTTATGAATTTCCCTTATTTTTAACCTCACTTTGCTCATCTATGAAGATCCTTTGTCTCTTCCTTTTTTCCGGGTTTCCTTCACATCTAAATAGGGACAAACCCATTAACAGTCCTCTCAGGAGTCATCGTCTATTGGCAAATCGCCCATGTGCCGCGTTATGCCATTACTCCCCTCCGCCTCCTTTGCTTTTTCTTAATCTTTTATGAATTTCGTTCGTTTCTTAACCTTCTGTTTTCGCCGTGTTTCGACTGTTTCTAAAACTCTTCTTGTTTCCCCGAGAGTTTCCTTTATTTCTTGGAGTTCTTTTCAGTTTTCCCCATCTTCCTCATCTCGCTCCTATTAACACTTAAAACATTAATTTTCTTCCTCTTCGAGAAAATGTAAGTGCATTTTTACCAGGAAGCTTCTAAATTCTGTTACGTTTACGCAATGCAAATTCAAATCGCTTCGAAAAATACAAGATACCAAAACAAGGCAAAATAAATATTGCAAAGGTCGAAGGCGAGCGTGACAACTCATCAATTCTAACACCCCTACGGGCATATCGACTATTAAAAGCGGGTTTAGTTCCAAAACTACTTCACTAGTTACAATGTACGGGTCATAGTTCACCCATCAAAACTAAACTAATTATCAGAGCAACGTGTATTCCGAGGACATATCTCGACCGGAACGACCCTACTAACTAACACGAACGGTACAAACTGAATTTTAAAGCTTTATCGTAAGCGTTATTCCTTTCAAGATGAGGAATATTCGTGTTAAATTAGAAATAATCTAGAAGCGTGAAGAGCAAGAAAGGAGTAGGAGGAGCTCGCCGGGCTTAATATATGGCATGACTAATGTATATAAATTGCCAGACGAGATTCCTAGGAAGTAAAGAAAGAAAACAGCTGGAGAAACGGGTCGGCTCGTTCGGTTTGTATTCTCCTGACATCTGTATTCCTCATCAATTTGCTGTGTTTAGTACCCCTGGAAGGGGAAATTTTACTTCATTTTCTATTGTAAGAAGTGTACTTGAAGACATTACTTCTGGCAATGTCTCGATCTAAGGCAATCCAGTATCGTCCGATATTGTAATTTATGAGCTAATTATAGTATAGAAAAAGGTGAAGGTCGTCATAGGAGGTTCTCGGAAATGTCATATGAATAAATCTGCAGGTGTAAACTTCAGGTGTAGATTGTTTTGACGAAAGAACTAGGAAGTGTTGGTTAAATAACTCTATAAGCAAATAGCACTAGAAAATATATTAACAAATTCAATAGCTAAGAAAGCGACAAAGAACTTTACTTTTCTACCCGAGTGTCTCGAATTACGCAATTAAAGAGGTCACGAGCTCGTATGAAGGATCTAATCACATTCTGAGTGACATTAAGTAAAATATTAAATTAAAATAGACATATTTACTGTTTACTTATTTAATAAAACTAACGAGAACATTGTTTTTCTTTAATTAAATCTAAAGAAATTAGATTTTTACAGCTTTAAAATTAATTATCGAGACACAATATTAGGGCAAAAATCCACTTTTTGAAAGTTAATTTAAACGTTAAAAAAATTTTATACGGAAAAATGGCATTTTAATTTGTTAAAATTATAAAATTAAGAAGTCATTTAAGTTGGAGAATGCCAGAAAAACAGAATATAATTAATTTATTTGATTTTACAACCCGAGGGATCCGGAACCATAGCACGTTGTACTCCTTCACGTTCCTCTAATTTACAGTAATTTCTTTATTTTTCAATAAAATTTTGTTAATTTTATAACACAATTCTTTGAATAAATTACTTAAAATTAATCGTAGATCTGTAGATACGTTAATTATCATTATTTTTCTTACTCTGATGATATCAACCCCCATGATTATTCGAAATTTTTTAGGTCGCAAACATATCTTCGCTATCTTTATAAAAATTAAATCGTTAAATAAATAAATTTAAATTAGCTAATTTATTTATTCAAACTAACTTAAATTCTATAAAAATTCGCCACTTTTTCTTATTTGAAACCAGGAAGAGCGGCGCGACACTAAGCTCGGACTCGTCCTTTTCAGTCACACAAATGCTGACTACTGTAATTTGGATTATAAAACTCTATCATTAATGGCAGCTTACGAACCTTAAGGTTAGACCTGGCCATGCCATACCGTAGGATCCATTCCAGTTCATTAGAATTCTGTACGCGTGAGATAACATCTAACACCCCGAAGATCAAATCGCCACACTTCAGAGTAGTTTATCTTAAACAAGGTCTCTTTAGATGTTTATCTTCCTGTTTATAAATAATAGAATAACATAACGGTTATGAGACCCCCAAAAACTTGAAAAAATTCCCCTAAGTTCGAGGACAAATTTAAATTATTGCTATTAATAAAGATATTTATGATGATATATGGCGAGGACATCTCTTTTCGCTCCATATATAGAAAAGGGATGTTTAAGGTGCGGAGTTGGAGAGATGCCAGAGTATCGCGGCTCACGAAAGAGGAATTTGTTGTTTTTTACGGATTCCGAAACTTCATAAATTACCCGTCCACAACTGCATGCAATATGTGTCATGGTTAGTGGACGTGTGGGGGAAAGTGAATGAGATCTGTAACGATGTTATGCTACTTTTTATTTCATTCTATATCAAAACTGGAAGTCGTCTTCCCCTCCAGCTATGTACATTTCTCTATTAATATTCTGTGACATTTATGACAAAAAGTGATAGAATAATGAAATGATATTTTTATTATTTATTTCATTTTATAAAAATTAAGGAATTTTATTTCAAATTTTTTGTATGTTATATAAAAGCTCCCCTAGTGAATAAAATTTAAAATGTCTAAGGATTTAAGTTTTGTCACTAGAGGAGCTTCTTGATTTTAATATATAATTTAAAAATTGTATAGCCCAAAATCAGCAAAGTATTTTATAATTAATCGAGATGTAAATAATTTGATTTAAGTTTATATTATTGTGTTCGATATTAATTTAAACAATGTAGATATTTCTGTAATATTATAAGGCTATTTATTCAAATATTTATGAAATAATGTGATTACAGTATTGTACTTACCGAAAAATCTTCAAAATAGAAGAGTTTCTTAATCAAAAATGAAAATTTTTGATGAAATTCTTACGTTGTTTCCTTTTATTAATGAGATTTTAATGCGAGAACCTAATAAATTTAATAAAAATGTAATTAAAGTTGTGAATAGCTTTCAATTCTTCGTGGTTGGGGCAATTTCACGCTTATTGAAGCGCACAGTTACAATAAGTAACGGCCGAATTGCAACGTCTAAAGCTTAAAAACTTATTCATAAATGCATCCAGGTTTCATTTATCAATCCGAATTTGGGATTTATATATAAAAGAAGGCAAATATAACTCACGGATGTCGTAAATTTCAAGATTATGCAACAAAACGCGCGAATTTATTCTCGTATTTACATAAGAAGCCCGCTTCTGGTTATACATCTTACGGTAGGGTTTTCATTGAATACTAAATTTAGGGTATAACAGGGTAAGAAAATTTAGTTAAGGGGTTACAGCGTAACGCCAAATGATGTTTCTTAACGTAATGCTTAAGACCGGTTGCAGCAGTTTTTGAGCATTCGGTTACCTGATAAATGGAACTGGTGCAAATAATTTAAAGATTAAATATAAATAAATTATAAATTTAGATAAAATAGAAGTTCAAAAACCTGTTCGAAAGCAGTCAAATTTGAAATTTTGTACTGTTTATACCGTTTTCTGCAATGGATCTTCCTTTGCGAGCTGCTGAACTCCGTAATACAGAGAGGAAGAGTATGGTTCGCACATTCTTAAAGATATCATTAACATGCTGAACCTGGCGGGAAAAATATATTTGTTTGTTTAGCAATACGGAACATTCGTCCAAACACTGTATATTATCAGCAGTTTACTTAACCTAGTTAAGAGAAATCGGTGAAACTTCGCTATTTAAGACCAGAAGTTGAGGTTAGTTCGAACATAATGAGTATCTCGATTGATTTATGGTTACTAAAATATGGAAAAATGGAGAAATTTTCAAAAATCGTAGCACGTCGATGTAAATTATGACCACGTCATTATCAAGGTTGCGAAGACACTCCGATGACACCATTTTTCTCTATTGTTATGGACGACCTATCGACCCCAGTTAGACATCCGTCACTGGTACAAAAGTATAAATAAGAACACACGGGATCTTCGCAACATCACAAGAAGCCATACGACATGATTAAGGTAAGGACAATCGCTTAATAGTGTGTAATTGGGTGGATCCTACTTTGGGTTCCTCCGTGCTTCAGGTTTCTACAGCTCTTGTACTAGAACGAGGGCTTCGGATAATCGACTATTACTTATTGTATTCGACTTCTTGTTGCTTTCAATGCACTTTTTCCATCAGTTTCTTCAACTTTAAAAATTTTACGTAACAATTGGTTCTCTTTTATAGTTGGTCTATCTTGCGGCGTGTTTGCTCTGTATTGGGGCGCAACTGGTAAGTAAAATGTCAAGTTTTCTAGCTAGATTATGCAAAATTTTTATATATTATAAAATCGTAATTTAAATACTGCTTTTAAGTAATTGTAGCAATTGAGATTTATATTACGACGGGAATCTTTATTGTTCCTATTTGTTTGCTGAAGACCGTAACGCAAATTCTTGATTCAATTAATTAATGGAATTCCGATAGAAGAAGGCTAATGTATTAATAACTAATTAGCCGTGTTACGTTTCAGGCGGATAAAGACGAACGTCCGAAACCATTTAAGTTCGAATACACTGCACAAGGACCCAACGGTACGAGCAATCACTTGGCGCAAGGAGACGAAAATGGCAGAGTTTTAGGGAGTTACGGGTTGAATCTAGCCGACGGTAGATTCAGAATAGTGAAATATATCGCCGACGAAAACGGTTACAGAGTGGAGAGCATCGAAACCAACGAACAAGGTACCAGAAACGAAAATCCTAATGACGTCAATTTTTATTCTTCTTACGAAGAACCTAAGCAACCCGCTCAACCTGTACGTCACGTAACGCCACGACCCAGAGCCACCACAAAACCACCTAAGGGTAAATTTGTACTGGTTGCAGAGGATTACTTGAAGCAACTAGGCGGTGCCGGTCAGTAAACCGTTATATTTCTATCGTTAATCACACGAGAAAATATATGGTTTCTACAAAGAATGGTTCGTCGGGGACAAATGCCTTCAAAACTATATAAAAAAAATTAAAAAATTATAGAGCAACATCGTTTTGTGTACCTGGTTTTGTTGTAATTAAACTACTGCAAATTTTTTTTTTGTTTCGAGTATTTATTTGCATAATGACACCGATAGAGAAATGCCAAATATTTATATAAGATATCGAAATATTTGAATATATGGACTTTTTCGAACCCGAAAAACCCACAAAAATCGCTTATAATGCCGAAATTTTATTATTACTCTCTTAAAAATCGCGTGAACTTCGCTTAACACATACATTTCCAACTATAATCAGCTTTCGTGGCATATTCTTCACGTTTCACGGAGTTACGAATAGAAAAAAAACGTACTTTTGATAGAAAACGCGAGTGAATTAAATGCCGTAGAACCTACAATACGTCCACATATCTATAGTAAAAATTTACACCTATTCCAATGCGTGAAACTCCCATAACTATGTGTGACCAAGGACAAATTTGGTGGATCGAATGTCGATTCCTCTACGAATACAATGGCCAAGGGTGGGCGAACATCAGTCAGTGTCAGTCAAGAATACACCCAGAGCTAATGTAACGTAAAAACTACATTTTTCTTGCTACCCTTCTACTTAGTTTTTGCTAAATTAAAGAAAGTGGAAAGAATTTTTCTTTATATTAAAACATCTTGCCGAATTAATTGTTCGCTTTAAACTTTTGCTGTTTTTAAACGACGAATTTTAACTTTAAATGTTTTTTTGTATATTACTGTACTTAAAAGCTCCCCTAGTGAATAAAATAAGAAATAACTAAGAATTTAAATTTTGTCACTAGAGGAGCTTCTCGATTTCAATTTAATAATTTAAAAAGTTGTACAGCCCAAAATTAGCCAATCAAAATAAAAGTTTAAACGCGTAACACACGGGTGTGTGTTACGCGTGTTTAAACTATTAATCGCCTTAATTTACTATTTAAGCATTTGATGTATTCGCGTAGTGTTTTCTCTGTGCAATTTCCTCTAACAATGGTATTACATAACTATTCAGTCGTTTCATTGAAGATGTTTAGTGTTACAGTTATGTATTGTAAAGTTGAAACTCTAATAAATAATTTATTTTGAAGTATTATTGCGGATCCTCTATAACGCTTATTTATTTTGCACAAACTACTAAATACCTCGATTTAATTATTTAATAACGATTAAATACCTAGAAATGCTTACATATTTAGTGGGAAACCAAATGTTTACATATTTAGTAGGGAATCACCAAAAGAGGCATTTCGCCTCTTTTGGTGATTCCCCACTAAATACGTAAGCATAATATAAGCATAAAAATAAAATTCTTTTGATTTAGTGGGAAAATAGTAAATACTCTTAAATATTCATTTCTATAGTAGGAAACCTCCAGATACTACTCATTTAGTGAGAAATTAGTAAATATTTTATAATGTTTATGTATTTAATACGAAGCTACTGAATAACGAAAAATATGATGTAGTAGGAAATTAGTAAATACTTGTTTAGCAAGAAACCATCGAATGACACGAAACATGAACCAACCTATTTAGTGGAGAAGTAATAATACCTCCAAATATTTATGTTTTTAGTAGGAAACTACTAAACCAAAACATAAAATACTTCGTTTTTCAGTATTAAATTAATAAATACCTTTAAATATTTGTTTATTTAGTAGGAAACTACTAAACCGACATACCTACTTATTTAGTGGAGAACTAGAATAAACCTTTAAACTTCTAGTAAGAAACCACTAAATATTTGAAAATACTCATTTACTAACTACCGAATAACCCAAATTACAGGTTAAGTTATTATTAGAGACTACAGAATTAAAATAATACTACTAATTAGCGGTTATAATAATTCTTCGGTGAACCGCAACCATTAAAAAAAACTCAACTTTCTGGAGGAACTTTTAATGGTTGCAACATCGCGTGCATTTGTATACTAAAGAATTCTTGCGTTAACTCACTGAATTCAAGAAATGTAAACACGCTAGCTACATCTACATTCAGTAAACAGGGTTTAAACGTGTTCGGGAAGTAAACTTTCCTTTTTAATTCATGTTTTATGTATAAAAAATCAGCTAAGCAAAATATTTATTAGCAGGAATATTTATTCAGTAGCGAGACATTAACTGCCCCTAAATATCTACTGTATCTAGTAGGAAAACTACTAAATACCTCCGTAGATCTACTAATTAAGTAGGAAGGTAACAAATACTTTTACGTATTTAGTTTTCTAGTAGGAGATGGCCGAATACCTCTGCATTTCTATTTATTTAATAAAAAAAAACTACTAAATACTACTATCGATCGGCTTTCTTAGTAGATTACTACTAAATTCTCCAAATATCTCCATATATTTATTTATTTAGTAGAAATGTATTAAGTACTTGGAAATATATATTTGTTTACTAAAGAACTGCTAAATACGTCCCCATAATTATTTAGTAGAAAAATCACTAAATATCACCGAAAATTTCTGTAGTAAGTTACTACTAAATACGAACATATTTGTTTCGTTTTTACACTGATCTACTGATATTGTGGAGATATTTAGTAGTTACTATTAAATTCTCTCATTTAGGCCTATGTATTTAATAGAATACTACTAAAAACCGCTATTTGCTTGTTTATTAGTTGAAATCCAGTAAATACGCGAACACCTATCTCTTCGTTTAGTAATATTCCGCATTAAAAATATCTCTACATATTTTTAAAGGAAATGTTACGAAACACCATCACATATTTGTTATTCGGTGGGAAAACCATCGAAACCTCCGCATATGTTGCGTTTATTTAGTAGCTTACTACTATATACTTCTGCATATTTATATATTTACTAGATAAACCACTAAATGCCGCACAATTTATATATATTTTAGTAGGAAAAGCGCTCCAAATACCTTTTTCTAGTTAACGTACACGGACGGAAGTGGCAAAATTTAATAACTTAAATTGCCTCTTTCCTCACGATTATTGGAAAAAGTATCTAAAAACTACACAACAGTTGAGCAACGGGGGACGGAATTAAAGTTTTCCTTCTTAATTTATCCTACTGTTTTTTCCTGGTTAATTTATCCGTCGTTAATTCTCTAACATCGTCGCCTAAATCGGCGCGCAACCGGTACCGTCGCGTAACAGAACCTAATTTGCATATTTGGCACGACGGAGGTCCGTTTTGAGGTTTTTCCAGGGGGTGGTCGCGAGCGAAACCCGAATAATCGGGGAGGGGGTGGCTCTTAAGTTAATATAGTCATTAGATCCCGCCACGGACCGTGACTTTCGGAACCTCGCTTGTTATTAAGGGTGGCGAAGGTCACGGTTTCTCGTCCCATAAGGTAACAATGCGCATCATCATTATTAATAAAGATAAACACCGGATTCGCAGAAAATTCCCACGTTGGAGCAAACGTATAAATAAGGCCAGATGGAGATGTTTGCGGCAGACCAGCATCAACGTTGACACCGGAACATGATTAAGGTAAGTCATCATCCCAGTAGACTCTTAGTACTTTTACTCCGTCTCTAATTTACTTTACTTACTTACAGTTGTGCCTTTTAGTAACTTTGGTGGTATTTTTGGTCGAAGCGCAGCGCGCGGTAAGTATTTCCCCTCATTTTTTTGATAGTTTTAATGGTTTTTTCTGAATAAAATTATCAGATTACTGTGTTTTTATTAACTATTTCTCACCCTATTTGAAAGCATTTTAATATTTTTTCAGCGCTTACCATTTAAAAATATAGCTTTACTAGCGGTTTACACTAAAATGCAACTGTTTTAGCCATCTAAAAATAATTATTAATTAAACACAATATATTTGTATTTTTTATTAGTTAACTGCCACATTCATCATTTTGTTAGTAAGCCACTATTTCCAGCGATTTCCCACTAGGCCGACTACTTTTATGGAAAACTACCGTCTTTAGTAGTTTACTACTAAACTCGACAACTTCGCGCGTTTAAGCCACTGATTTTTTTAGCGATTTGCCGCAAACAATGCAGTAAATTAACATTCGCTACCACACCGACATTAAACAACGAGGTTGGCTAGTCTCTACCTCCGATCTCGGCATGGCAACAGCTTGTAGTTTTAGAGGATTTTAGTACTAACGACTTCTATACTTTGTAGCCCCAGGACGAACCTCCCAGGCCTTACAACTTCCAGTACGACACTAAACTCGGAGGAAACGGCCAAGTAGGGGGATCTCTCAGCCAGAGCGAAAGTGGCGACGCGGCCGGGCGCAAGGTTGGCAGATACGAATTCGAAGTGGAAGATGGAAGAAAAAGAGTGGTAGAGTACGAGGCTGACGAAAACGGATTTAGAGCCGTCGTCAAGAGCAACGAACCGGGATTTTCCGAAGACAACCCCGCAGACGTAGTCCACAACCGTTTCAGAAGGAGAAAGTAAAGCGTCTGACAACTTTCTCTTTTCAGATACGCCATTTTGCTTCGCAACTTTCCCAGGTGGCTTAGTCGATCGATTTCCATGGGCTATAGTTTGTGTACGTGTACATAAGCGGGTCTCTCGCAACAAAATTTGTACCGCGGAGGAAATTTCATTATTACTGTACTTTTATGCCGAATAAATATAAAATTTATTGTCAATGTATTATTCTGTAGCGTAATTTCTCATTGCCACACTTAAATATCAAACTAGTGTGACACGGTGTGCCGAACAGCCCGTCGAACGGGTGCCATCAACGCTTATGTAAACCGAGAAGAAAGATATAGAAAGCCAACTAAAATTACAGAGGGTTTGGGGTATTTCGGAGGAATTCTAAACCTCAATTCTGATGTCCCTACCAACCGTCGCCCGACCTAATTCCGCTGCAACTGGACCGCATTCTTAGTCGTGATTACGAGAAACTGGACAAGGACCGTAAAATTCGTGTCGCTAACTTATTTATTTTTTGAAAAATCAGATAAAATTCTATTTAAAAAGTGAAAGCGAAGGCTAGATCCGTTAGAAACTAGGTGCTTGGCGGTAATTTCTACCGACGTCGCTGTACATTTATTTTTATTACCGGGTTTCGTTTTCACTAATGACTTACTCCATTTCGAACATTCGAAATACATAAAACCTGTTCTCGAGGAATAACTGGAAATATGACATTTTGGCATGTTTTCCGTATTTCTAACATTCTTAATTCCCAGAAAATGTGTTATTTGCCTGAAATTCGCAAGATTTAGCCTATTGACAGAGGTTAAAGTATTCGTTTCACTCTGTAACAACAACAAAAACCATGCTTTACAAAGAATTTAGAAGAAAGTTTCCTGTTTTTGTCGCAAAGTCGTGAAAAAGACACCCCAAAATCAACGGTAGTTTATCTCCCTTCTCCCGTTATATTGACTTACGAAACAGGTAGCGTTCGCATTTTTGAAAAGACTAAACAAATGTCCAGACTTCGCGTGTCGTAAGTGGATAGTAAGAAACCGGTTGTTCACGTGTCCCGAGACGAGGAAATTGTGGATTTTTTTACTTCTTAAGTGCCATCTAATCACCCGAATATTCCAAAAAAAAAAAACATAACACATACGACCCAATTTCTCTGGCGCGATATTTAGGACCATCTATCGATGTTTTCCCGGCTGAAAATAAAGGTTTCAAATACCATCTTTTGTTCCAAATACTCCTCGTCTTCTGTACACACGCCTACAAGAGAGTTAAAGATTGATTTAATTTGACGAGGGAGCCATTTTGAATCCTCCAATATCGATTTCTTCTTCGTTTTCATTGGATTATTCTCTTAGAAATCGATTAATTTTTGGTTAATTTAAAAAAATTAGTTCTTTTAAAAGAATGAATAAATTTGAAGCGAATATCATCTTTTAAAATCTAATAAAACAGGATTTTTTTGAGTTAGACACGTGTTTCTGGAGGGATGATGTTTATGGAAAGACACGTGTTTAAAAGAAACGTGTCCTCGTAAACGTTTCGCAAAGAAATGAGGCTCGGAAGGGAGGTGTTTTACTTAAAAACAGGCTCGATAAACAAAGGTTTTAGTAATATAGAAGCGCAATAAAACGTGCTTTCTTAGAAATGGCACAATTAAGAGTGACTTCTTTTTATAACAAAAAGTGTATTTAAAAATATCAAAAATGTATATTTTTTGAAGGAAAATATTTGAAATGATGTTCAAATGTTTTTTGGAAGAACAGGCCCAATACACGGGCAAAAATGAAAAATGATGCTCATTAAAGGACACTATAAGAAACACAATTATAAATATACGAATTGCCGAAAAGTTATTTTAAAAATCAAATAAATAAATAAATACCTAATTGTCTGCTCGACGAATGAAGTTTAGGAGAGACCGTTTGTATTTCAGAACAATTTTTAAGAAATTCTTCTAAAAAGTTTAAAAGATTCCTAAAAACTGAAAAAAAATCTGAAAACTTTTAAAGGACATTTTTAGAATTTTGATCAAGTTTTGAAAGCTCTCGATCTGTTTTTCTCCCACATTTTCGGTATTCACCCGTCCTACATTTTTCAAAAACACGATCTCACCCTTCTATTGCATTGCCAAGTCTTAGGCGTGCCACTTAACGGATGCACGAGGGGAGGGATCCTTAAAGGCTGTTTCAAGTACAAGTAAACCTCTTCGGAAAAAGGTATCTAAAAATACCGAGACGATAAATAAAGAACGATTAACTCATCACCCGATAATTTAGGGGCTGTAAAGCTGTTAGCCTCTTTCCTAATTTATAATAACGTTTGGGGTTACAAATGTAGTTAACCCCGCTTCCTCTAGTTGGTAGTTTTCTTTTAAGTAGTTGCGTGTCGTTAACCTCTTCTACAACGGACCAAAACAACGTTTTTTTAAAGGTTTAGGAAAGTGGATAACCTCTTCTTAACACACTTAAAACGAAAGATTAACGGGTTTCGGCTACTTTCTACTGTTTTTTTTTTTGTTTGTTTGTAGTGGCGTAAATATGGCCGTTACGCATCGCTAATTACGCGTCATTTAAAACTAAATTTATTAAAATGTCAATAAAATTTTAATAATTTTGAAACTTAATTTATATTTTAATCGATTTCCTACCCCCATACTCAATTATCTGGGCCCGATTCACCCTACGATTTCGATTATCCGTGTTTGAAGAATTAATGTACTGTAACGATTCAGTATTTTAAAAGTTAATTTTGTGACTTTTCTTCTTATAATTTTATTTTAAAACGTTAGAGTCGGTAATTTAAATTTTAATTATTCGCAACGATAATTTGTATACCGATATCGTTCGGAGGTCGGCGCAATGACCGTTAGGAAATTGGTGGCGGTAGCCGGCTTGGCAACACTTAATCAAGTAGGACGAGTTATCTTACCCTCGAAACCATTATTCATGGTTTATAAATATACTACTGCTAATTTGGGTTCGTCTAAGAGGTGTTGTTTTCATAATCCTGTCTGATAGACCACGTGTTTCCGACGCTAGAAACACAAATATCGTGCATTTAGGAACAGATGTTTTGTTCGCAGCGGGTGGAAAACAATTTTCGCTCATACTAAACAAGTTTTTTTATGTACACCGGGGCAAGTTTCGTGCAGCTTTTGCCATCCATTAAACCTATCTTCGTAGCATCTTTGCATAAATCTGTAATTCTAATGACGTATAACGATTATTTTAAAACAAACAATTATACGTATGTATACACATGTACACGAGACGTGTCTCAATATATCTTTATAAGTACCTTCTACACCCGTGTGTGTTATTACTTCTTCGCTATAAGGAAGTAAATGCGCTTTGAAATATTAAGCGTTACCGACAGACAAGATTTTAATGCATTCGCTTTCATTTACGAACCACTAGCTTTAATTTTAAATAAAGAACACTTAACATTTGTTTTACGGAACAAAAACGTTCCTGTATAATGTATAAAGTACAGTGGTACCAATACCGAAAATATGTCTCTCGTTACAGCGACACGCGGCGCTTTATCGAGATAAAAAATCTTTAGTATTATGATAGAGACGATCGGATCCGATGCCTCGTAATTATATAAAGTAGATATACATATATATAATATTTAAATACATGACATACTTTATCAGATGTCATCTAACCAGGCGAAGGTCGTATGTAAATTAAGAGTTATAAGTTTTTCATAAATTATTCTGTCTTTCCCACAATTTTCTGCCAATTTCTTTTTTATAGAAAGATGTTTTGCTTCGAGGGTGGCTCGAGTAAGGAAACGAGTTTATTGTTTCTGAAAATTTACATAAAACAAATTTTTTGAAGCCATTCCCGGAAGCAGAATCCACGACGTGACGTTAGCACCCCACTAAAAACTGCCAAGTGTCACACGAAAAACTGAAAAATGGGGAAAAGATCAATTTTTTCTAGTTTTAAGCGCAGGAATACTTTCGGACTTCAGCTCGACTTTCGAGGGTTCAAGGATTATCTGACATTATTTTATCAAAATGGTCATCAATGTCGGTGCGCTTCGAACCTCATACAATGCCAATTATTTTTATGGGGGATCGAGATGACATATTTTATAAATCCGTTATCCATTCTTTCAGGTATATCAAGTTTAACGGGTTATACAAACGTTCGAGCGAAGTAGGAAACGTACATTTGAAGGAACTCAACCTATTTTCGATTCATCTGCGCGCCCGTGTTCGTCTGACCCCTCGAATCAACATTAAAATTATCGTGCGCAATAAATCATAACTTTATGCCCATTCCAGGACCTCAAAATTACAAAAATATTTCCGAGTGATAAGCTTTGAAATATTCTCTTGTAATGAATTCTCAGGGAAAATGGGTAGAGCCATTAACGGGAATAACGCTTAACTCATGTCGTTCGGTCTTTGCGCATTTATGGATGACGTGACACCCGGGAGGCGATAGAAGAATTTTCACTGTCTCAGGGTTAAAATGATGTGTTCTATTCTCGTTTAGCGAGCGCAGTTCCTCGCACTCCTCCCAACATTTGGCTGGAAAATTAGTCAAGTGTTAATGCAGAATTTAACACAACCCTCGAAGAATCCTACATAGAAATAGGGTATCGACACCTTTAAAATTAGCTAATTAACTTAATAATTACGTTAAATTAAACTAAATTAATTTAATTTTAAATTCCAAACGAAATTGATACGGAATCTTCACGGCTCCAAAATGGCGCCGGCCGTCTCAATTATTCTCGATGCGGGTGTATATTACACATAAATTTATCGATTAAACGGAGACGAGGGGCATAATTTCTTAACTGTGACACGTATTGATAAAATATGATCACGTCAATATCAAGGTTGCGAAGACACTAGTGTGACACCATTTCTACTTCGTCGCGATGACCTTTACGACCTTGAACAGTTTGAGAAAAATATATAAATATGGCTGGAAGATAGGTACATCATATCAGAAGAAGATACAAGATGATTAAGGTAAGAACATTTCACTAAATTCTGTCTCGTTTATCAGAAAAAAGTATTGATATAGCTGAATACCCACGAACGTCCCTAGAAGATTCCTAGGGAGTACCCACGAACATCTCTGGGAATCTTCTAGGGATGTTCGAGAGTGCTCTTCGTTCTTCTTCCAGGTGAAATTTTTGCTATTTTAAACTCTATTTCGTTTTGCAGGTATTGTGCTTCATCGCTTTGCTCGTCTGTGTGTTGGCACAACGTGCGGTGAGTTTTTATCTCGCATAACTTTCTAGCATCTCGATACCGGGTGTATTTAATGATTCGTGTTTTATAATTTTAGCCAGTGGACGAAGCTCCAAAACCCTATCAGTTTGAATACGCGGAGCAAATCGGAGGAAAGGACGACGTAGGAGGATCCATCAGCCATAGCGAAACTCAAGATGCTCAAGGAAAGGTTCAAGGAAGATATTCGTTAGAAATTGGAGACGGACGAAAGAGAGTTGTGGAATACGTTGCGGATCAAGATGGATTCAAAGCCGAAGTGAAGTCTAACGAAGGTCTTCCTCCACATAATCCCGCAGACACAATCTTCAACGTGTTTAAGAGAAAGTAAACACCACCTCCTCCGAAATGGACTTAAGTTAAGATTGGCACCCGTCCCGATGGCTTAGTTTTACGTGTTTAATTACACCAGCCCTCGTACGACATCCTAGTAGACGGTTTCTTGTTAAGAAATGTCTATTTGGATTTCGTGCGAGGAGGATGGATCTTCTTAATCTTCTTCCTTCCGTTCTTATGGGTTGTGGTGGCAATCCTATCTGGAGTCTTAACATCCTCGATGCCAAGATTATTTGTTGTTATTGTTTCTGATATTTTATTGTATAAAAAAAGTAGTAAATAAATTTTATAGTTGCAAGTTATGTTTGGTCCACAACAGCTTCACAACGCGTGGCAGATTTATTAAAATAAATTTAAATTATATTTAAATAGTTATTTTTACTCTCTTCTTAGAAACGATGCAAATTCAAACTGCGCGTTATACACGATTTTCTCGCTTTTTACTTAATTTCTTTTCGATTTTAAGCAAAGTTTCCATTTGTACTTATTTTTTAAACAAACTAAAAATAATTAAAATCACGTTTAATAAATTTATGTACATTATAATTTGCTTCTTCTTTGGATAACTGTATCATTTTTCTATTGGCCATTAATATGGTGGTTACGATAAGTTTGGGTTTCCAGGCATATTAATGGCCAATAGAAAATGAACAAATTTAATTATATTTTTGTCATCGAGGTCGAATTTTCTTCGCACGAAAGCGCGAAAGTAAAAAGTTGAAGTTACTATGATATTTATTGACCTTTTGTACGGAATAAAATAAATAATTGAATTTTATAGATATACGCGTATAAAATATAATATAAAATCTATATTATTCGAGTTTGAAGGGTTATAACGGAATACTGACGCGTTGTAAATTGTCAAAGATGTCGCACTCTTTCTACAACTCGTTCTACATGAAATTATTCATTAAGTTGCTCGGAGTATCATCTGACCCAGTTAAAATAAATAAAAATAACCCCGTAAGGGCGAAAGTTCGATTTTAACACGTTAGATTCACACGAAAAGTGCACGATTTCTTCATTAAAAACAGCCACCATTACACGATAATTACCACCATTTTATAAAAATAATAAGAAGAAATCCGCCCTTGAGTAAATGATTTATGGTTCAATAAAACTAGTTGCGATGAAGATATCGTGGTTTTTATTAAAGTATAAATCAGTATTTTATGATTCGTGGCAGTTTCTGTGTAAAACGTGCATCGTGGTTCTCGTCTCGGCACACGTGGCACATCTTTCTTTCAGAAACTGCATATATTTTATGGCAATTTTTATACAAAGAAATTGCCTATAAACGATGTGGCACCGGTTTACGTGGTCCTCTTCGAATGAAAATGTGCGACATATTTCTATTTAAATCCATGCAGGAATTTCCGCGGCAAAAACATTTAAAATATATTTTATATATTTATATTAAATCAGAGATATTGCTATTAAGACAATCGCAAAGTCAATTTTCTGCACGCGCAAGAGACAATTGGATTAATGGGCCGATGATTTCAAATGGCGGACTGTTTGCAACGGTTTCGGGCTAATTCTTTTTGGATGAAAATGGGTTATTTAGTGGAAATTAACTTCAAAATTAATCTTTTAAGTTGCGCAATTACAAAATTTTGATAGAAGTTTTATACTTTTTTCATGTTGCAATGCTCAACCTAATGTATTATACTAGGAATATGAAAATGGAAGCTATAGATCTTGCAATTTTTTTTATTTTTTTCTATAATATAGTGAGAATTAATGTTAGCAATGCATAATTAATTAATTCATTCGAGATCGGGCAATAAGTTAATTATGAATTTGCATCAACGTCCCCTCTGTAAATGCAACTATATCTTCAGAAAAAATGAAAAGGATTCTCGTATAAATTACCAAAATTTATTCTACTTTTTTAGCTGTAACGCAACACTGAAAAGTATTCGCGAAGTAATAAATACTTTCTATAAGGTAATTAAATAAAAAAAGTGGTGCCGTAGTTTCGCACGTGAATATGAATGAATAAATGTAGGTCATACCATACATAAATATTTGAACCTCAAAAATAGTCGTTAGTAGAATATGCGTGGATTAAAAAATTAAATTATACCCGATAGAATACATAAAGCGTGTGTGTTAGAAGTGTGAGGTAGAGATTTTGGAGGCAACAAGAAAAATTAATTGATTTCATTTAAAATTATGAAGGCTCATTAACTAAATTGTGCGCATTATATACTACAGTTAAGACCTACGTATTATTGTAAAATAAAGAAAATGAATTAAGAATAATCGGTTTTTAATAGTACCCACGCTTCTGTAAATCTGCGTGTCTACGAGTAGCGCAGGATTATCGAGTCACGCATCGTGTAGAGAAGAAATAAACAAATTAAAACAATTTTACTCCGCTCTATCTCCTCTTTGGAGGTCGTTTTAAACATTTTAACACTGGAAAATGCAGAGAGGAAATGAAAATTGCACGAAATTTGGCACCGTCAACGTTGCAGCATCGAGAGATGTTACGCTCAGAAATGCCATTTTCGAGCCAAAGCTGGATGCGATGGTCTTTCCACTTTCTATAACTCGTCCTACATGACGTCATTTATTATTCCGAGAGTCGCCTGACCCACTTAAAACAGAAATAATCATTCAAAAATACGAAAAATTTCGATTATAACCCGTTACATCGATATGCAAAAATACGCGCCAACGGGATGAGACGGGGATGAGGAGCGGGGGAAAACTAGACACCCGAAACAATGCAATTCGTTAGAATTATGATCACGTCAATACCAAGGTTGTGAAGATACCCGGCTGACACCATTTTTCTCCATGGCGACCGACCTTACGACCCCGGTGGGACTACGAAGACCTATAAAAAGGGTCGAGTGAGAGATGCCTTCAACAGAAAAGAACACAAGATGATTAAGGTAAGTGTTTTTTCTTAATTGCTCTTTCTTATAGATAATGCAATGCGTCGTCGACTTCTTCGGGAAGCTGTTGCAGCATTCAGCTAAAGAAAACGATGCTTAATAGTCCCTCTACTCAATATTGTAGACTCTATCTTTTAAGATTTTATTCAGATATTCACAGAATTTTTCACGATTTTTACTTTATTTCCAGGTTATTTGTATCGTCGCTTTGTTCGTATGTGCTTTGGCACAACGTGCTCCAGTAAGTAACTATTTATTTACGCTTTCTTCTGCCGTCCTATGTTAACATTGCTGCTCAAAACTTGAAGAATTTCGATCAAACTTTTAGAAACCTCAGATTAATTAATGGTTTAGAGGTTCCCGAAACTCTCTTCAACAGTTATACGCCAATTTCTAGCGATTTCAAGACTAAAATTTTCCAACAAGAATTTCGAGCTAATATTTCTGATACTTTTTCTACTATTACTCAGCAATTTTTATAAGGAAAGTGATTTTAATACTGAATGATTTTTAACTAGGGGTTTTCCACTAATTTCTTACTAGTGGCATCGGAGAATCTTCCAGCTAAATTCCTCTCGGGGTTTCCCCGACTAGAATCTCCGAAATTCTAGTTTTCACTATATCTAACACTTTCTACTAAATTTTCGATGGTGAATTTCTCTGTTACTAGCGATAAATGTGCAAAAAATCTCTATTTGCAGATTGTTGATGAAGCTCCTAAACCGTTCGCCTTCGATTACGCAGCGAAAGTTGGAGGAGAAGGAGAAGTTGCAGGATCCCTCAGTGCCAACGCGGTAGGAGATGCTCAGGGTCGAGTAGAAGGAAGTTACTCCTTCGAAATCGAGGATGGCCGCAGGAGAGTAGTGTCGTACGTTGCCGATAAAGACGGATTCAGAGCCAACGTACAGACCAACGAACAGGGAACCAAACCCGAAAGTCCCGCCGATGCAGTTTTCACTGCCTTAAAGAGGAAGAAGTAAACGGTATTCTTACGACACTCGCTTCATCAACAACGCAAGAACCTATCGAGTCGGGATCCAGCCCGTCCCGTTCTAACATGGACCGTCCCGTTTCAATTATTGGTATAGGCCTACTTCCTGAGTTTGGATGTGTTTGTAACGCACGTGACACTGTTTTTAAAAAAGCTATCAATGTCGCTTTATCCTGCTTTGTTAACGGGTGGGAGAAGGATCGCTTTACTCTCCTAACATCACTCTACTACACTCTTCCTCTCTTGATTGTATTTTTATCGATACTATGAGAGAAATTCCAAGTTTTTTATTGTTACGTTATTGTTATCGATGACTTCTTGTTACCGTTAGAACTTTCTCTCGTTGTTACGTATCTGTGATGTTTTTTGTTGTACAGAAACGATGAATAAAGATGTACTTTTATGCAAGTCACTCGAATACATTTTGTTATATTTAGTACAAGAGCGAGTTGGGGTTAAGGGTAGATCAAGGAGCAGAAAATCAAGTATGACGAGTAAATAGTTGCTTAGTATCTACAGTGTTTGGTCTGAAGGATTTATTTTTAAACTATAGAAATATTCCGAAAGTTTCACTGGCGGATTCCAAATCTGTTAAATTGAAGTCTGGTGTAAGAAATGACATTAAATTTTGTTAAATATGGATAAAAATCGGTCTAAAATAAGTCCCCGTATTAAAGCACGTTTCGTTTTCCTACGATAATTTTAAACTTTTATTTTTACGCATTTATCCCGATCTTTAAGGTTTTCACATACGCACTTTCTAAGTAATTTGCTAGAAAAAGTAGTTTATTTATTATTCTATCGTGATAGTTTTATATAAATATAATAAAGGTAGGATTATGCAAACGATTTACAAAGAATCGTTTAAAATTTTTAAAAATTTTCGAAAAAAATATAAATTTTAATGCCATTAATAATACTAAGAAATTGAAGAAAATTTCGGATATAATTCGAATAGATTAGCAAGTTTAACGGATTATAGAACGTTTTCGTATAATTTTATAACGCTCAAAACGAAAATAATGCAAAAAAGTGCCAAGTAAGATGGCGACATTCGTAGAAACCGGTAAATTAAGGTCGTCGCGAGTGAGAAAAAAAGGGGGAAAAAAGTGAGAAAAAAAGGGGGAAAAAGAGCAACCAGAATTTGAAACGATGGCTTCGGGGAATGTAAACAAGAATGGAAATTTCAATGCTAATTTCTTTCGTTGCATTAATTTATTTCTTTAAATTATATTTATATAAACGTCATACATCGACAATAAGATAGATTTAAACTATTTTTAAAATTGCGTAGACGCACGAAAAACATTTTGGACTACAAAGAAGAAGCGTATCGAGTAATTTTTATCGTCAAACTTAAAAAAATATTGTAGATTCGTTTTCTATTTGTATGAAATTATGAAAAAAATGTCACTTTCTCTAATTGTTACGAAAACGTTTCAATTTCAACTATCGTTACGCGTTTCTGTTGTTTTTCCTGCGCAGAAAAAGTGTCAATTTCTTTAATTGTTACGCGAATGATGAAATTTTCGATACTGTTACGTGTTTGTGGCTCTTTCTTGGCGGAAAAAGTATTAACTTTCTAATTGTTACGTAAACGGGAAACGTTTTAGTATTATTGCATTTTTGCGTCGCTTTCGTTAGTCAGAAAAAAAATATCATTTTCACTCATTGATAAATAAACGACGGAATTTTTCTATCGTTACGTATTTCCGACGCTTTCGACGAGCAGAAAAAGTATCGTTTTCTCTAATTGTTACGTAAACGATGGAATTTTGGGTATTCTCGCGTTTCTGCGTTATTTTCCTTATTAGAGAAACGTGTCACTTTCATTAATTGTGTGACAAACTATGGAAATTTCATACTATTGTTATGTATTTCCGGTTTCTTTGCCTAGAAAAATGTCGTTTTCTCTAATTATTGCGCGAGTAACGAAGTTTTTACCGTCGTTACGCGTTAGTAGAAAAGTTTCCGTTTCATCCGTTACGTAAACGACGAGATTTTTTAAAATTATTTGTGTGTCCGAACCTCGTTAGCGGCGAAGAATAGATAATTCGAACGGTTTATAAAATCAATTAAGCCAAGTGCGGGGTGCGCATTATATCGCGAATAGAAGCGTGTCACGCGGACGCTTCGAAAGGGGATTCCTCGATAATTGATGTTGTTTAATTTCAAGAAAATCAAGAATAACGAGTTAAACATTTGTCAAAACTCGACGCGAAGCGTCATGACTTTTGTTCAACCCGGAAGAAACCGGGCTTTAAAGACCTTAGAAGTCATCAATAACTCGCTAACAAACGGTTAGAATTTATAGACGAACGGACGCCCTGTTTGGGAGATGCAACTTAATTTTAATAAATGGCATCGCAATTCGGTTTCGTGGAAGAATCTAAATGGTCTCCGCATACTCGACACCCACCGCCGGCGAAGAACGAAGGATTTAGTATGAATGACAACTTGGAATAATTATTTTAAGATGTAAAGTTATAAACGTTACATTCTTCACAAACGCGTCACGTTGATGTAAATTATGACCCAAATTCGAATTTTCGTTACGGCCTTATCCATTTATTATTATTATTTTAATAATCCGCCAAAGTATTTTTTTAATTTTGACCACCAGAGGGATAATGCCGAATGTACCTCTGGCGGTGTAAATTAATTTATATTTAATATCGGAATATCCGCGAATTAACTCAAATTTGTAAAGTCTTTATTTAATGTTTTTCAAGAATTAAAATATTAAATTATTCGACGACGATTAAGGAATTTTGAGAATATTTAATTATAATTTTTATAATTCTTCCTCTGGTGGTGAAATACGGCTTAATCGAAAGGGATTATAATTGGTGCCGTGCCATTATTACTTTATCGGAATATTTTAAAAGAAATTAACTGTGAAATTGCAATATTTATTGAAAAATATGTTAAAATCATACACCAATGACCATTTCTTTACAATATATATAATTACGCGCGATTGTTATACAGTTATCACAGATACGCCTATATAAAGTAAGACAAAATGCCACAAAAATTCCCATATCAAAAGCTGTTGCCGCTTCTTCCCAAGCGTATATAATTTTTTCTTTTTTTCTTTTTTATTGTGCGCAACGTTTACGCGATAGACAATATAGGCGAGTGTTCAGACCCAAGATTTGACGCCCCTGTTCCAGTGGATAGGCGTTGAAGGAAGAGCGGGCACGGGCTGTCGAAGGTCGGGCGTTAAATGTAGCGATGTAGACAGAAACGATACTTCTGCTGGGCTGCTACTTTTTGTACCTGGCTCGTTAGTGTCTACGCTAGCTTTGAAACCTCCCGCACCCGCTGTATAATCTACTTTCCTGCTCCTGCCATCTTTAACATTCAAGGAATAGCTCCCTTTAACGTTTCCGGCGCCGTCGGATGACTCCCAGCGAGAGCTTCCCCCTTCCTTACCCTCGGCTTTATAGTCAAAGGTGTAAGAAGCGGCTCCTTCTCCCGCCTGAAAATAACTCGTAATTAGTACCTTAAAGCGAATAATGGAGATGTTAAAGTGTTAAATATTATTACATTTAAAGAAACGGGAGTAAGAATACTTTTAGGAGCGGGAACTCCCCCGCTAATAACTGGTAGTGCGGCTGAGGAGAGGAATGATACGTGAGCGGGATTTTCGCTCTTAGTTCCTGGTTCGTTAGTATCCACATTAGCCTGGAAGCCACCCGCGTTTGCCGAGTAGCTGACCTTTCTTCTCCTTCCATCCTTGACATTTAACGAGTAGCTTCCTTTAACGTTTCCAGCGCCATCTGATGATTCTCGATGAGAATTTCCTCCGTCGTCACCCTCTGCGGCGTAGCTAAATGAGTAAGGGGATGGGACATTTTCTCCTCCGGGTGTTATCTATATGTAAAAATTAGTTTGAATAACAACGCGGTTATGATAACGTTAGAGCGAGGAAAGTTAGAATACCTGGAAAGATACAGCCGAAGACTTAGGTGTTCCGCCGTAAGCGGGAGGAAGTGACGATTCTAATTTAACGGGATAAACTGGAACGGCTGCCGGAAGTATAGGCGATATCTGAGGATCGGAGGAGTAGAAAGTCACGTGGGCGGGATTATCGCTCTTAGTTCCAGGTTCATTGGTGTTTATACTGGCCTTGAAGCCTCCTTTATCGGCGGTATAATCGACTTTTCTGCTTCGTCCATCTTTAACTTTTAAGGAGTAACTGCCTTTGACATTCCCCGAACCATCTGATGTCTCCTGATGGGAGCTACCTCCATCGACTCCCTCCGCGGTGTAGCTGAACGAATAAGGACTTTTCGCATCGCTTACCGTCCCCTTTAAACGTAATATACAAAAATTATGTTGAGATAAATCGATCGTAAGTTAGAAATATATATTTACTGTAAAAACACCCCCGTTTGAAGGAGCGTACGAAGAAGGTTCTCCCGTAATCGGTGCAATTGGTATAATAGACGAAGCACCAACGAAGACTGGTTGTACTTGTGGTGCAGTTGAATGAAAAAGTACTTGAGCAGGATTTTCACTCTTAGTTCCTTGTTCGTTGGTATTTACACTGGCTTTAAAACCTCCCGCATCGGCTGTGTAATCGACTTTCCTCGTTCTACCATCCTTGGTATTTAAGGAGTAACTTCCCTTAACGTTTCCAGCTCCATCGGATGATTCTTGATGAGCACTTACTCCATCGATACCCTCAGCAGTATAGCCAAAAGAATAAGGTTTAGGAGCTTCTTCGCTTCCCGGCGTTAACTAGAGAACCACAAATTTGAACATTATAACGTAAAAACACTCATTATATAAAGAAATTATAACTTACATCAAAAGAAACTGCGGAAGAACTAGGACCACCACTATAAATTGCGGGTATAACGGGAACTTGAGCGATACCAACGGGTGCTATTTCAGGGGTTGCTGAAAGAAAAGTTACTTGTGCAGGGCTTTCGCTCTTAGTACCTGGTTCATTCGTGCCGATAGTAGCCTTAAAGCCTCCAGCATCGGCTGTATAATCGACCTTCCTTCTCCTCCCATCTTTAAGGACATTTAAGGAGTAAGTTCCTTTAACATTTCCCGATCCATCGGATGATTGCTGATGGGAACTTCCACCGTCATCACCTTCAGCAGTATAGCTAAAAGAATAAGGTTTAGGAGCTTGTCCGTTTCCTGGCGTTAACTAGAATGTATTAAAAACATAATTCAAAATAAAAGAAAAACATTAAAATTTATTCAATAGTTATTTAAAATTACTTGGAACGAAGTTGAGGAATATCCGGAAGTAGCTCCTGTAGCGGGCGCTTGAGCAACGACGGATTTCTGGATAGGTAATAACTGAGGAGCAGAGGAAAGGAAGGACACTTGAGCAGGATTTTCACTCTTAGTTCCTGGTTCGTTTGTATCTACACTCGCTTGAAATCCACTGCTATCGGCAGTATAGTCTACTTTTCTTCTTCTTCCATCTTTAATACTTAAGGAGTAGCTACCTTTGACATTGCCAGCCCCATCTGACGATTCCTGATGAGAGCTACTACCATCGACTCCTTCTGCAGTATAACCGAACGAGTATTGTTGCGCTCCACTTTCGGGTATCGACTAAAAGTTAGAGAAATACATATAACTGAGAGGTTTATAACTTTAAAACCTATGTGAGAAATGCGTTTTCTAGTTTCTTAAAAATTTCCAAAATAGTGTTTGATGTAGTATTTTTGAATGGATGAACTACCTGAAACGAAACTCCGGAGCCTTTCGCCACTCCTGAAAATGCGGGTGCAGACACATCTGTAGCATAAACAAGCTCGGGTGACGCCAGGGGTACACCGGAGTAAAAGGTTACGTCTGCTGGGTTGACACTTTTAGTTCCAGGTTCATTGGTGTTTACCGAAGCCTTAAAGCCTCCCGCACCAGCAGAATATTCCACCTTTCTTCTCCTTCCGTCTTTGATATTCAAGGAGTAGCTCCCTCGGACATTTCCCGCTCCGTCCGACGATTCTTGGTGAGAATTACCCCCATCATCACCCGTTACCGCATAATGGAAAGAATAAGGAGCGGGAGCTCCACCCGTATCCACGCCAATTGGTCCAAATACCTAGAAAACGTATACCATTGGTTAAAAAATTATCACGTCATAAAATTCAAACGGCAGATGGAAATTGCAAATTTACTTGACTTCCTCCATTATAAAGAGTGGATTCCTGAGTGGTTGAAGGAGCAGAAGAGCGAAAGGCGACGTCAGCTGGATTAGCACTCTTCGTACCCAACTCATTAGTATCAATTTTGGCTTTGAACCCGGAAGCATCCGCATTGTACTCCACACGTCTGCTACGTCCATCATTAACGCTTAAAGAGTATCCACCTTTTACGTTCCCCGCAGCATCCCAGAATTCTTCTCTAGAGCTTCCTCCATCTGCTCCTTCCGCCGAATAACGAAAAGCAAATGGTGACGCTACGTCTATCTGCGCCTTAAAATTAAAAGATCTTAAAAATATGCAAATTTTAATGTAGACGGGTGAATTGTGTCAAAGATTACCTGACTTTGCGGTATAAATTGGTAGATCCCTTTGGCTCGGCTGGGCGAGCAGATGCTGACTAAGAAAACGGTAACTGCGAGCACCTGTAATTCAAACAGTAGCCTGTATATTGCTCTACAGCTGGAACAATGTTAATTTCTTTCCCTGTTATCCAATCAGTAATATTTTGCAAAAAAACTTCAAGGATATTTTAATCGACTAGTTAACCTTCAACAAATTAACAACTGTTTTGAATAGAAGAAAAGGCTGAGTCACGATTTGGCTATCTGCATCGATAGCTAAAGTTACTCAATTGACAATAACTCCAAATTTAAAAACAGGCAAGAGAAAGAAAATCAGAAACAAGAGCTTCGCAAATTACTAATAAATCCACAATACACCCGGCATCATTAAAATTACGCAAACATTAATATGGGTGGGAAATTATGGTGCGGAGAGGGAAATTCAAACTATGGCTTCCAGCATTTTTACACGAAATTTAAATATTCAAACCATAAAATTACGCGATCAGACTGTTTAGCATAATAAAATCTCTAAATTTTTAATTTATTTAAAAGAATTTTGCATTTTTAGGAAGAAAAATTTTGGTTGTTTCCAACTTAGTTGTGGCGACGGGTTATCAGAATTTTTGAAAATTTTGTTCCATAAACACATTGTATCGTAAAACTTATTATTTATGGTCAGAGTTAAGAGTTGAATAGGATTAAGAGTAAGAGAAAAACGAATGTTCTTAAATCCGGATCTCTTCAGTGGTAAGCCAAAGGTATTCAACACGGCCACCTACACTTATCGTTTGCCACGATTCGGGAGCCATCCTAAATTTGTTAGTGGCAAAGAAATTATCGTCGAGAAAGAATATATATATAGCGGGTGGAAATATAGATATATTTGCCCGTTAAATCGGAAGAAGAAAGCGCGGGTTACTATATCATACTTACCTTTAACATGGTGAACTGGCCAATGCCCAAGAACAGCGCTGCCCTCATATATAGGTGTGGAACCCGGATAAAAACGACGTTTCCGATAAGTTAGTGATTGGTCACCAACACCAGGAAGATACTCGGCCAGGACTTTCATTGTCCTTGATGGAGAGAAAGATATTTTCTGACACTCGTCCTTGATGAGCCTCGCCTCTTCCCTCATCGCGATTATCTTTTACCAAGGTTTGTCGATAATAAGTAGAACAAACAACGTGACAAACATAAAATGGGTGACGTACCTAATTGTTCCAGATGATAAACGGGAGGACGTTCATTTTTCTTCCCCCAAAACCCGCGGGTAGCGCCATTTTTGGATTTCGTAGAAAGGAATTAAGATGGGGATTTGTTCGAGTTCGTGTAACGAGTAATTCTAATCCTCTTTAGGAGGACAAACGCGTATATCCCAACGGGAGGGACGTATTGATCAAAATACTCCGAATCCACTATTTTCCGAGTATGGTACTTACGGAATGTTTTGAATTTTCAATTCGGCGGGTTCTACTGTACGATATTTATAATGCATTACGTATAAACCAGTAATAAATTTATTTAAATATAGGGTTGAGCGAAGCCGAGATGAGATAGCACTACTTTTCATGCAGAAAGTTGCCATCCTCTTAAAATTATTCCGAGTTATTGGACGAGTTCCACGCTTTATGAGATTGCGTGTGGTAATTCTATTATTAACGTGGGTAGGCGAACGTAAACATAGAAGAAAGCATTTATGGCCAAACCGGCCGACTTACGTAAATTGTAAAGAATGACCCCGAAGTTAGATAACTCGACTCCACCCTACATTGTTACCAGTTTTGTTATTATAGAAAGTGAAAATCCAGCGTACTTTCTCTTATCGCAGTCATTTCCTCGTTGCTCTCTCCAGGTAATTCGTTCGAATATAATTTTCTGGGGAAAGATGCTCCGGGATGAGTTCGAAAGTTTCAAATTAGTCGCACCCACGGCGCCGTGGAGAAGGACCAAGGTCGCGAGAAGCGAATGCCTGCGAGGTCGAGCGACAGGTATTGATAAAGAACGGAGACGAAAGGCGCTCTTAAGTGATGAATGTGACAGAATCGGAAATCTGCCCTACTTTCGTAAAAGGCTAGCGGTCCCAGCCCCGGGCGCCACCTATTTTAGGGCCAAGGACAGTCCGTTCCGGGATGAGCACGTGATACATCCGCGATTTTCTCTCGGGAGGAATACCCCGAGTGTAGGAAATCCCAGGAGTTGCATCCACGGAAAATTAGTGGATCTTATAGGGATTATCAGCGCGTCGAGGATGAGCAACACCCTTCTCTACCCGCTTAATTAACTTTCACTAAAATAGAAAAGAAGGAATATCATTCTCACTGTATTTAGATGCGCGAAGAGAAAACATCTCGGAACGATAACCAACGTCAGAAAATCTGCCAAAAAGGCGATACTAAACGTGCCGGAATGTAGAATAACGCCATTATGTCTATAAAACGGCAGTAAATTTAAATTATTCACACTGGTCTCGGACAGATGGACGTAAGTTAACTTATCGTTGTTTCGATCGACTTCTTATCGAACTTGTTTCGTTGCCATTTTCGCATTGGCAAACGTGCCAAACCCGACAACGTGACTAGAATCGCCGTTAAGTTACACTTGGACGAACAATTTCATTTAGCATCCGCGTTACACGCCGACGAACTCGTTAAGAAATGACAAATTTTTTCCGTAATTTGAAAAGAATTTCACATTTAAGGCTTATATTTTTCAATTTTATAGTTTTTAGTTTCTATTCGGACGGTTAAAATCTAATACGTAACGTAAAAATAGGAAAGTCGAACGATGAGAAATTCCGAAATAAATATGGCGGCGAAGAGACGGTTGGAATTTTATTAATAAATTAAAATAATCGAGTTAATATATTTTGAATAAATGTTTTCTTTAAACCAAGTTGTTTCTACGCTACAAAAAGTCGAGTAGCCGTTTCGTTGGTTCTCGAAATATACTAATGGTCGACTGATAAGGTTAACTAGTAAAATAATTAAATAAATAAACCAGCCAGGCCGGTGTTATTTATCAGCCATATTTTTTCTCTGTTTCAAATTATCTCTATAACGAATAAACAAAACCATTAATAAGGATCATTACTGCGAAACAACCAGGGGTGGTTTCCTTCGTAATAATTAATAAAATCAATGTTTGTTTTATAAGAAAAACAGCCGCTAGGCTCGATCTCCGACACCGTATTCTTTCTTTCAATGATTAATACGGAGTGTCCAGCTCGTACGGGCTATCTATTCCGAGAACGACAATTATACATGAAATGGCCATACGCGCGCGGGGGAAATAATGCCTTCCGGGAGGTCTTTCGAGGGAAACTGCCTCTATTCGGGCGTTACGCGGGTGCAGAAAACCCGGAAAAGTCCGAGCCGGGCGCCAACCCACCACGAAGACCGCTCGGCCACCGGTGGCGAATACCGAAAGTTTATATTTTCGCTTTTAAAAATTGAAGACTTACGAAAGAATTTTTATTTTATCATTCGTGAACAATTTAAAGTAAAAAATAGTTTAGACGCAAATATAAAATCTCTGTGTCAAGTGAAGATTAAACTGTTTAGCGCTACAGTTTCTTAAATAAATGTATTGAAAATTAAAGCCGTGTTTGCCGGATGGTGACGAAAATTACGTCGTCGCATCTTCAAAAATCTACAAAACCTGCGGAAATTTAAAGATTTCTATTAAACGAGGAGTTAAAACTTTAATTTATGAACCTGCCGAAAGTAATTTTTCCATCTGGATTGGTAGCGCGATACCGGAAGACCCACGAAATATTTTGGGCGCGTGAGTAAGAGAAACAAAAACGTGTAATCATGAAAGGCGTTTATTATATTCTCCATTAATCCCTAGAAAGCCATTGTGCGTAAATGAATCGCTTCTTGCAAATTAGAACCCCTTTATCACAGAAAGGAGACGGGCGAAAGCTCGAAGAAAGATCTATGCCCACGGTTTATGACCGGAGAGAGGTACCAAAATGAATTTGGAGTGACCGTGTGCCGATTTCTTTCCCTCGTCGGGCAGCTTGGGGGACGGGCCCGGTTGGTAGTGATCGGGTCGGCTCTTCGTTTCGGGTGGAGTGTATTCCGGAGCCGAGGAATACAAAGAGATGTCGGCGGGGCTATCGCTCTTGGTGCCCGGTTCGTTGGTCTTGATGGTGGCCCTGAAGCCCCCTTTGTCGGCAACGTACTCCACGATCCTTTCCAGGCCCTCTACTAAAATCGAATATTTGCCCGTCACTGTCCCTTTTCCGTCGGCGCTCTCCTCTCGACTGCTGGTGGAGCCGTTCTCGTCTTTTGCGGTGTAGCTGAACTCGAACGGGGCGAACTCTTCTTTTTCCTCTTTTGAGCTGTACGGGCTGTGAGCGGGAGGTTGATGGGCTAAGGGTTGTCCGCCGGATGTTCCCTGAGAATACAGAAAACCAAGAATTAGTACCCAGTACGTAGCGCGGAATCTATTATTATGTGGTCACTCTTGCGCTACACGTTGCTGGCCTAAAGAAATTTTCAAGACGTGTTAACAGATAAATTGGGGAAGATGTAATAGATGAAAAGTATACTTACCGAAGTTTTCGACTGGTCGAAGTGCAGAGGTACCAATTGAAAGTAGGGCTGGCCGGAAAGCCGTCCGGCTCGAACCACCGCTACCAAAAGAAGAAGTAATGCCAACTGCAAAGGACAAAATCTGTTAGTTGAATAGAGGAAAAAGTTAAGGGAGAGCGGGGCCTTGGCGGGACACTTACCCTGATCATCGTGTCTGAATGCCAACTGCGCTAGAAAGGATTCGTGCCTTTATATACAATGTCGAATCGGGCCGGAAGCTCTTCTGTCACTTCGGGTGGTCCTCGACGCGCACCACTTTCGCTCCGCTGGGCATTTTTTGAGAGGGGTCGAGTGTTGCCGCCTCCGTCGGGAGTGACGGACCAGCCCCGAGCCGTGTTCTAGATTTTTCCAAGCTATTGTCACTCACTCTCCCTTTCGCTCTCTTTTTTAGGTTGCCACTTTTCCTCTGACATCACTTATAAATTCGCCTCCGTATGTTATAAGTTACGACTTGCCGGGGGTCTTTTTTAAAGCTCTTTTTTATCTGATCTGAAACGTGATCTGAGAAATGTCCTTGAGTTCGACACTTTTTTGATTCTCACCCCCTCAATAAGCCGCTCCTAAATGAAAATGTAACCCGAGCTAATCTTAACTAAAGCTTACGCATACGAACACGATAAAACTGACATTCAATACTAGAATGTAAACAACGTAACATCCGTAACGTTACGATTGGAATATCTCTACGTTACGCAAAGTGCGTACGTTTGCATAATTTCAGTTTCATTTTTTAATTTAAATACGACACGGCTAGTAGGAACAGAGAGGTGTAAGGAGTATCTCACACCCTTAAATGCAGCGATATAAGGGTTGCTAGTAAGAACCCTACTTTTAATAAACAACGTATTCATAATTATGGGCCCCGGAATCTTAGAACTTACGAAATACGAGCGTTAATACGAGGGAAACATTTTCGTGTATTGTATATTTGAAAGGAGACGAACCGTGGGTGAAAAGTTCGCTAAATTCTAATTAATTAATTAATTAATGACTGGGTGGAAATAGGAGGAAAACGGAAATCTGAACACGAACGAGTAATGGGTTACGCCCGGTAAATAATTCAATTAGAGGGGGAGGAAGAATGGCGCGTGAGAATCACCTTTTGATGGCCTCCGACCGAGAAACGGGGCCTCACCTCTTCCACTTCACCCGATTTTTTCCGGTTAACAGCCGATTGCTCTCTACACTTAAAAATATGACGAAATCTCGATTTTATTTAACTATAAATAATTCAACAAGTAAAAAAACAACTTTTACTAATGGCGTCATTTTGTTTTTGTAGTGCCACAGAACACAACGACACTAGGAGAGATACTTCTTTTATGTACTTTGCTTAAATCTTGATAGAAACAAGCCCGATGGCACACGCACCCGTTGTTACCTCGAGGTGTGCAATTGTGTATTTAAAATCAGTAACACGAGTTTCTTCCCTTCTATGGCTCGCGTTATGTAATACATCCTGCCAGACAACCGAAAGGGTTCTATTGAATTGACATTAAATCCTTCAGATCCCCCTCAACCGGTTCACAAAACCGTAGAAATTCTTTCGGTAACACCCGCTCCACCCATGTTTTAGGGAAGAAGGGGGTGATGCCGCATACTGTAATATGTATTTTTGCTGGCTTATTTAATTTAAAATAGGAAATAAAGCGTTAAGGAGAACGCTAAAACGTCCCCGAAGCAGAATTTATTCCTCTTTTTTTGTATCGCCGTCTCGATGGTATGTAAATTCGAGACGCCCGCAAGTATGCAAATTAGGAGGCACGATACTCGTGAATCATGTAAATGTAATTAGTTAGAAGAGTTAGCAAGGATAAATCTATAAAAATGAACGAGGAAAATAAAGATTTTAGTTCATTACAGTGACATTGATATATCTGCGTGAGGTGAAGCCATGTTGTTACACCATCATTCTTCTTCCATGTTAAGAGCGCTTGGCGACAATTGCAAAGGTGTAGCGAGAAACCGAGGCATTGGCTTTCTTCATTAATCGTACCTTCTTTCTCTGATGGTATAAACTAGGATTCACCTGGGGTCGAGTAACAAATGTAATAGTGCGAAATACTTTATAACAATTAAAGAATAATCAAATTCATTTACGGTAACAGAGAATAACCGCGCTGCTATTATAGTAATAAATTGAGTTTATTACTATAATAGTAAGAAATTGCTATATACAGTAGTAACAAATCACTGCGACTGATAATGCTGGGGTAAGGAAACTCTCTTATAGTAACGAACAGAAAATAATACTAATCATACGCTACCACGGTAACAAAGCGCAACTGTAGTGACAAAATGGAAAAAAGAGTTTGCTTTAGTAGCAATTCTAGAAAAGAAAATTGTTACTATAGTAGTAAAATTTACTATAGTAACAAATCAAGGATAACAAATTGATGTTATAGTAACAACACCGAGGTGTCAAAGTTATTAAGTGATAATAACAAAATTGCTATTGAATTAACGAGTCAAGCGTAACGAAAGTGTTACAGTAAAATTCTAGAGCAACAAAACTCTCTTAAAGTAACAAACGAGTGATCGTAATACTCGAATGCTATCGTAGGAAATCGAGAGTAAGAAATGTGAAGTAGGAGAGGGTGGAAAGTGAGGCTATGGTAACGAGTGGGCTGTCGAGAGCGTTACGGAACAAGTTCGACCTAGAAATTACTTCTAAAGGGTAAAAAAAAGATCTGTTGGTAGCAAAAAGTGAAAGAAAAAACAGGACGTTCGTTTGTCGATCCGTAATCGTCGCGGGGCAGAGATCCTCTTGGCAACATCTGTCATGTTGTCGCTTCTCGAAGACAAGGGTCGAGAATGGATTTGACCCACTTCGTCGAGCGCTCCAAATTCCCCTATCGACCGGTTCTTCTTCCTTTTAAGGATATGATAAATCGCCATTAATAAATAGGCGGTTTGAGGGAGGTTAATTAATAATAAACAACATTCCTCCGCAAATATCATCGAGGTCGCGTGCGATCGTCCTCGCGCCACGATACCATCGATCGTTACTCTTCGTTACGCGTTAAGTGTCGCGATACCATCAACCGCTAAATGATTTTTTAATGTTTCGAAGTGTGAGGCTGCTTTAGTATTAAATTGGGGTCTACAACACGTGAAAAGGAAGCAATAAAACTCCAAAAAGAAAAAACTAAGCAGGGCGTAACAAAAAAGTTATTAATTCTGCAGCAAGAATTAAAAGTGAGAAAAAGCTGTTACGAAGACACAAGAAGCGTAACAAAAGCGTTATTACAGTTGTAAATGCAAAGTAACAAAATGGTTATGGTAATATAGGGTAAAACAAGACCGAAAGGCATTTGTTACCGTAATAGTACTTAATTTTGTCACGTTCTCGGCTTAACAGAAATAAGTTACGATGTTACTGCTTCTTGCTACGTTTTACAGCTGTAACATAATTTTTGTTACTATAATAGCGTTGTATGACATACGTAACATTCGTCAAATATCGTTACTCTACAGTAACGATTGCTGCTATGTTAACAGAAGAGTTACTCATTTTAAACCGTTAATTACTCAAGTAACGTGATTTTCACGTGTTACGCATCGTTAATGCTTTAGATACGTGATGATAGCGGATAATCAAATGTTACTGTATTAACAAAATGCAGGCACGTGTAGAGAATACGTAACTCGCGCTGTTTACAGCTTCAACTAGTTTTTTTCTTTTTTTTTGCGAAGACCTTTGATGGCCTTCATTAATACGTTACGTTAATGACAAATATTGATCTATTGCACGATCGATCAAGCTACTATCGATCGATTAATGGCTGATTGATTCAAGATGGACGAGGCGCTATATCTATACAAGGTCCCAATACTTCTAAGGCACTACATGTTCCTGAAGAGTCAATTGATCAGGGTAGAAAAGCCCAAAACTGGAAGGAGTGCCTACTTACAACTGATGTTCACCTTCGTACTCTGGGGTTACGTCATAGAAACGACTAATTTAAAATTACGAATTATGCCCTGGCTGTCCGAATTGGTAGGAACCAGGGAGGGCATATCCATAGTCGCTTCGGGCAATGAAAACGTGGCCGAGATGTACAAGACCCTGATGACCATTTACTTCTTAAACGGGGCCCTAATGGTTACGTACAACAATCTGCACCATGCAGACGTAACGTTCATAAAGCTATGGAACCAGATGCATTCCACCTGCAAGAATGAGTTCATAATTAGCAGGTTGCAAGTTTGGATACTCTTCGCGGGGTTCCCCCTTACGATTTTTGGGCTAGTAGGGCCAGTTTGCCAACGTTTACTGACTTCTTTCGGAGAGTTCAGGAGGAAGGTGGGCCTGCTGGTAGCCCTTTATGCCTCTGTAATCATGCCGTTCGGATTCATCAACAATACGATGATTCACGTGCTCTCTCTTCTGTACTTTTTGGCCATTACCAGCCGATTGAAGCACTTGCTGCAAGAACTAACCGATGAGGTGAAGGCACTCGGGGCCAACTTGGATTTGATTAATTTGGAAGCGATCCATCGACGTCATTTTGATCTGTCCACCATGATTAGGATGGCGGATAAACACTTAGCGTGTTACATATTCGTCATCTATGCCTCATTCATCCCCACCATGTGCATGGTGCTCTACCATTACCTCTTCCTAGCCACAGATATTTGCTCCTTCCTCATCATGACCACATTTATCGTCATGATATTCGGAACGTTCATGATCGTGATGCTAACTTTGGCAACTACTTCGACAGTGGTGAGTGCCAGATTCGCACTTAATTTATCTGACCTTAAAATAACCCTAACGCAATTTTATAGGCTAAACAACCCTACCACTATTTGTACGGGGCCATCCTATTTGCGGACCCGCCCCCACACACCACAAATCAGGTAAGTAGACACTCGAGTAATTTAAGTTAATCCGACAGAATTTACTCAATTACCCGACGTCACGACTTGCTTATAATGGCAACTGATTCGAATTTTCATTGTTAAACCAATGTGCGCCACCTCGCGTACGTAATTGAAACTAACGGGTTAATTGACTGTATGAGTTAATGTAGATGATTACGAGGATTTGAGATGTTATAGTGCCACCAATGGGACCACGAAATTAACAGAATTTTGTCTTTCAGGCGATGATCTTTATGGATCAACTGGAAAAACCCAATGGATACACGTGTTTAGATCTGTTTGTATTCAGTAAAAAGTCCATTTTGAGCGTGAGTAATCCTGATCTATTTCATTTTCTGTCATTTCATTTATTAAAATGTAAACGTTTGTTCACAGATCCTCAGCACTTTCACCACTTACTTCATTCTATACATGCAGCTACAATCGTGAGGCATCCACATGCTCTTGAGACCTCAAAGCAACGTAGTGACCACGAACACGCGCACACCCCTTAGACAAGGGGTAAACTTCACTTTACTTCTACTCAACTTTCTTGAGAAAACTCAGTAAAGTGAGTTCCTTGAGGTACACAAAATCCTAAGTGTGTAATGGTGTCTAAGATTTGAATCATATTTTGGATTGTAAAATTCAGGGCTGTTGAGTCGCGTAAAAATCTACCGACTCCAACTCCGACTTTTCTTTATCATCCGACTCCGACTAAAACACCAAAACTCCACGACTCCGACTCCACAGCCCTGGTAAAATTACAATTTACACACATTGTTGTATCTAAAAGATTTTGCAGTGTCATTATTCGTATACAAGTATCATAAAAGTTAATTGAATAAATCTTGCAAGTAGTTTAGCACATCTGTGTGTCGATACTGTATTCAGATTACATTTACTCTACACACTGATGACATTTATCAGTATTGCCACCATTTGGTATGTGTATGTTGGAACACTTATGAGAATAATATGCAAGTCGAATTTGGTCTTTGTACACAGTTGGCAATAACTGTACGGTCCAATTACAGATTTAAAGGCAATTAAGCATTACAGAGGATCCTCTGTACTGCTCAATCCTTGTCTTTGGTAGTAATTAATTATCTAAACTGCAACTTATGTCATATATTGGGATTAAATTATTCAAAAGCACTTTTTTGCTAAAATCTTTACAGAATATGCAAATTTCAATTTAAATGAGTGAAACATGAATTAAATTTGTATCTCTGTAAAGGTAATTGCACACTTGGCAAATGCTCAGAGCAGACGTAGACAAAAAATCCATCCATAATTTAAGTTACTGATGGATTTTTCCTATCTGTCCACTGTTCAAGTGTGTACTCTAACAATGGATGGTGAAAAAAACTACGTTTGCACATTAAGATAAAATTAATTTATATTTGTGTAATTCAAATGTAAGTTAATGTACAGGTATAATTTTAGACACTAGAGCCAAATGTTTCATGAGTGTGCTATGGTGCTATATTCTTTAGTGATTAATGGGCAAGACATGAGTGGTTACAACTGTCACCATGGGTTAAAAAATTAAATTAGACTGGATGACGTTTATCGTAACAGGTCATACGAGGATGCCGGAAAGGTGCAAGCGTATGGAAAAACCGGATGTTACATACCAAATTACACAATACTAATCAATAATTAATTGGAATGTGCAACTTTATTTATGAAGATATAGTAGAAAAATATACAAAAATCAACTTCAATCCCAAATTTACAAATTTCCTACTGTCCGAAACAGTATCTGTTCCAATTTTGTTGGAAACTGTCATCGTCTGTTAACTGTACAGTTTTTTTCACATATAAAAACTCAACGGAAACCAAACCTATTTTGATTTTTTTGTTATTATTATAATATATATATAATTTTTTTAAAAAGCGTCGTGACACAGAGTTAAGCAAAGTGGTAAAAACCGGTACGGGGTTAAAAAAAAGATTCGTCGTCCGCCCGAGCTCGCCGGAGAACGGTTCCGGGAGACGTTAACTTCGTTTTGATTTTGGACTGGCGGTTGAACTCACCACGGTTCGAGAGCGCAGGTCTTTCTTTGTGTTTTGATCCACCTCCGGGAGTTCGTTCACATCGTCTTCCGACGCTTTCCTCACTGAAAAATGGGATAAAATGGAACGTTAGTCTTGTTTGCTGTAACGAGACTGCAATTTCCTAATCTTATCCTAAGTTTTGTAACCAGTGATAGATTCTACACATTTCAAATGTGTCTGCGATGTCCTCGTTAGATAAATCTCATGCATTTTTATGAATTACGACACCGAATGAACTCTCTCGCTTCAGTTGCATTTCCATTTTTAGCCAAATTATGTCCCATAAAATTATCTACAAGCTTGCCCATAACAACAATGCAGTAATTACAAATTATAGCATAGAAAAAGAAATGTTTAATGCTAGCAATCTATAAAATAAGAATTTTTAAAAAGTTCAAATTGGTGTGCAGCCCTTCAATATTCTAAAGGAAAGTAATTAAGTAACACGATCATCTTACTGATGTACCGTTTTAGATGATAATTTGTCTGACCTACAAATTAATTATTCTGAGCAGATTTGTCTGTCAGATTCAATTTTCCTGTTTGTCACCTCACTCCTGACTGGTTTGATGAATTCTCATCCCTTTACTTAATACAAACACCTGACTTAACCACACATTTTCATTAGTGGCACATATTTTAAGACCATGCAAATTCTGCCTTTCATAAGTAAAATTAATTCCATAGCTTAGGTCTCCATTTTTGCATTAATGCTTGCATATTCATAATATTTAGTATTTATTTAAATAGGAGCAGCAATCTAATAGTCAGAATCAGCAGTAACATGATTAATGGTAACATAGGAGCAAACATTAATGAAAAAATAGGGACTAAGCCTATTTATACGGATACAGGATGGCCTAAAATTCTGTTAAAAAAGGCATATTTTGTCACGGTAGTTTCATACATGCCTCAGTTAAGTAACTTTTGGCCATCACGCAGGTAACTTCATGCACACCTTTCTCATACGAGATGCAAACATACAAAAACTCCCATTTACATTAAGTAAAAGTTTAACAGGCCAAAAAGTTAAACATAAAATTCTTAAATAATTTCACATGCAAGAAGTACAATGTTAATTTATACAGACACAGAACTCAATTATGCAATGAAATCTGTATATATAAGGTTTTACATGCAGAATTTATTGAAAAATGAATTAATTTCAAGGTTTTGTTAGAAAATTAACTTTGGTGGCAATCGGAGTGTAATTAGTTTCTTCTAAGAGACAGAGCACGAGAATCAAAAGTTTAAGAAAATATTAACTGTTAACCATGCAATCGAGTTACTGAGAATCAAATACTCCAAATGCTTTGAAGTACTTTGATGTGTGTGAAGCATCATAGACACCCAATTCTAACTTCTTAATAGGTAATTTCTTTGGTGGCTAGAAGCAAAATTTCCTAACACCTTAACATTTTAAATTTTAGTTAGTTTTATTCATTTTATAAGGTGTATACATCATTTATTGAATCTTATCAACATCAAAAGTAAGGAAGACATGTGATGAGTCTCACTTACAAAGAAATATATACAAAGTCTTCAAAAATAATCTGTCTTATGTTAATTATTACCTGAAAACAATTTAATATATTTTAAAAGAAAAAAACATTCCAAGTTTTGTACCTGTTTATTACAATCTCTCAATATGTGCATCTCGACATGCATTCAGCCAACAATCATCTTTCCAGACTCGCTGCACTGGCTGTTTCCTCAACTGAATCAAGAATCTGATAACTACATCTTTGAACAAGATGGGAATTTGCCTCATTTACATAGAGATTTGCAAAATTTTAAATCACGTGCTTCTTTGAGAATGAATTGGACACCACAGGCCAAATGATGACCCATTAACGTGCTGGCCACCCAGGTTTCTGGAAAGACTATGTGAAAGACACTGTGTCTATGTGCACCATTGCCCATAGGACAATGAATTTACAGGAGCTGCAGAATCAAATTACAACTGTTTTGGAGAAGTACTGTACAAGGTGGATATGCTGCAGCAAGTATGGGAAGAAATTGATAATCAGCTAGATGAGTGTTGTATGACATGAGGTGCACATATTGAGAGATTGTAACAAGAAAACTTGTAAAGCTTGGAGTATTTTTCTGTCTTGATATATGTTAAATTATTTTCAGGTTATAATTAATATAATTTCAGTGATTTAAAATGGCAACGTTCTTTTTGAAAGATCTTGTATATGATTATAGATGCACATTTCAGGGAATGAATAGTGCTTGTAAGAAGGATAACCATTACGTGAGGCCCAAGCGATATTCAAGCTCACACGTTAAAAATATCATAAAGGTGTCAAATCAAGGGATCAGGCTGATTCTATCGCTCGTAAAAATTGGAAAAAACATCTAAATAAAATTGGAAAATAATAAAATTATTAACCAAGAGAGAAAAAAGTTTTTAAATAACCTTAAAAGGAGATGCAGCGCTGATATCGTGTGTCAGACTCATAAGAATTCAAAACAATTAAATACGAGCAGGAGCTTCAAGGTGAAATTAATTTCCCTTGATCAGATTAAAACACAGTGTCGAATTAAACCTTTGGTAGCCCGAAATGGTCTGTCATCTGCTTGGATACAGGAAACCGACCAATCAAAAGCTAGAGATCTGTGGAAGAGAATCTTTTAAAAACCTGGATCTCGAGGACAAAGGCAGACTTTTTCCCTGCTTCCCCTAGTGAAGTTAATTGTAGAGACTTCTTCCCTTCAAATTACAACTGTTTTGGAGAAGTACTGTCCAGACTTTCCTCAGCTAACAACTACAGTCAACTGTCCAGACTTTTCCCTGCCTCCACGAGTGGACACCATCCAGTTTGAACTTTGGGCTATCACCCTTCGTCACAACCTCCCAGACCATCAAGCATTGACTGACTGCCCCGGGGCCAACTATTTGAACTGTCCAGAGCCCCCAGAAGACAAGACACACTAGATTGTAAGACTTAGTATAAATAAATGGGTTTGTTTGTCACTCTAGCTATTTGCCTCACTTTCCTTTATCCCACATATGATAAGTCCTGACATTTGGATATCACATATCACCAATTCAGCAACCTTCACAATCCAATATTCTGTCCTATAAAGATCATGGACTGGCAGGTAAGAAATGATCCAACCAAACTATAATTTCATACACGTGTAAATTATGCCAGGGTTTTATTCAAATGTGACTGCTTCTTTGGTCTATTTGACTTATTTACTCTAATATAAGATTATTTTTAAAATGTTAATAATGTTTAAAGCATAAAATTAATTAAAGCATTTTAAATTAATACTTATGGGTTACATGATCTAGATTCCAGCATTAATTCAATATCTCTAAACTGATCTTTTTATTCTGCCAAAAGCAAATCTTTATTATTAACTTGCAAAAATGAGAAGAAATTTTTCAAGTTTTATATAATTAATTCACAGACTAAAGTTATAGTAAAATTGTTGTTATTAAATTTGTTAAAAGCAATTACACACAATTTCTTCATGAAGGAGTTTTGAAATCCATCCAAAAACTGATTTCTTTCTTGAAATGTCTGCAAGAATGTGTACTTAACTAGAAAGTAACAACTTCATAATAACTTAAAAGAAAACTTTACAAAGAAATTTATATTCATTTGAGAAAAATCCAATGCAAAGATTCTGTAAATAAAGTTTTACATTGATAATTGGGCAAAATTTTATTTTTAATGTAAAGTAAATCTACAATACTTAAGACAACAGTTTCATTTCTGTTCTGTTGGCATTAAGTAACAAAATATTACAAGTAGTGTCCACAACTTTTCAAATTAAGAAGAAGTGGGTTCTATACAAAAGCAAGAAAACTTCAACTCAATTTCAACAGAGAACTTGAGAACAGGACCACAGTTCAACAGAACTTACATGTGGAGGGAAAACAGAGATACACAATGACACTATAATTAATTGTCTTTGCTTACAGAAAATAAATCCAAATGTTTTAAATTGAAGAGTGTGTCAGAAATTAGTATAATATTTATAATTCAAAACTATGGCACAACAAAAGTTGAACTTACAAGAAGGAGTTTAGTCACACTACCAATCAAATTTGACTATGCAATGAGAGCAGTATCAACAGACCCTTTGCAATTTCTACTTTCAATCAAATTACTTCAGAGTTTCAAGAGTATTTAATGTTAGAAGTTAAGATAGTTGCATAAGAATTTGCTAATCGAACAATGACAAACTTTAATGAATTATAAACTGACTTAAATCTGCAACCTGTTGACACTGTATCTAACTCTGCTATAAAATAAAATATGAATTCTATGGAGTTTAAATATCTGATGAACACATATCTTATCCTACATTATATGTACATGATAAGGAGCAAAACCTTCACAATCCTTTCATAAAATTTGCAGTTATGCATCTGAAAATTGGCTGCATATAATAATCTTGAAACAAACTTGTTATGGACTGTATTCTTGTATTTTATATAATCTTGTTGAATTTATTCTGAAGAACCTGCATGATATTGTAAATGGGACACACAAGTTTAGAGATTTGATTTCGATAAATTCTGCCAAAGTATACAGATTTTATCGCAGTGCCAAGTCGGCAGCATTACTGACCTTTAAATAAAGTTGAGCACATTCATTAAATACAGAAACATCAATTAATACCTTCTGATGGTAAAAATGTAACCAGGCCGTGATGTCTCTGCACCTTTTCTTTGTTATAAATTTTCTAAAGGAGTGAAATTACAATTATCAGTTTCAGTTTTTCTAATTACATGATGCAAATAAATATTTTTTAAAACTAACAAAAATCTCATGTAAAACACTGTCAAATTATTAAAGTTTAAATGTACAAAATAATAATTTTTATTTATATTTCTTCATTTAATGTGTACATTGACTGAATTAATTTGGCATTTACTGCAAATGATGTTTATGCCTCAAACATAATCCCGTAAGATGTGTGTCATAGAAGAAAATGCATCATATTGTGGTGGAACAATGTTAGATACAAATTAAACTTCCACATATTTTGCCATATACACTGAATTACTTGTCCTAAAGTTGTGAAAGTTTTGATATTGTTAGTAGAATCACTGTTAAGACCATATTGGCTGCTTTGCTATCTGATGAAAACCTCTTTCAGGAGATGGTTTCATAGAGATACAAACTAAGTAATTAGTTACAAAGTCTCTAGACTGTATACAGCTCACAATGTCCTAGTAATGTGCGACATGTTGGCTAGCAAATATAATCTGTTTGAACCTCTGAAAACTCTGGGATAAAGTTTTTATCACATTACAAGGCACTCAGTATAATCCACTACTAGTTTTGCAAACAGAACTTGAGAATTCTATATGCCAAGTATGCATTCTCTTTCACAGCATTAGGATAAATATCTCAATGAATATGGTGAATACATGAAAGTATAGTATGTGTAACTAACATTGTCATCACGGCATCCAAGCAGTGAGAGGTCACAGTTTGAAGGTGGTTTAAAACTTACTTTTCAGAGTGTATATCTGTTGATCAACAGATATAAATGCATGGTTGTTAGTGATAAATTCAAACCCTAGCCTTCAAGAGAAGACTATAGGTGTGTGCTGTTTAATGATGAGGATATGCTCTGAGAAATATGTCATTAAATTAAGCAAACACCAGTGTATTTATAATTTATATTATGTATAGCCTATTTGAATAGTAGACTAAATATTTAAGTATATAAATGTAGAAATACCATTATAACCTTATGGGAATTCTTTTGTATATGCAGCCCACTTAAGAACAGGCCAAATATGACATTTAAGTCATACAAAGTTTAAATCATCTGCAAGGTCAAAGTAAGTTCTATTTATTTTAGAAAATTTTGGTAGATAACTGATTACTTGTATTTACAATACATCAAAAACTCTTTTTTCATTTAAATAAAACATATGGGAAAATCTGTTTACTAATTGAGTTGTTTGAATTGAAACTAGTTTTAACATTTATTTCTGATACTAAATGTCATGTGTATCCATTCTGTGTCATTTTGTAATGATTTATATTGTAACAAATTAAAGAAATTCTACTTTTTAGAAGTGTTCTATCATTAAAAAAAACAAACAAAAGAATCATGCAATAAAATCATAGGAAATAAGCAGTTATTGATTAATTGCATTGTTAGAAGAAAAGATTGCATTAATAAATACAAAAAAAACTGCAATTCTTTTAAATAAAATTTCCAACAATTTCATCACTTACTTTCTTCTTTTCTAATTTTCCTTTCCTTCTTTGCAAGAGCCTTCTTTTTGGTGCTGGCCACTTGGGCAGCCTTCTCTCTCATTCTCCTTAAGTGGAAATTAATAAAATTCCACATCATCCAAGCCTGCAGAAGGCACACAGCAACCAGACAGTTTACACTGGAGAATGAGAAGAATGATCCAAACATAAGTCATTCATACTAGAAATAAATTTTAACACAGAAGTGCCTACTTACCGTATGAGTGACGTGTTGAAGTTTCCAGTGGCCACTTCAATCTTCCCCGCAGATTCATTGAGGGCAAGACCATACCAGAATGTCAGAACAGACAGCGTAATGGAGGCAAGTCTCACCAGAACGAATAGTGTGTTCCAAATCATAAATCTGAAACAGATTAAAATTTAGTAAGGAAAAAAAGGGACAAAATCTATTAAATTCCTTTTACGTTCCAATGGAGATTGTATTTGCTTTCATTATAGTTAAATAATTATCAGGATCCTTAGAAATCAGTATAAGTCATAAGGGATTGTCAATAAATCATGTAATGCTATTTTTACCTTTCAACTACCATCCGACCTCCTGTAATGTTCCATAACACATCTGCATACTCATATTATGTAAGACATCATAGATCAACCCTCTTAATTCTATTAAGGAATACAACATAGCACAAAAAATTGAACATTACATTATTTTATTAATTACATATAAAGAAGTGACAAACAGTACAGTTTGTTATGCAACTGTTTGGAAACAAAAATGAATCATTCTGTTACCCAAGGGTTGAGAACCTAGCATAATAATTTTGTAAATATACCCACCCCCTTGTGAAGCAATGTAACAATCATCTGCATACCCATCCATTTATATCTGTGTTAGGTAATTTATGGACAGCCCTCTATTTATAAAGCAAAGAATGATTTAAGCTGTGTCAAATTAAAAAATTAATAAAGTAAATTTTAAAAGACAAGTGAAATAGAACTGCACTATAATGGAATGGATATGCCACTATTATTTGTTTTAGACTATAAACATGAAAATAATTAGAAAAATATTTAATAAATGTATAACTACTCTCAAAATGTATGCAGATTATAACAAACTCTTAACCATTCTGCAGTGATCGACGGATATACCCATCAAGGGCAATTATGTGGCACTGGAAAACGTCATCTATATGAGTAAAAAAATTTTGTGGATATCACCAAAAATAACCACGAAAAAAATTCACATAAAAAAGGAATTATGTGACAATAAAGAAAGATTTCTCTTTACTAGACATGACCATTTAAAAATTTTTTTTTCCAAAATGGAAATGAGAAAAATGTATGGGAAAATTCTTAAAAAATTTCCCACGTTTATTCTTCACTACATAGTGATAGCACCATATCTGACTAACCCTCTCTACAAAGGTTAACTCAAAGTGTGCTATAACTCTTTCAGATCTTCAGTTAAATCATGGAAGTGAGATAGAAATAATGGCAGCACTTCCAGTTTTCAGGAGTGCAATGTTAGACTACTATGATTGGTAGAATATAGATCACCTGTTGTAGACAAAATTGATTCTGATTGGCTATGAATGACACTTTTCTATGCTTAATTAATCCTGTATATGTATGCACTAGATGATAATGTTTAATGTTAGATTATGAGTTGTTTGATTAATATAGATATCTTGTTGCAATAAAAGTTTCAACTTTACACAGTAATTTAGCACAAAATTAAAAGTAAAACAACTATAAAAACACTTAAATTTACAAATGCACCTTTTATTCATTGCTAGAAAGACAATTTGATTCTTTTGCTTTTTAATTGCAGTTTCATGCATCATTCAGAATATGGAATATTAGACAATATCATAAGCAATCACAATATTTCTTAAACGTTCTTACCCATAACTGGCAGCTTTTGATTTTTCGGCAAAATATAACAGTCGAGAGAGATGGAAGATGCATTCGACGACGTAATGCATCGTGGTCAGGCAGATGGCAATTCTCGAAAAGCTTAAAAAAAATTTATTTCAGAATTAGAATTCATGAAACATCAAAAACAATACTTTTCATACTATAATCAATATATAATTTGCATAACATTCTTGAAACCATGTTGGTATTTTTTCCTTTGTTTTCAAACATGATGTAGTGCAATCACTCCACATTTCTCATCATTATATGCATATCAACTGAATAAAAATTAAAGTTATTTGTACACGTTTTGGGCTTAATAATGCCGCCTCCTCAGTCAACTAAAATTAATAAAATATACACAAATCATAAAATGCAATATACACACATCAAAGAGCCATTGCATTATGACCACCTGTTTAATTCAACATAGAACCACCTTTCACCCGCAAAACTACTAACACACATTTTAAATATCAAACTACACATACCTCAAAATCTGAATCACCTTTTTTAAAAAATCTACTTTAAACATTTGTGTCACCAGTGTTATAATTTACACAAATAATTATCTTCACTTATCTAATAAACAATATTTATCAGTATTTGCGTTACTTAATTTAACTCTTAAACACATTTTTTAAGATACCGTCACATGTTGTTCCCCTAAGTACAGTATTGTTCGCACACTTGCACATCTTCCCAACAAGTGTGCGAACAATACTGTACTTAGGGGAACAACACGTGACGGTATGTTAAAAAATGTGCGAGTTAAATTAAGTAATACAAATACTGATAAATACAGGTAACCCTCAGCTTGCGCTGCAGTTCTGTTACTACAAAAGCCAGCACAAATCGAATCAGCGTAAAACAAACCCGTATTTACAGTGAGGTATAGGGTTAGGTTCTACATAAGTGAAAAATAAGCTAATAATTTTGTTTATTAATACAATATAATACAAAATACATATAAATTTTTAATTTTTAAATGTATTTTATCATAAAATAAAGTAAAATGTTTTTATTTAAAAATTTTAGTTTCGAATTTCTTACATTTTTCGAAAAAAGTATCCATCTTTAATTGTTTACATTTTTGATTTTTTTCATTAAAAATTTCAGAATATGGTCGAATATAATGCACTTCGCTCCCAACATTGTCTAACTCACAAACTTCATTCGTCAAATTTTCCTTAGTTGAAAGGATACGTTAACCCGACGTAGAGCTACAGACAAGCGAAGACACTGATTGGTCGACCATTGGTCGCTGTAGTGCATATATAAGTTTGAGCGGGAAAATTCAAGGTGGCTAAGGAGAGATAAATATCCTCTGGCCAACGAGAAGTAGATTTGTCTCACTAACGATAATTTGTGATCGCCGGAAGTGCTATTGCGTTGTAAGGTGTTTTCCTGAATGAACTGATATGGGATACATTCATTGGCACTATGGATTCGAACGCCATTTATTGGACTATTAAGTTTAATATCTTGACTTGTGGGTACCTAAAAGTTTAGTATTTTAATATTAATTTAATGCAAATGTATACATACCAATAATATTAAACAGAAAAAATAAATATATTTAATAAAAATCTTTGTTTTAACGAATGTACAATGTTGCGGCTCAGTAAATACGTCAACACTGAAATGAAAATCAGTCTAGCATAGGGAAAATCGGGGAATTACACCTCGAAACGGCAAATTTTGCAGCGGTGTTATTGCGAATCAGCGTAAATTGAACAGGCATACACTGAGGGCTACCTGTATTGTTTATTAGATAAGTGAAGATGATTATTTGTGTAAATTATAACACTGGTTACACAAATGTTTAAAGTAGATTTTTTTAAAAAAGGTGATTCAGATTTTGAGGTATGTGTAGTTTGGTATTTAAAATGTGTGTTAGCATTTTTGCGGGTGAAAGGTGGTCCTGGTCCTACGTTGTATTAAACAGGTGGTCATAATGTAATGACTCTTCAGGGTATGTATATTGCATTTTATGATTTGTGTACATTTTATTAATTTCAGTTGACTGAGGAGGGGGGTGTTATTAAGCCTGAAATGTGTACAAATAACTTATACACATATCAACTGAATAAAAGTTACTGATGAAAAATGTCAAGTGGTCGAGTGATTGCACTACCTTGTGCTTGAACAACGGAATATAATGTGCAGATACAGAAGTCAAACCTAGTAGCTTTTACAATGCTAGTGACAGAGAATTCTGGTCTTTACATATCTAAACTAATTAACTGCATAATACCTAAAGCCAAAGTGGGTATGCAAATAAAATATCTCTTCAATTTTCCAATAAACTCAGCAAGCTGTTTGTCTGTATGGAATTGTAAATAATTTCATGATATGTAAAGTTGCCTTTCCATGCAAGCTTATTAGCTACAAGCTATGTACACTATAATAAGGTGCGTCCCGTAAATATAAAGGTACAATTTGTTATGAAAATGAAAGCTAAACTAATTATCATATAACAAAACCAATTTAATTTTGAGGTAATTACAACTTACAAATAAACATACTAAAAAATCACGTAATTATATTGTTTAACAACTTAACAATAAATTAATTTAAATGAAAATCACATTTCCTGCTGTCCCAAAAATATAAAGGCAGGTTCAGTTTTCTAACAACAGAAGTCATACAGTACCACAGTGTATTTCAAATGTTTATTTCTGTTACGTATTGATGTAAATGAATTGTTTTTCATCACGGGACGTGCAAAATCCTTAACAGATGTTTAAAAAGACACGATTTCAGCTTTAAGAGATGAAAATTACTCAGCAAGAGCAATTGCAAAATAATTAATTGTTCTCCAACTGTAATTGACAATTTCATAAAGCATGGAGACAAATATGGACAAAAGAAATCAACAGGTTGACTTTCAAAGCTTACAAATAGAGGAAAATGTAGTATTTTGAGGGAAATCAAAAGCAACTAAACATCTTTATGAAAACTAGGATCAAAACCAGAGCTTAATGTATCAAAATCTACAATTGGAAGAAGAATTGTTAGCACATGTCAGCATCTCATCTATAAGAAGAAAGATCCTGCACCACTACTAACCATTTCTATGAGCAAAAGCACTTGCAGTGGGCATGGAAGAAAATTTGATGGACAGACACATGGAAGCACATCATTTGGAGTGATGAGAAGAAGTTTAGTTTTGATGGAACAGATGGTTGGACTTGTTATTAGCATGATTTGATGGGTAAAGAAGAAATATTTTCAAAATGGCAGCATGGGGGAGGTTCAATGATGATATGGGGTGGGTTTAGTTGGTTTGGCAAGACAAATACTGCATTCCTCAGTAGCCGAACGAATGCAGATCATTATCAAGACATGCTAGAAAGTTATCTTTTGCCTTGGGCTGATGTAATTGATGGAAATCATTGGTTTTTCCAACAAGATCTACACAGCTAAATCAACTTATGAGTGGTTTTTAAGTAATGGAGTCCCAGATATTGATTGGCCAACTCATTCCCCAGATTTGAATCCAATGGAAAACCTCTAGGAAATCTTAGCATCTTAGCTAGAGCTGTATATGCTAATGGGTCCCAATATAACAGTGTAGATGAGTTAAAACATACAATTAATATCCATTGGAAAAAATAACTACAACAGTCCTTCAAAAACTTATACAATCAATATTGGACTGTATCTACAACGTTATAATGAAAAAGGGGAATTGTATTGGTTATGAGTTGATTATTAAAGATTTGTAACAATACTTTCTACTGTTCTAGTGATTTTGTATTATGCTTTTATATTTTTGGGACAGCAAGAAATGTGATTTTGATTTAAATTAATTTATTGTTAAGTTGTTAAACAATATAAATACATGATTTTTTAGTACAGTAAGACCCTGCTTAATGCTGATTCAATATAACGCGATCTGCTTGAAGCCTTAAAAAAGCTCAAAATTTATGCTGATTTAAATTATCGTGGCATTTCATTAATTTGTTTATAATACAATTATTTGCAAACACAAACCAATCAGCAAAAGGTGGCAAAAAGGTGTACTTTTTTCCAAAATTGCATAGATTTAAAGAAAATATCATATATAGTATGTTAACTGACCGTGTTCTAGTTGGCAAATTCAAATGTCCGCTAGTGATATGGCATTACAATATTTGGCTATGTCTTGGCTACTTTAATATTATTTTTGTTAAATTTTTGCGTGTTTTAGCTGGCAACACTGGCTCGACCATGAAAGGGAAGCCAGTATTCAAACGTGGTTTAATTTTCTAATTATAAGTGGTTGTTTGTTTTGTGAGCAATCGAATAATTTTAAAATAATTTTTAACGATACACTAGCGACGATTATTATTTTAAAAAATTTTGTTAGTCTTAACATTGATAAAAATTCAATGCAAAGTAGGTTAATAGTGATATACTAATATACTAATTACATGGGATATACTAATATATCATACTAATAATGTATTTTTTCATACTTTTTGGTTATCTGACCAACCCTAGTCCCCAATTGAGTCGGATAATCGATGCTCTACTGTACAATTTGATCAATGATTTTGGTTAAATCGTTGATCAAATTGTAGCAAATGATCCAGATTTTAAAAGGAATGCAAAAGCAAAACAAGGCATTTTGGATGTGATATTCTGCTACCAACATTTGCTTAAGGATAGAAAAAAGCGACAAATGAAACTTTATGACTTTATCGCAAAAGAACAAGAATTTCAGAAAAGTCAGGACCTTTGTCACAAAATATGAACTTCACATTTCTGTGTGCATATGTTTGTGTGTTATTTAACATATTTTTATATTAATTTGTATAATAATATAACTTAAAATTAAAGTAAAATTTGTTTATTTTTGGTCACTTGTTTCCCTATCCCTATTTACTCTATGTTAAAATGACCTCATTTAATGCTGTTTCGCTTAGCGCTTTGTTGTCTAGGAACGCATCCCCCGCGTTAAGCGGGGTCGTACTGTATGTTTATTTGTAAGTTGTAACTACCTCAAAATTAAATTAGTTTAGCCTTTATTTGCTTAACAAGTTGTGTCTTTATATTTATGGGACGCACCTTAGAAGCAATTTATATAAATCACAGGTAATGTTATCAAGTCCCAAAACATTACTTAAAATAATCTTTTATGATTTTCTTATAGTAATCAGAATTTGAGTTATAGCTATCTACTATGTTTAAGCTGTGTTTCTTATAAATCAGTGGAATTCCTATGACAATAAAAACAATTAACAAACACAATAGAAAGTTAAAACCTCTCTTTGGAATATATTTCTAACTAAGAACTCAAAGTATAATCATAATGTAATTTAATGTGTGCTCACACCAAAAAAATTCACAAGTACACTCTACTCACTCAAGAAATAAGAAAAATGTGGAGGAAGGATAAGATATATTTTGTACCTGTTGTCTTCTTGTCTACTGGTGTTATATCATATATATTACAAAAAAGTCTAGAAATGTTAACCTTAATGAAAACATATACATGGCACTATAGAAAGCTGCAATATTGAACATGTCACATTGTTAGGAAATTTCTAAATGCTGAAACCAATACCAACCACACAGAAGCTTAATGTAACATTTGTTTGGGTAGCTATGTCTTGACTTTAGTTTGGCATATCACTTGGCCCAGTATCAGCTGAAAATGAATGACATTCATAACATAATAATAATAAATATTTAAATAAAGGAGATGGAAATAAAGCCAAGTGTTTATTAAACACTCAAATTTGAGTTCGAAGTCCAACAAATTTATCAAACATGGTTTCAAAGACAACAAATAATAAATATGTTGAATTATGAGAAAGTTTTTACTAAGAGAACATTTAAGTTTAAATTGAAATATTGTATGTGGTGTCATCTGTTATAAGATTCTATTAAAAATTAATTTTATATTATTATAAAAAATAAAATGCTTATCTTTTGACAGTAGGGTTAACTTTTTCTTTTAAAATTGTAAATTCAAATAACAAAATTTTCATTAAGTCTGACCCAGCTTGAGATATGACACAAGACTCCCCTCTCTATCTCCTGCCCCTTGATATTTAACCATAAAAAATTATGAGCATCAATGCCCTGTATATAGAAATAAACAAGTCAAGTTTCAAAATTTTTAGTTAATTGGGTCCAAAGACTTAAGGCAGAATAGATATCAACACACACAGAATTTTAGGGAATCTTATTTTGCATTTCTGGCCTCCTGGAGTATGAGAATGTCAAGAAATTCAAAAACCCAATAGTGGAAACTTGACCAATCACCATATGTTTTCTATGCTATATTCCATAACAGCTGGAAAAGTGAAAGACTAAGAGCAATACGTTATCTTACTGAAAAGGGGAACTCTTAAGTGACAAGACGACATTGCAAGAGAGTATCAAGAGTTATTATCACATCATACTTGCTACTTTAATTCTTAGTATTTTGTTGTGCTCCAGTGCAGTCTGTATACATACTATGCAGTATTAGGTAGTGTAGGTGCATTGCTATTGTGTGAGTGGATGAAATTCAACTTTCCTACTTTTCTTCCAAACTCTAAGCCAGTCTACGCTCAGTAGATGCCAGGTAACAACTGCATTTAACAAGTCTGAGCTGAAAACTGGCTGCACTCTAATTTTTAACTGCAGTGATTTTATAGAAACTAGTATATTTAGCAAGAGCTAGTAATTGCCCTAGTTACTAGACCAAAATCAAAAATTCTATAAATTTTTAACTTTCAAGAAAATATAAAGCTTGGCTGTAATCCAAAATTTCATTCATGAATCCCGTTCAATCAAGATTGGCTACAACTACAATTCTTTCTGAATCATTTGTATTAAGATGCTAAACTTAAATTAAAATTTTAAAAATTTCTATATAAAGCCCTAAGCTTTTTTGAAAATCTTATAAATGTATTTAGTGAATAAAATGTTTTTGCCAAGGAAAGAAAATATCAATAGAACCAAATTCATCAAATAAAATTAGAAAATAAAGAGAAAGCTATTTTGAATTATTTTGTTTTATTTCTCCATTCTCAAACGTTTTGATAAAATGTGGATCAAATTCTACAATAACTTTTTACATACTTAAAATATGGGAGCACTGACTCAATGTTGAATCATAGACTTTGAAGCTTCTTGCATAATATAGAATGTCTCCTGTCTTGTTTTTAGTTGTGTCCCTTTTTTTATAGTCTGCAGCTGCCACTGGATGTCCAAAATGCATGCTACTTCTTTAAATATTATCTCATGCCAACATTACTCTCTTTCTATTAAACTCTTTTCATACCTTATATCCAAACACTTTCCTTCTTTTGTGCCATTATCTTATTCAAATATTCATACGAGCACAAATATAAGACAACACAATTCAAATTTCAAGTGTACTGAAAAATAATGCTGCAGACTCAACAGTTCTGACAGTTTGAGAAATTCTGCTTGATACAGTTATATTTTCTAATGAAATCAATCTTTTGAAATGAACTATTCTAAAAGAAAGTGTATAATTTTAACATTTATAATTTTATATACCATATTTACTCACGTATAAGACAATCTCACATATAGGACGAGGTGTGACTTTAAAGATCAAAATAAAGAAAATTAAATTTATTAATACAATTCTAATTTTATTTTTTTTAATCACAAATAAAATACTATCAAATGCATGTATTAACGCAAACAATCATGTTTGCCTTAATATGTGATAAATAGAAAACGTGCATGACCAGAAAAAGTTTATTTTTAATGATTCCGAATCTGCTAACATTCGTTAAAAATAACAATTTAACAAATATGAAATAACTACATTTATAATCATTGCTAAGTGACCAGTATTTCATTAATGATTTTATAAATAACGAGGAACTATTTTCTGCAGATGAATGAGATGCAATGCAATTTCTAATTGGTGGATATAAACAAAAGGGATGTGTCTTAGTTTATTTACAGTAGGTGCCAACTTACGACATTTGAGTGTACCAGTAGACCGGTATTTGACGAGCCAGAAACAGCGATCGGCCATTCCTTTCCTCAAAGTTATTTTTGAACTGTCTCTTAGAAAGTAACATTCACCTTGACCACAATAGCACCCTGCTATAATGGCAGCATGAACTATACACAGTTCACAGAAATTATTGCAAGGATGCAAAATCCTTTGCTCGCACATATAGGACCTAGGTTTTTCAAGCAGTGAAAAATGAAACCTTGTGTTACATGCAAGTAAAAATGGTATACCTTGTATATATATGCAGCACGTGTAATGAATGTGCACTACACTTTTAACATTGGATAAGGTCAGAGAGACACTGATGTTTCCAACTCAATTATTAGCTGATAGGCCATTATCAGTCTTTGTTCGATAATGGCCTATCAGCTAGAAAACATTAGCATCTCTCCAACCTTACTCACTGTTATTGTTTACTTCATTACATTGTGGTTAGTTCAACTGTAACAGCACATGTTAACATTTTAAAAGCTCAAAAACACATGGAAAGAGAGAGAACACTAGAAAAAGATATTGTTCTAAACAAGATTAAGTCCATATTAAAGAGAGAAAGAGTGGTAATGTGCTGGCTAGATATGTAACCATAGATGTCACCCACTTACTGACTAAACAGATTGCAGTTTGACTGTATATTAAACACAATTCCAATCTATAGGGTAGCCTTGCTGTCATAGTTATTAAGTGTGACTGACAGGCTCAATGGCACTTAAAAACAATGCAATGGAATTAAAATTTGATGAACTGATGTATTTAAAAAACATAATGAATAATTTTTTGTGTACGTATAATGTAAATATATTTAATTTTGATTTCAAACTATAATTTAGACCAAGATTCACATTACCATTTAGTACTTACTTAAAAATATAAGCAGAACCTAAAAATACCAGATATAGAGTAGCATAGGTTATTCTGGATGGCATCTCGTCCTGAAATAAAAAGTTTTTACATTAATAACCATTCAAAATTCAAAGTAGATTTTATAATTAATAATAATACTATTTTTAAAAATAATAAATCAAATCAATGACTCAAATGTCATTGGAAATTGCCAATCTCCGATAATGTTGCAGATTTAAAATCATTAACATTCCTAAACATAAATTGGTCCAATGTACAAATTTATTTAAACAATAAAAGACTCATTACCTACTATAAATCCTTGAGTATTCTCAGGATATAAAAGAAGGATCAGTTAAATGCTACAAGTCTACACTCAAAAGAATCAGAGGTTAAGTAAGTGAAAAAGATCAAAAGACAGTAGTCTAGTGTAATGCCTATGTTTATTATGTTTGCAGATTCTTATCTGTATCAGTACATCATGTTTCAAAGACAGTTTTAAATAAAGTGATCATTACAAGACACTTTTTCACAAACTACACACAAAATTCCATTACATTTGTTAAAATGTCTTAAAGTGTTCCATCTATACACACAATTATCAATTCTATTATGTAAAACAATTTCTGTTGCAGAGAAGTGTAAATTACATAACCACCCAAATATACAGCTCTAAGTGTCATTTTTTAATAATACATCAAGTATTCTAACCATTAAGCTATCAGCATACACAGTACACCCACCACTTTGACTTTATCAATTCCCAACAAGCAGTCCTCCTTCATGTCAGAAATTGAAACAACATTCCAGGAAATAAAGCAGCATTTCCAGATGTATACAGGTTGAAGAACAGTGTTATCTGACAATGGAATCATATTTTAAGCATTGAAATAGGATGTAAACATTAATGTTATGAATGAAATTTTGAAAGGAGTGAATATTATTTTGTTTATATTTCATTCTGAACAAAATCTTGGCAATAAGATTTATTAACAATGATTTATCCTTAAAGAGATTAGTCTTAGAAAGCAAAATTCAATTTCCAAACAGATATGCTCCAAATTATACTCAATTTACAAATCTGAATATCTTGATATCTCAAACTTTTTAATTTGATCAATGCAATGTGATTAAAGTCTTTAGACACTCTGAACATTACAGAATATACAACTGTGTTTAATGCAGTAATAAAGAAAATCTATATAATAATATATGAAGCTGGTTTTGGTTTTCTTGCATTACCAAAAAACTGTACTTATATAAAAGATTGTTGCAATTAGTATTTTAAGATTACTTTATCATCATGAACAACAACAGATGTCAAGATGACAATTTTAAGTTTCATCTTCAATTACATTTGTCTCAAAGTCTTCATTCTAAAATGTTTCATTCCTAGTCATTCACAAATGAATAAAGATTAAACTTCTCAGCATTTAATCTGCATTATGGATACTACATTCTTGCATTTATCTAGAAAGAACAGTTTTGATTGGAAATTGAATTTACAACTGTTGTAGATTTGATTCCAGTTCCAATAACAATTTTTATTTAAAAAAAAGTGTAAATTATTAAAAGACACCTTTAATATTAAATTATAAATTTAAAAAAAGGAAAGGTGCATATCTAAGATCTTACAAACTCTGAACAGCATCTGCCTTTACATCAATTTGTCAAATACTTGGTTTGGCTTAATGGAATGATTTAACTTGACTACTCTGGATTTATATTAGAATATAGGTTTTCATTCTGGTTTCTCCAACATAGCAAGGTTTTACAAGTTTCTCAAAATGTTACAAACTTTCCAAAATATCCAATAACTTATCAACTATTGAGTATTGGATGTTTACACACAACAAAGCCATTCAGTTAGTGCAGGCTTGAAATTACTGACTTACAGCCATATTTTCATCTACATATTTTGTTCATATCTATTGGAGTTTTCAAATTTTAAGTAGGGGAAAAAAAATACTTTTTTTTTGATATTTAAAAAGATTCAGTACTATCATGTGCATCCATTAAATATGCAGCTAATTGGTAGGTTATCAAATAAAGCAGTTGTTTCATGTGTAGTATATCTTCAATTAAATTAGCATAATAAGAAATTATCCAGCAAAATCTTCTATTCAAGCATTTTTATGGGAACATCCTTAAGTGTTTGAGCTGAACTGAAAGCATAGAACACCAAACACATTCAAATTTCCATAAATATCTTGAATTTTAAGTGTTTACATTTGTCACTTAGTAAATTTCAATTTCTTATAACAAAAAACACAAAATTACCTTTTTGATTTTTTGAAAATACAATTCTGGAAAGCAATGCAGCCAATATGACAGTTGAATAATGAAGAAAAACTTGAACATGAAACTACAAAATAATCACAAAAATTAATTTAATATTAAAAACATTTAAGCTGAAAAATTAAGTAAAACTCACGTCATCTCAGCATGAGGATAATCTTCCCAGAGTTTTCCAATATTCAACAGATAACCTTCCTGCAATACAAAGATTTCATATTCCTGCATACTAAGATTTGTAAATGTAAGACTACAGACTTACTCTCAGGATGATGTCTCCTCCCCAGACAACAGAAATCAAATAGAAAATCAAAAGTTGTCCAGATTCGTTAAATTTGCTGTGCTTCAGCTTGGAAAGATGCAGTTTCCGATTCAATTTCTAAAAGACAAAGGAATTTCATTTCACTCTCAGAATATTAATTCATCTCAAATGAAATGCAAAGTGATACTCACATCCAGAGCGTACTCCTGAACGATGGCATGCATGACAATGGCAATCAAGAAGTAGAAAAATGTAACAAAGAAGTCTTTCATTCCATATGTATAGAGAATTACGTTGGTCGGTTCTAGAGCTGGAACGAAGAAAATTAAATTTATGAATAGTTATTATGATAAAAATTTCCCTTTGGTACTCATATTAATCAGAAACTATAAAAATTTAACAAAATTTAAATAAGAAAGCATATAAAAACTATATCTTGTCTGACCATTCCTTTAGTGGAATATATTGCACATTTTGCAAAGCTGCATATAGCAAATAATCAACTGAATGCTATAAACATGATTGATAAATAAAGAACTAAATTGAGCAACAGTTAAAATATACGAATGTGCTCAATCAAACTGGGTGTTTGCAACAGCATAGGTTTGCTATATTTCTATCCATTTATACTATGTCTTGGTAGGAAGTTCACAAGTCTCTCTGAGATACAGTGAGGTATAGAAATCCACCTGTCAAAATATAATAATGAACTAGTGTCTCCTATCAAGGCACTACAGAAAGGTTTCAGTAGGAGATGCTCATAACAGAACCTCTCTAGTAAACTTTGAAAAAAATTTCCTTCGGATGAACTTTAAAATTGTTCGTTTTCTTTTTAGTCCCTTTGTACACCAGCAGGAAATAACAATTTCATGGCAGAATCAACCTTTATTTGGAGGCTTCTCCCTTGCTTTGACATGAAAAAAGTTACAATTTATTCTCTGGTGGTGGCACAAACACTTGTGAAAATTATAATTTAATAAAAATGTATTGCTGGGACAATAAGTAAGAACTTGAAAAAAAAAATTTTTACATGGACAAACTTTAAAAATGTCTTCCTCCTTTTAGTCCCTCTCTAGTGAATCTTGTACAATTTGTGCTTCTCGTTACAATCTCAGGATCTATTCTCTTTCAGGATTGAAATAAATTCAAGAATAGCCATTCCCATTTTAGTTATTTAATAAAAAGTGGCAACCATATTATTTCTATTAACCTCATACTTTTCTCCACCCTAAGAGAAACATCCACATCCCTGTAACTATGAAAATAACTATATTCTGTTAGTTGTCACTTCAAGAAAATTTTGCTAATAATTTTTCTTGTTTTTGTAATTATAAATTTATCAGTCAATATTTTGTAGCATATGCCATATATCTCATCAATATGATTACCTTTAAACCATTCATATTTAGGATAAACATGATCAAATATTTTATATTTTACATGCAAAGAGATATTTTATAAAGTTAATCATTTAAGATTTGTGACACAAACATTCCATCCAAAAGAATATAATTAATAAAAGCACATGGTCTTACCTTCCGTGGTGTTATGATGCATGGCAACGAACATTGATGCAAAACGGGAAGTGGCCTGTCAATAATTGAAAATTAGATTAGTATTTGTATTTTGAATTTAAACTTAGTCATAATTCTATAAAAGTTTTCTGATGTATTCTTTAAGATATCAACTTTTTAATATTAATTCATTAAATAGCTTAATCAAATCAATTAAAAAAAAGCAACTTAGAAATTAAACTTAAATTCAACAGCTTTGCAATACAATCGAAAGACTTTGAACATGCACTGTAACAACAATCTGACCCATACCATTTGATATCTGATAGAAAGAGCCTATTTTCTGCATAATTGATAATTTTCTTGCATTCAGACTTTACTTTCTAGTTTATCTGCGCAATATTTTTGCTTTTCAAATAATTCTAACACCAAACACAGATTTGTACTTTAATATATGAAAACTTGTCTTTGTATGTAACACCTTAATTTCACATATAGGACAGGAAAAAATACTTTTCTACACTGAAAAAAATTCCATAGGCATAATATTATGAGGATTTTGGCAAAACAGATGTGCACATTTAGTTATAAAGGAGTTATTTACAACTCCTTTATAACTAAATCCCAAATATTTATAATATTTATTTATTCATCCTATTTAAATTTGAGCCCAGAACATAAACCATGACTATTTTACATTGATTTCAGATTGGTATACCTTATTAATTGTACAATGGCTTCTCTATTAAACAAATCAGTAAGTGTGCAAATAAATTTTAAAGTTTGTTGCAAATACATTCATGGTGAGCCATATTAACTTTCAGATCTATACTTCAAACAATCTATTAATTGTTATAAGAGTTGATTACAATTTTGACGAGAGAAAGAAGCAATCTTACTTAGAAGAATTTAGTCACTTGATCTTTGTCGTTAAGAATAATCCAAAACCAAATACAAAAACCAAACTATGATCAAATAGAAAATAATTTGTATCAAAAACCATTCAAGTTATTAATTAACCCATTGTCACACACCCACGGTTATCGTACTAATCGATTTTTAATTAGTTCATGCAAAAAATTCAATTGTTTGAAAAATTTGAAAAAATTACAACCTGACTAACTTTTCTTTAATTTTAATTTTACAACGTGCAATTTAGTTTTTGTTTAAAGCATTTCATTATTTTTATTTAAGACATATGGTCAAATCGGAACTATGGCGTGCGTGAACTCAGGTTTCAATTTTCAAATTTCCTACCAGGTGCCGTTACTAAAAATAGCAATAGCAGTGGCGCGCGCTTGTTCGCTTATAATCATGTTGTTTTAAAGCAAATAACTTCTAAAAACCTCAAATTTGACCCAGAAATAATTTAATTTTTACATTGGTATTTTTTAATCATTTTATAAACTTTTATGACACCATGTCTCTCATAATTTTTGTATTTTTCTAATTTTATGAATATGAAAATGCGAGCCAACTGTAATATCTAAATTAATTCATTTTGTTTATTAAAATTAAAATCATAAAATTTCGCACACAAATGGTCGAGATGCAATGAAGGTTTTATTTTTATAATCACTTTGTTTTATTCAGACACAACCTCTTTGCTATGATCAAGAAATGTTGATCGAACTTTGAAACTTTCATTCATATTTTCTCTCCTGATGTTTTCTCAACTGTCACCTAAACATTAAAAAATTTTATGGTCATCACGCAATTGTTTTTCCTTCTCCCCAGCCATGCTGTTTTCACGTTTTATATAAATTTTTTTTTATTAAAAGTAGAATAGAAGTAGAACATTTTATTATTGTATAGACATATTTTTGCTATTACCTTTTTCTTCTGTTTTTTTTACTTTTTGAGTCAGATATTATTCCTATATAGATTTATTAATTATAATAAACATGCATTTTGTCTAAAATTACATTAAAATAACACTCTCTAATTAACCTCTGAAACAAAAAAGTATCTATATTAATTAACGTGCAATGGTTTCTGAGCACGTTGCATTGCATTAAATTAAATAATAAATATGTTTATAAAATAATTCACCAAATCTGTTCACAATAATATTGTAAAACACTATGTGCTTGTAAATTAGCATTTCTGATAATATTTAATTAATTTTTGAATTTTGTTTTATTTTATATATAAAAATCTAAGAAAAACAAATAAATACGTAAAACTTATTTTAAAAAATATCAGCAACTTATTTGCTATCGGTCTCACGGCCGTATTTAGTCTTAGGTGGAGTTTACCACCTGCTTAGGGCTGCACTCCCAAACAACCCGACTCTTGAGAGGTCGAATCCCGAAGCGACCGCGGCAGCTAAGGGCCTTGCACCCGCTCTGGGCCAGAGCCCCGGTCAGGGGGACTTGCACCGCAGTTCGCAACGTGGAAACCGACCTCCCTAACGCCACATTTCCCTGCGTCCAGAGGAACGCGGGATTCGGCGCTGGACTCTTCCCCGTTCGCTCGCCGTTACTAGGGGAATCCCTGTTGGTTTCTTTTCCTCCGCTTACTTATATGCTTAAATTCAGCGGGTAATCTCGTCTGATCTGAGGTCGAC